TACAAACCCTACAGATATCCTTACAGTAACTTCACAGCAAGAAGTCGTGCTATGTGGGTAACCTTAAAGGTATATATCAAAGTTATGAAATGTAAACAATAATTGCTTATTTTTGAGGGCAATTATTTTTTTGAATTATTTCTTTTTTTCCTTTCTTTTGACTTTTTGAGGTTAAGTGTATCAAAACTCTGATCCCAGGTAGCACGTAAACTTGCAGGAAGATTGACACTCAATATTGCCAACCTTGCACGACAAACTTGCCGCAAGATTGCTCAGTAAACCTACCGAAGATTGCAGTGTAAAATTACTGCAAGATTGCACAATAAGGTTATCGCAAGATTGCTCAGTAAGCTTGTAGCAAGGTTGGTGCAAGGTTGCCAAATAACCTTCCTTTGAACCAAAATCTTTTTTTTAATGTTTCGCCTAATTTATATAATTTTATTATATATAAATTAAACGAAACATTTTTTTAAAAAAATGTTTTTAAGTTTAAAGCAAGGTTATTTGGCAACCTTGCACCAACCTTACTACAAGCTTACCTTGCAAGCTTACTGAGCAATCCTTATTGTACAATCTTGCAGTAACCTTACACTGCAATCTTTCAGTAAGCTTACCATGCAAGCTTGGGTCAGATGGGACATTTGAAGGTTGCAGTAAGCTTACGGCAACATTTTTAAATTTATATGTAACCAAAGGAGGACTAAATTTCAATATAATTGTTATTTTTGTATAAATGTTAATGCAAAAAAATATATATAGTTTTTGTAAAAAAAAAAGGAAAAATTAAAATTAAGACTTTCTCATGCACGCACGTTCACTTATATGATCCTTCTAGAAAAAATATTTTTTCGCTTTAAAAAAAAAATCGTATTTTTTCCCGCAAGAATTTTTCAAAAATAAAAACTAATATAGGGTACCACCAATGAAATACCTACTCAGAAAAAAATTAATATTTTATTTGTTAAAAAAATTTGTTTAATTTTCGTAAAATTTATGTATACTTATATTGTTTATTTTTTATGTTAAAGCTATATATATATATATATATATGAATAAAGATATTTTGTAAATTTTAGAATTTAACTTTACTTTTTCCTTATATATATTTTGGTTTTCGACACACTTAAAAAAAAAAATTTATTTGATTTAACTACTCGATTACTTGACTATATTTTCAAATAAATATTTATTTGATACAAATAAATTGAATTTGAACCCATAATTTCTGTATTTGAAACAAATGTATCATTTAATTGACTTAAATAATAATTATTTAATGCTCAGATACAAAATAAATATTTATTTGATAATAGTCAAGTAATCGAGTATTTGAATTAAATAAAATTTTTTTTTTCAGTTCACTAACATGAATCAGAAAATAAAAAAATTTTTACTTCTTCATTAAAAATTAAAAAAAAAAAACTAAACTACTTTTTAACTTATATTGAATATAATTTTTATACAAATTTTATATTGTAATTTTAATTTTTAATCCACATTTTGTGATATTTTTTTTATTCTAATCAGATTTTAGTTTATTTTTTTCAGAGCTAGATAATTTATTTATAATACATAGAGAAAATTTTAGGGAACATTCTAAAAATAGAAATTAAATATTATTAAAATATTTAACATTTAATTATTTATTATTATACTAATGAAAAATAATTTTTGTTTTTGTTTTAGACAATGGGAAAAATGCTGAAATGAAACATTCAAGAAATAGAGGCCAAAAGAAGGGAATTCCAAACATATGTGAATATTGTGGAGCAAGATATTCAAGTTATGCGAATTTAACATATCACAAGAGACACGATTGTGGTAAATGGCATCAATGCTTCAAATGTGGTCAATCTTTTTGTCAAAAATCTTCTATGAATAGACACTTGAAGCAAAGATGCAAAGGAAAAAGAGATTACTAGCTGATAATAAAACAAACAGTCAAACAGGAAACTTACCCTAATAACACAAGATATCTTGGGATATATTGATAATATCCCGCAGATATCATAGGGATGTCCTATGGATATCAAAAGGATCTCTTAAGGATATCCAAAAAAATCGGCGGTTTGGATATCCTTTGGATATCCCTTGGATATCTGAGGATATCCACAGGATATCTTCTGGATATCCCTATAGACTTTCATAAATGTCCTCCAGATATCCCATAGATATCGTCAGGATATCACACAGATATCATCAGGATATCCCATAGATATCGTCAGGATATCCCACAGATATTTTCAGGATATTCTCAGTATATCTTCTGGATGTCAAGAAGATATTCTCAGGATACTGTTTTTAAAGTCATTATGAGACTACGAGTGAGAATATTCTGTGAATTAAATTTTATATAAATAAAATAAAATGCAACTTGTTTTTCGAGAAAGTTGTTTAATTTGAAAAATTATTAACTAATTTTTTTCTCATTCGTGATTCATTCCTTTATTCATATGCTTAATATTGTCAGAAAATAAATTGGCTTTAAACAATATAAATTCTTCCCCGCAAATAACGAATAACTATTAATATTAATTATACATTAAGTGCATGAGTTTATTTAAAAACTTTGAAAAATGCGTTTCAAATCTTCATTTAAAATAAATTAGAAGCTCATAAGATTTTTGATTTTATTACATTATTATTCATTATATTAGCTTAACAATTTTAACCTTTAAAAATATATGTTGAGATATTAAATATCCCGTGAATATCCTAAGAATATCCCACGGACATCCTGAGGATATCCCATGGATATCCTGCGATATAATATCCAATAGATATTTTGTGGATGTCTTAGGGATATCCTATGGATATCCTATGGATGTCCTGTTGATGTCCCACAGACCGGCGGTTTGGGTATCCTAGGGATATCCTATGGATATCCCAAGATATCCTGGGGACCATTCTAGGATATCGACCATTGTTATGGATATCCTAGGGATATCCTTTTGTTATGAGGGTTTATATTTAAATTTTGAAAAAGGCAATGATATTACACCGAGAAAAAAGATTTCTTTGATTTAAAGAAAACCAATTTCTTTGACTTGTTTTCTTTTATTCAAAATAAAATTTTCTTTGAAACAAAAAAAGCTTTTTCTATAGTTTCAAAGAAATTTGTGAATTAAATCAAAGAAATTCTAATATTGATATAGGGCCAAAGAAAAATTTATTTGAATCAAAGATAATTTGTTTGAGACTAATAAATTTTCTTTGAATCAAAGAAAAATTTGTCAAAGAAATTGATTTCTTGGAATCAAGAATCAAGAAATGTTAATAATAATCAATTTTGTCAAAAAATGATGTTTACATAAGTGTTAATTGTACATACACTAACATTACAAATTATATAGGCTTAATATCTCAGAAACAAAAAGAGCTACGCAAAGTTGATTTTTAAAAAATATTGTTTTTTTTTAATTTTTTCTCTCTTTTTTTTATTTTCGTCCGAAATTTTGTAAAATAAAAATCTGTAATAAAAAAAAATCAAAATTTTTTGTCCAAATTTAATAAATCGTAGCCTATTAAATTGTTTGAAAAAAATTCTCTACATTTGTAATTTTTTTCGATATTGTTAAAAATATTTTCTTTAACAATACAAATAAAATTTATTTTTTATTAAATAATTTTTTTGACAACAGTGAAAAAAGTACGATTGTAGAGAATTTTTTATAAATAAACAATATTGTTTATAAAATTTGGATAAAAATTTCGAGTTTTGTCTGATGAATTGAAAGAAAAAAAATAAAATTAACTAGATTTTTCTAAATTGATTCTAAATTAAATTTTCTAATATTTTTGTTTGCGTTAAAAAAAACAATTTTCAATTTGAGATTGTGGTATAAATGAAATTTTTATTTTTGATTTTTTTTTACTGGAAATTATGTTTTTCACATTTTAAGTAATTAATTATAAGAAAAAAGAAAGTTGACAAATCGAGAAATTTTTTTTTTTTGATTCCAGATTTATTCTAAAGAAATAAATGAAAAAAATAATATTGTAATATGTAAAAATAATAAATATGTAATAATTTTGTTAAAATAAATAAAAAATCAAATAAAAATAATGAATAATTAATTTTTCTGTTATTAAGAACAAAATTAATTTCAAACACTTGACGTGAAAAATATACATTAGTTAGTTTATATCAATATTCAACATTAATTTTGATTTATTTTTCAAATTCTGTATTTATAAAAAAATTTTTTCAAAAAATTTTCTGTAAACATTTACGAAAAAAAAAATTTTTTTACTAATTTTTTTTATAATAATTTATTATATAAATGAAAATTATCTTATTTTAAAAATTATTTTTATATCAATCGAATTTAAAAAAATAATTATTTTTTTAAATCTCTTTTACTAAATTACTTTTTAAACAAATTTTGTTTCTAATCCTGAGAAACGATTTTTTCAATTTCTTTTTTTTTAAGTTTTTTATGATTAACGAAATTTAGGGACCAAAATTACTGGTTATTTGCTTTTGTCTCATAAAATATTTTTTAAAAAAATTTTACAAAAGTTGTTGATTTTTATTGTAATACATTTTTTACTTTAATTTTACATTTAATTTTCGAGAAAAATGCAAAAAGAAAAATTTCAATAAAATAATTGGAATTCTTTTTTGTATAGAAAAAAGATTAAAAAAAAAAAATTTTAATCGATTATAATAATAATTTTGTCTGTATTTTGCATGAATTGATATGAATTGCCCCACAGAGTAAAGAAAATTGTAATAAATGTTTTGCGGAGGGGAAAGAATAAAATTTCAGAAGTCATCACTGCACTTTTACCTTTTCCGCCATTCTCTTATTTAAAAAAGAAATTTTTCATCAACTCTAAGAAAAAATTAATTTATTAAATAAAAAATAGTATTTTTTTTTGTTAAAATTATTCAAAAATTGAATAAACTGTTCATCTCTAAAAATAATTCAATATAATATTTAAAAAATTCTTTCAATTTCATAATTAAGACGCACCCTTAATAATACAGCCCTGATCAGGTCCAGTGTGTCAGTGTTGGTATAAGTTGAAATCAGTTGAATAAATGCGTCTGTTGTATGACACATGCGTAAATGCATAATTTTGAATGATTATTTCTTTAAAAAACAATAAATAAGTTAATGTGTTATTAATATTTTAGAAATATTTATATAAGTGCAAATGGATGCTATACAACGAAAACGTGACAAAGCTCGCCTTCGAGTAAGAAAATTCCGAGCAATAAAAAAAGCTTTACAAGAAATTGAAGAACCAACGAATGCTCAGGATGAGTCTTTAGGTTCTTTTTCAATAAAAAGTGAAGATCTTGATATTGAAGGTCAGCTATTAAATATTATTATTGTTTTAAAGACATTTGAATAAATGTAAAAATAAATAACTTTTCAAATATATTATAATAAAGTAAGTTTTAATTTTTGAAAGGAATTCGTATTCGTACTATATAATATACATGCTTTTAAGTAATTTAATTTGTTTAAACGATTGTTTAAAATATTGTATATAATATTGTAAAGTAGACTAAATTGAAATATATTTTATTTACCTTTTTTTTATTATATCCATGAATAAGACAGATATTTTGAAATATTTGAAATTAAGAATTTCTAGGTTATGTCAATCAAAACAAATCCTTTTTAGCGCATTGTACATATAGAGAAATAAAACCAATTAGATTTTGATAAGGGTTTTATGTTTTTAATGTTATCAGTGGTAAGATTTAGTTTATTTTTGTTATTTGTATATAAAAAAACTAAAACTATCGTAAACTAACCTGGACTTCTATACTTTCCGGATTATATCATTAATCGTACATACATATTCTCTGAATAATATAAAATATGCTTCTTTATAAAAATAAAAAAGACAAATAAAATATAAATTATGCCTCAACATATGCGGTATTTTAATTTTATTTTATATCTAAATATCCTAATAATTTGGGAATTATGATTTTTCACCTCTGTCTTTTCCTCTCATTAATGTTTGTTAATAAATGTAGAATTTTTAAAATAATTTTTTTTTTTCAACTATGATAATTTCATTTTAATATGATAATTTTAATTCTTATTTTTATATTTGTATTTTTAAACATTTACACACATTTTTTATATGTCTTCTCGTCTAAATTGATATATATATAATTAAGAAATATAATTTTTTAATATAAAAAAATTAATAGATTTAATGATTTTTTTTCAGATTCAATGGGAATACCATCAGCAAATCCTCCATCTAATTTTGAATTTGTGGATTTCGCCATTTCTGAATTGCAACCAATTCTCGCGAGAGATTTTGCTCTTCAAGAAAAAGAAACAGAAGTTGAACAACAACAGAAAAAACGTCTTAAACAAGAAGAAGATGAAAGTAATCGCTATTCATCCAGTAAATATCAAAATGTTTCATTTCTAGAATTTTAAAATATTAAAAATACAAAATTCATTATATTTCATCTTAAAGTCGTTGCGATCTATTTTTATAGAAAAATCTCATATAATCACTTTTTTCAGAGATGTAATAATTTAAATCAGTCTTTAATATTAAAAAATTTTTAATTTTTTTTTTTTTTTTTATTTAATATTTTATGAGTAAGGCTTTGCCAAACGGATCGGGTAAAATTAAAAAATTTCTCTTTTCAATGAAACATTTTTTTTTCTTATCCTTATATGATAAAAATAATGTCATAAAATTTTTAGAGCAAAAAAATTTTTTTTTTTGTTAAAGTTACTAACAATTGAAATTTTTAACAGTGTTAAATGAAAATATTTTTTTCTCGGGTTCTTTTTAACCAATTTTAAATAACAAAAAAGTGTTATTTTCTTGTCTTGAAATGTAGAATTTAAAAATATTTTATGTCATTCTTTGTTATAAAGAAATTAAAGATTAATATTATCAATAATAATTTAATTTATTAGAATATTATTACATATTAAATAATAATAATGAAAATTATATGTTTACAGGCCTCGAATTATACGACTTTTTCCGACTTTTTTCAAAAGTACGACTTTTATCGACTTATTTTAATAAAATTCGACATTTTTTTACATTTGAAAAAAAATGTAAATAAAATACATTTTTTTAGTATAAAATTTATATCTTCTTCAGATCTTCTTCAATTCAATTATTTAACAAATTTTGAACTAAAATGATTCTTCACTAAATTAATTATTTTTAATAATTTTAATGAAATACATCACAAATTCAATTATATCAAAATTATGTTTCAATTAAAATTTTTATGAAATTTAACAATTGTTTATAATTAAAAAAAAATATCACAATAAAATTGAATTATTTTTTAAAAATTTCAATTCAAAATAAACTAAAATTCAATTATTACCCGAAATTTTAATTCAAAATCAATTAAATTTCAATAATTATCCAAAATTTTCAATTTAAAATTTAATTATTTACCTACTTTTCTATTTAAAATGAAATAAAATTCAATTATTTTCTAAAATTTCTATTCAAAATTAATTATCCAAATTTTCAATCAAAAATGAACTTAAATTAAATTATTATCCAAAATTTCAATTAAAATTCAATTATTTCCCAAAATTTTCAATTCAAAATGAACTGAAATTCAATTATTTTCCAAATTTAAAGTCAAATAGTATTTCATTATTCTCAAAAATTTGAATTTAAAAGCATCTGAAATTTAATTATTTCTAAAATTTTCCATCGAAAATTTTTTTTTTTTGAAATTTAATAATTTCAATTATAACTCTAAGGAAATTCAATTATTTTTAACTATTTTAATAATATTCTTTGAAATTTCAACTATCTGAAACCATTTTTCAATTAAAAATGATTTTCAAATTATTGTATTTTATTCCATTTTCTAATAAATTTTTAGTGAAATCATCTAAAATTTTAATTACAAAACACTTAAAGTTTCAATAAATTTCCAAAATCTCAATTTTAAATCTTTGAAAATTCAATTAAATTTAAAAAATGTTTTCCAAAAATTGTTTGATAAATTATTTTTAGTTCTGTAAAATTTAATAATTGTTTGAAAATTAACAATATCTTTTGAAATTTAATTATTTCTAAAAATTTCAACTTTAACCCTTCGAAAAGGATTATTATTAAAAAAAAATTTTTATTTAAAAATCTGTAAAATATTTTTGTTAAAATAAAAAAGAAATCCACTTTTTTTTGGAATATAAATCGACTAAAACGACTTTTTGTGTCTTTAAGTTGATTCGAGGCCTGTGTTTTTATAATTAATATTTAATAGGTAATCGTTGGCCCCTGGTACCTTAAAAATTAATTTTTAAAAATAAATTTTTTTCAAATTACTATCTTGTACGAAATTTTCTGGCGCATCTTTTTTCTCATCATAAATTTTTTGTATTTGTATACAATTTTTGAATCAATATACAACTTTAAAAAAACTTTAGTTGGTAAACGTTGTGTACTTCAGCTTCGTGAATTGAATTTTCGAATTTGGAATTTTAAAGAAACTTATTCCGAAATTTGGAAACACAATTATACAACTTTGGCAAAAATGAGAAAAAGAATTGTCAAAATTTGACACGTCATAAGATTACTATTCAAAAAAACACGTGAAATCAGAAAAGGCCAACTTCAAGTTAGGACAGAAGGACAGACCAAGCATTTTATTATTATATAATTATTGCATTTTTAAAAATCAACAATTAATTTGAGAAACATGAATTATCGGATGTTTTTTAAATTATCATTTTTATCAGCCCTGCATTGTTGATAACTGTACAGTTCATTTTTGACAATTATTTTTTAAAAATTTATACACTACCGTCCGAAATTGTGCGAACTCTGCTTTTTCAACAACTATAAAACTGTTCAAATCTTCAAAAATATTAAAACTAAAATTTTTTCCTCTTTATTTTATTAAAGTTAATAAAATTCTGAAAGAAATGACACCTTGACAAAGAGAATATGTTAATTTTTCAATTAGATATCTAAGAAAAACCCAATTTTCAATGTTTTTACTATTTTTTTATTTCTCTGGCAAAAATTAATATTTTTAAACGTTCTTAGGCTCATTGAAATCGTATTTTGTTATGCAATTCAAATTATATAAAACAATTCATGTACACATTCTCCCCTAGCGTATGCAAACCGTGAAATTTGGCTCATAAAATGTCAAAAAATTTAAATTTAATTCTACAATAAAATATAATGTTTAAAAATCAAGTAAATATATCATTCTAAACTTCTCTGATTTATGTAAGTAAATTTATGATTTATACATTTTACTGATCATTTTTTGTCATATAAATATTAATCACAATTTTTTGACATTTTATGAGCCAACTTTCACGGTTTGCATACACTGAAAGAAATTTCATAGGAAAAAATAACAAAATGCGTATTACATTTTAATATATTCTTTTAGAATTTAGGGAAAAGTGTACTTTTTATTAAAATTCAATATACTTTATATTAAAGTTCCAACTTAAAATCTTTTTTCAAATATTAATAATTATTGTAGAAAGAACGTAAAAAGATTACCAATATTTGAAAATATTATATTAAATTCTCATAGAGTTGTTGCATTATATGGAATGTAGCGTTCTAATATTTGTAAAACTTTATACGAAAAATTCAGAATGTCGGAAGAAAAGGGAAAAAAAGTGGAAACTCGGAGACTCGGACGTTTCCGTTAATTCTCGGGAGGAAGAGGAGTGAGACTAGGAACAACACATTCACACTTACGATACAGGTTAACACACATACTAATGAACACGCACGTTCATTTCGCTTATACATAGACATTACACGATCGCAACGAAACCTACACTTACAATTCTATACGCATAACGATAAATTTCGCTGGGGGTCGGCATATATCGTTTTCTTATATACTAACTACTGAATATTTTTACCACTTGCGAGAAAGAAGTTTACTTATAATAACTTAATAATAAAAAATAGTTTACTAGTGCCAATGGTGTAATTTTATAGAGGTTACGCTGGGTTCATTTTTATTATTAATTGTTTATATAGATTTTTCTTTTTTTTCAGATTAAAAATTATGATTGTTATAAAAATTTTTATTGCAAATAAAAATCAAATAATTGTAAAGATGACATCAAAAAATAATAATTAATAAAAATAATAATAAATTTAATAATTATAAATGTTTTCTGTGGCACTATAAACATTTGAAACACGTGTGTTGACAGTTGATAGGTACGTTCTGCTGGTTAACAACACTTTCGAAAATCGGATCAAGTCGTAGAAGTTCGAGTAGGACACGAAGCCGCAAACAGACAGAACTTCGGTTAAATTCGTAGTCACTCGGGAAAATCCGTGACTTTTAATATAAAGTTTTACAAAATGTGAAATAAGTATACGGATATATGTTATTTTTCTTACTATTTTGTGAAATTATTTATTATAATATTTCGTATTCTGTGAATTCATAAAGAAAATACTAATTTTTAAAATAAATATACTAATTTTTATTTCTTAAAATAATAGTTACTCTTAAATTCATTATATATTTTCATAAAAACTGTAATAGTAATCAGTATAGGTGCACTTTTTCCCTAAATTGTAACATTTATATTAAACTCTAATATGAGTTTAATACTTAGTAGTATGAATTTTCTTTCAGTGTACGCTAGGGAAGAATGTGTACATGAATTGTTTTATATAATTTCAATTGCATAACAAAATACGATTTCAATGAGCCTAAGAACGTTTAAAAATATTAATTTTTGCCAGAGAAATAAAAAAAATAGTAAAAACATTGAAAATTGGGTTTTTCTTAGATATCTAATTGAAAAATTAACATATTCTCTTTGTCAAGGTGTCATTTCTTTCAGAATTTTATTAACTTTAATAAAATAAAGAGGAAAAAATTTTAGTTTTAATATTTTTGATGATTTGAACAGTTTTATAGTTGTTGAAAAAGCAGAGTTCGCACAATTTCGGACGGTAGTGTATTAACTTGAAATTTGAATTTAAAAATTTTTTGTTCCATTAATTTAATAATCAATTAATATTTATGGCATTTTTGGGAACAAAAGAGAAAATTAATCATTTAACATTTCGAGATTATCCTCATCAGAATTTATTATTCTAGAAAAATATATTTAAAAAAATGTTACATACATGTAATTTTAAGGTTGTAGAAAATTTTTAAAAATTGCAAATTAAAAGAAAATACAACTAACCATTAATTCTAACAATTTCAAAAAATTGAAAATGAAAATTGGTTTTAGTGTCATTGATTTTTCAAGTTTGGATAATCATTTTAAATTTTTAAATTGACAAAATTAACGGTTAGTTATATTTTCGGTATTTTCATGCCTCGGATCGACTTAAAGGCATTAAATTTTACAGAACTAAAAATAATTTATCAAATAATTTTAGATAACATTTTTTAAATGTAATTAAATTTTCAAAGATTTACAATTAAGATTTTTGAAATTAATTGAACTTCAAGTGATTTTTAATTAAAAAATTTTTTTTTTTCACTAAAAAATTTATTAGACACTGCAGACAAAAATACAATAATTTGAAAACCATTTTTAATTGAAAAATGGTTTCAGATAGTTGATTTTTCAAAGAATATTATAAAAATAGTTAAAAATAATTGAATTTCCTTAGAGTTATAATTGAAATAGTTCAATTTCAAAAAATTTTAGAAATAATTAAATTTTAGAAGCTTTTAAATTCAAATTTTTGAAAATAATTGAATTATAATTCAATTTTAGTTGATTTTTGATTGAAAATTTTAATAATAAATAATATTGAGTTGAAATTTTTGAGAATAATTGAATTTTAGTTGATTTTTAATTGAAAATTTTAAAAATAATTGAATTTTCTTTGATTTTGAATTGAAATTTTGGGAAATAATTGAATTTTAATGGAAATTTTGATTGAAAATTTTGATAATAATTAATTTTGAATTGAAATTTTGCGTAACAATTGAATTTTAGCTGATTTTTAATTGAAATTTTTGAAAATAATTCAATTTTATTTGATTTTGAATTGATTTAAGATTTTGAATTAAAAATTTTTGGTAATTTTATTTGATATTTTTTAAAAATTTTAAATAATTGTTAAATTTTATAAAAATTTGAATTGAAAAATAATTTGAAATAATTGAATTTGTTATGAATTTCATTAAAAGTATTAAAAATAATTAATTTAGTGAAGAATTTTAGTTAAAAATTTGTTAAATAATTGAAATAAAGAAGATCTGAAGAAGATCTGCATTTTATACTAAAAAAAATATATTTTATTTAAAAAACTTTTTTAAAAATGTAAAAAAAAGTCGAAATAATCGCATTTTATTAAAATAAGTCAAAAAAAGTCGTATTTTTGAAAAAAAGTCGGAAATAGTCGAAAAAGTCGTATAATCTGAGGCCTGTATTTTCTTTCAAATTGCAATTTTTAAAAATTTTTCTACAACCTTAAAATTTAAATTTTTTTTATAATTTTCTATATTAATAAATTCTGAGGATAAAATCGGTACCGATCTCGAAACATGATTGTTTTCTCTTTTATTCCCAAAAATTCCATAAATATACACATTGCTAAAGTCCACGATTAAAAATAAATTAATTTTTAAGATAGAAAATTGAAAACAAAATTTATATTTTTTTTACAATTTGTTGATTAATAAAAATTGCAAGACAAATATTTTTGAGACAAAAATTCATAGAATTTTTTAATCAAAAATGTATATTTTTAAAAATTGTTGATTATAATCGTTGTGAACTTCATCATCGTAAATATTAATTGATTATTAAATTATTATTATTATTATTGGGAGAAAAATATCAATTTTGAAAATTCGAATATTACAGATTTTTTTTAAAAACAGACCGCAATGACTTTATGTGAATTATAATAAATTAAAACATTAACTATAAAATTGAATAAAATTTTTGTTTTTAATTTTAATGTTAACGAGACATTTAATAATGTTGATAATAATTATTTTGTCGTATTTGATGTATGATATTAATTTTAAAAAAAGATCTCAAAATTAAAAATAAAATCTTGACAATAATTTATTTATAATTTTATAATTATTCTAAAATTGTGGATTAAACAATTTTTGTTTATTTATCCCCTTTGTTATGTATTAAATTGCAGATTTCCAAAAATATGTTGTGAAAGAATTGATAAGAATCCGATCGCAATTAGAGGATATACAACATGGTCAACAACAATTGGCAAATAAATTAAATTCTGCTGGTGTCATTGAACCAACACCATTGGATGCAATTGACAAATTTATGGAAGAATATTCACTCACATTACCTTTTAAAACCGTTGGAGATTTTGAACGTTTCGATGTAACTTTAGCAGCAAATCCAACACTACGAGCAAAGTTTGTAAGTTAAATTTCAATATATTTTAAAATTTAATTTTTTTTTCTTAACCATTTTTTTAGTAACTAAAACATTGGACAAAAATTTTGAAATTTTAATACGCTAACTCGAAAAATTTCTTACTTCAGCTTCGTTTCATCATATAAATTATATTTATTTTTTGCAATTTTCATACATTACTCTAAAAGTTTCCTATTTTTATATTTCTCTTATTTCACTTAAATATTTTTTAACATTACTGTGGAGTATGTATTATAATAAAAAAATTTTTAATATTAAATTAAAAATTTGATAATGAACATTGAAATATTCTCAGAATTTGAATTAACCTTTATTTATAAATAACAAAAGAAACACTTGTTATAATAAAATTAAATTTTCATTTTACTAAAAAGTGATTTCTTAACATTTTTTTTTTATTTAGTAACTAATAAAATTTGTCACGAAATTACGATAATCTAAATAAAAAATAAACTAATGAAAATGCAATTTTTTGAAAATTAACTCCATTTTTCACAAAATATAAAAAAAAAAGATGAAAAATTATAAAGAATTTTTTTCACCTAAATTCATAATAAATGTGAAAAAATTCGTTTAGAATCACCAAAATTTTTCTTTTGAGAAGAAATCATTGTCAATCATTGAATTTTGTCATAATTAAATTTCAAAAAAGAAAATTTCAACTATTCAAGAAAAAAATTGAACAATAAATCGAAACAAAAGTTATTGTCCAACTACATATTTTTGAAGTTTTAAATAAAATAATAATTACATAAACTTTAAAAGTATTTAATTGGAAGTTTAAACAAATTAATTTTTCGGCTTTTTAATAATTAAAACTTTTCATTTAGGCAATATAACCAAAAATTTAATAATCGTTTCGTAAAATAATAAATTTTTTATCTTTATCCAAATAATATTTTTAATGATTCAAAGTGTTGAAAATAAAATTACTCACACTTTTACTGAAAAATATGTTTAATTAAAATTATTATTTTTTTTTTATTTTGAAAATACGAAAATATGATAATATGAATTTGGACTAACTTTAAGGTCATGTAATTGTTGTGATTCCAATTGTAAATGTTCTCCGTAGATTTTCTCGAGAAATACTCGATAGATTTAGCTAAAATTTTGCAAAGAACTCAAAAATACGGGATTCATTGTCATGTGGCAGCGATTCCTTATGTTATTTTTGAGTTCTTCACAAAATTTTAGCTCAATCTATCAAGCGTATTTTGCGAGAAAATCTGCGTATAACTTATTTACATGTGAAATCACAACAATCACATGACCTTAATTGTTTTGACTGTCCTTCAAATTTTTTTTAAGGCCATGTTAAAAACAAGTATAGCGTTATCACAATTAACCAGAAAAAATAGAATATCAAGAAATCGACAATTTTTAAGGATGTCCAACAAAAAATTGTTTTGTTTTTTTAATTCATTTTTTTCATTTGTATAAAAAATTGTGATTCAAAAAACTTTTTTAAAAATATGTATTTACTCCGTGGTACAAAGCTATTTTTAAAAAAATGATGACCTTAAGATAAATAGTTTTTAACGCAAACAAAAAGTATAAGAAAATTTAATTTCAATCCATTTTTTGGAAACCATCATTTTTGAAAAAATAATGTTATGTCAAAAACGTGCGTTAAATAATTTTCAACCAATTTTTATAAAGAATTGTTTTTTTTCATTCATTGAAACATTTTCGTAATTTTTTAATCAATGTTGTTAAAAGTACGCTGTTAAAAAATTATTTAATAAAAACAATTTCCTTTTTTTTCTAATTATATTAAATAAAATATTTTTTACATTAAAAAATTCAGATTGTGAAGAATATTTCAAGGAGCTATTGTTTATAAAAATAGGATAAAAATTGCGTTTTTTCTCTAAGGTGAAAGAAAACAATCAAAATTTCAACAAAAAAAAAGTTATTTAATCAAAAATTTTGAAACATGATTTTTTCTAAAAAATAGATAATTATATATCTTTCAAAATTGACTGAAATTTTGATTTTATTTTAACTTGCGTTAAAAACATAGTTGAAATTTATTTTTTAATCTAAAGTTATTTTAAAGGTGACCATCGTCACATTTTTGATAGTCAAGTGGTATAATTATTATAAAAATTGTACATTAACAAAATTTTTTTTTTTTTTATATTAATTAAGAAATTATTTATTGTTTGCATCAGATGTCCTCGTTGTTAGATCTATTCGACAGAAATCATGTTGCAACAAAAACATTGGTAAACATAATGAAGAAATATATGTCTCGAGACGTTGCACTCAGCTACACTGCCGTTAAACCTGTTAAAGATAAATATGTCTTGAAGGGAACAACTTTCTGCAAATGCATTATAAGTAAGATATAATTTCAAAATTTTTTACTGTGAATTTTTTTTCAAATTCAAAAAGTATTCAAAGTTTTTTTTTTATTTTTTTAAATTTTCTACAAAGCTATCTTTATTTTATAATATTTCTTTTATAATTTTATTTTGAGTATTTTTTTTTAGGAAAATTTGGGAAATTGAACAAATTTACAAAATAAAGTCAATCATATAATTTCAGAATACGTAAAAAGTTTTAACAATATTTTTGTTTATAATGTAAAAATATTGATTTACGTTCAGGAATGTTGAAAAATAATTTATTAGTTTAAAATAGTTAATTAACATTAAATAGTTATATAACATTTCTAGAGATATTAATTTAGAGAACACAAAATTACAGATTTTCATCTTTTTTATGAATGATTGAATAATTCACCCAAGCTTCAATTTATTAAAATTTTTCATTGATTTAAAAATTATTTATAAAACAAGTTTTAATGAATCTAAATTTAATATGGAAATATCTAGACAAGAAACAATAAAAAATAAATAAATATTATATTTATTAATTTGAAAAAATAAGAAATTTTAGATAATTTTGATTATTCAGTATGTTGAAAGAAAAATAGGTCAAACCACTGAAAATCATCTGAAAATAATTGCTGGTTTATTTTTAAAAAATTCAGTTTTAATATTATGTAAAACTAGATGAATTTCTGAGTATATTGGTAATAATATTATCGTGTAAATTTTATTTCTTTTGAAATTATTATTAATTCAAAGTAGGTGGTTCACGATGTGATTTCGTAACCTTAAATGTTGCACTTTTTTTTGGAAACATTATTTAACAACTATAAAATATTAGATTTTATTATTTACTAGAAACATTATTTTATTTTTAAATATTGATTCGAATTTGAAAATTTTTTTAGTAAAAAAATTTCACAATTTTTCGAAGCTTGTAACTTTTTTCTGGAAACTTAAAAAAAAACAAAATCGTACCTTTCACCCTGAAAAAGTCAAATTTATTTTTGATTTTCACTGTTTTTGGTGAAAAAAATTTTGTTTTTTTAAAATGCATATCCCAGTTTTTGAATAATAATATTTTCAAAAAAAAAAGTGCAACATTCACATCGTGAACCTTCTACTTTTAATAAATTATAATTTAAAACGAAAGAAAATTTACACGATAATATTATGACCAAAGAACTTAAAAATTCACCTAATTTCAAAAATATTAAAATTAATTTTTTTTTTTTAAATCAACTACTCTTAGATTATTTTTAGTGGTTTGACGAGTAAAATTAACAATTGCCATATGAGGATTTAATTTTATTTTTCAGGCGTACTATTGAAAAATCATATCGATAAAAATACAGGAATTAAAGCAACTGAACATAATTTATTATCGGCATTAGGATCAGTTTTGGCAAATGCTAAGGATTGGGAAGGTTACAGAGCCAGAAGATCTAAACCTGTTCCAAGATATGACGATTTTTAATTACTATTATTATTAATATTATTAATAAAATATATTATAACTTACACATATATACGTATTATGTGTGTGTATATTGATTCATTTATCTTTATGTGTATTGTGTTTCATTTTAAATGAATGAGATTGTAAAACATTTCAATCTAATAAATGGTATTGTTTGTAATATGAAAGCACTGTAAATCACTTTTTCCCATATAAAGTAGAAAAAAAAATTCTTTAAATCTTTTACCTATATTTTTCTCAATATTCATCGTCCTAATAAATAATTTATTATTTTAATAAATTATGCCAGTTTGGAACAGGAAAAGCATTTTTTCTTGTTTCAAAATGCCAAATTATTTTTAAAAATTATTCTATAAAAGTTAAAAATACAAACACAATTTTTTTTTTGATAAAATTATTTTCTTTACAAATTCATAAAAATTTGAAAATATCGTTTATTTAATTTTCAACTGACAAGCAGGGGAAAAAAACGATCATCATTATTGAGGTATTATTTTTAGATTTAATTTGATGCTTTTCTTTTTTTTTTTTTTTTAATGTTTATTGCATTTGCATGAAAATGTACTAATAAATGGGACAGAAATGAAAAAATGAAAATGTTTATAGTTCTTATAGGCATGAATGAATTTTTGCTATATAAATATCTATTCTTTGAACTAATTCATTTTCTTTTTTTTTCAGGTTTTGGACATTATTCAAGGACAAAACTACTAAAATTTATGGATCAACGTACACGTTATGTAAATACAATGAACGATAAAAAATATCCCTGTGGATCATGTACGAGTGTTTTTCGCCATAAAAACAGTCTCATGACGCATTTACGTTATGAATGTCAACAACCACCTCGATTTAAATGTCCATATTGTCAATTTATTAGTAAAAAAACATCAAATGTACAGCAGCATATTCGACGAAAACATGAGGGTTTTAGAGTTTATGTGCACGATATTTATAATTTATAAAATACACATTCAATCAGGATTTCTACGGATTCTAGAAGTTGTTGAAAAAATTGGAAAAAAGGTTTTTTTTTTTTTTTATCAAATTATTCGTGATTTTGAAAAAAAATAATAATTTTTTTTATCCCGCCACCTGATTTTCTTTGAGGTGAAAAAATTGTATTTTTAAAAAATTTTTGAAAACATATTTATTCTATAGTTCAGAGCTATTTTAACAAATTTAAAGGTTTAAAGTAAAACGGAAAATGTAAATAAAAAAGCTGAATTTTTATGAAACTTGGTATATTTAATATGTGAGGCATTTTATATGAGAATACAAAGTCATGTCTCGGATTTTTCTTAAAATTAGGTAAATTGTAGTTATAGTGGTGCTAAATAAGTGTACAAATTTTGAATTTGAAATTTTTAATATTTTTCGAGATATTTACAATAACAAATTTGAGCAATATTTTTTTGCTTTACTTATAACTTTTTTCCTATTAAAAATATGAGAAAAATGTTGTAAATGTTTTTTACGCGGAAGATCTTAAACTTTTAGAAAAAAATTATTTTTTTTAAAAAATATTAATTTTTAAACAATTTGTTTAAAAAATAAAATTTGTTTATAACTTTTAAACATGTTCTCCCTCATTTAGAAGCGCGAAAAAAATCATGAATATTGTTTAAGTCATAATAAATCGATAGTTAAATTTTTGAGATGGCATTATTTTTTGTTTTCGAGATATTAATTAATTAACTAACAAAAGTTAATAAAAAATGAAATTTTTTACGAACAAATAAAATTAGAGTAATTTTAAAAAACACCATTAGAATGCTTATTAAAATCCGCATCCAACGAGCCATATATGAACTATTTCTAATAAACGTGTGTGAAATAAATAATTAATAACAAAAATTATTTAAATAATTAATAACAAAAATTATTTAAATAATTAATAACATTTGAAGCAATGAATATAAATCGTCAATTCTATTTTTATTTGGAAGATCATATAATTCTGTGTTAAATAAAATCAGTGTAAATAACATTTTTAACAAATTTAATTTATTAACTGATGATTATTGAAAATCAATGTTTCAGCACCCCACGACACAAGTTGGATGAGGCTGTCTACCTACTCGGCATGGTATTTTTCAGTCTTTTTCTAAATAACATTTTATAATTAATTTTTGATTCTTGGTAATACTTAATATTCTTTTTTTGACACAGAATTATATGATCTTCCAAATAAAAAAAGAATTGACGATTTATCTTCATTTCTTCAAATGTTATTAATTATTTAAATAATTTTTATTATTAATTATTTATTTCACACACGTTTATTAGAAATAGTTCATATAGGGCTCGTTGGATGCGGATATTGATAAGAATTCTAATAGTGTTTTTAAAATTACTCTAATTTTATTTCTTCGTAAAATATTTCATTTTTTATTAACTTTTGTTAGTTAATTAATTAATATCTCGAAAACAAAAAATAATGCCATCTCAAAAATTTAACTATCGATTTATTATGACTTAAACAATATTCATGATTTTTTTCGCGCTTCTAAATGAGGGAGAATATGTTTAAAAGTTATAAACAAATTTTATTTTTCAAACAAATTGTTTAAAAATTAATATTTTTTAAAAAAAAAAATTTTTTTTCTAAAAGTTTAAGATCTTCCGCGTAAAAAACATTTACAACATTTTTCTCATATTTTTAATAGGAAAAAAGTTATAAGTAAAGCAAAAAAATATTGCTCAAATTTGTTATTGTAAATATCTCGAAAAATATAAAAAATTTCAAATTCAAAATTTGTACACTTATTTAGCACCACTATCACTACAATTTACCGAATTTTGAGAAAAATCCGAGACATGACCCCGTATTCTCATATGAAATGCCTCATGTATTGCTGATTAAAGTTTTAAAATCAGATTTTAAAAATTCAAAGCGTTGAATCTAATATAGAATTTTTTTTAATGAATTGTTTCTTTTTTAGGGCATTTAGATTTTCATTCAAAATTTGTTTTTGACGTTAATTTTCGAAATTAAAAAAAAAAAGAAATTACGTATTTTTTAATTTGATAAAAATTATGGAAGTTATGATTTTTTTAAATTTAACGTCATCAGAAGCAGAGTACTTTTGTCCTGCTGACAAATAAAAAAAAAAATTTCTTCATTATTTTAATTATTTAGAAAAAAATAATCTATCAAAAATGGAAGCATATTTAAAAATATGAAATTAAATCTAAAAAGTTACTTTTCTCAAAATCGAAGTGATCGAATTTTTGAAATTTTTTTTTTTTTAATTCAATCTCTAATAAGAAACTTTTTACTGTTTATGCGAAATAAATATAATTTGCCTTCAAAATACTATTTACAATTTTTTAGCACCACTCATAGATATTGATGCATTTATTTTATAAATATGACCCCTTCTCCTTACCATTAATTTGTTTTTTTTTATTATTTACAGAAATACATAATGTTAATCTTTGCATCTGGCTTAAAAATTGTAAATAGTATTTTAACGGCAAAAAACGCCACTTTCGCAAAAAATGAAAAAAATTTCCTTATTGATAAGAGACGGAAGTTTAAAAAAAAATCAAAAATCGATAACTTCAGTTTTGAGAAAAATTACTTTTTAGACTTAATTCTAATTTTTTTTTAAAGAAAAACGTATTTCAAAGGTATTTAATTCTACTTCCAACGACGTTAAAATTTAAAGAATCATAACTTTCTTAATTTTTATTAAATAAGGAATTAAAAAATATGTATTTTCTTATTTTTTATAAAGATTTCGAAAAAAAAATATCCCAGTTACAAACAAATTTGAATAAAAATCTGACATGGAATGTCTTTTTTATAAAGTATTCAAAATTATTAAAAACTTTTATTTATTTATTTAAAAAGAATAAACGAAGAAAAAATAAAGACCCGTGTGGAAAAAGCCACGATCTTGCCCTCAAGAGTTAGGGGCCCCCGGCGGGGGCCCATGAGGGCTGATCCATATGGCGAATCCATGAGGGGCACCGTAGGGGCCCCGCATGGATCGCCCTCATGATCGATTAGCAAAATTTTCTAAGTCCAAAAGTCAAATATTTTTTCATCAACAAAAAATGAATGTTTCCAATGATTCAAAACAACGAAAAACGCGTTTTTAATAAAAATATATTTACACTTTTTTGAAAATAACACTCACACTTATGGCAAAATAGATGAGGGCCACCGTAGGGGCCCGCATGGATCGCCCTCATGATCGATTAGCAAAATTTTCTAAGTCCAAAAGTCAAATATTTTTTCATCAACAAAAAATGAATGTTTCCAATGATTCAAAACAACGAAAAACGCGTTTTTAATAAAAATATATTTACACTTTTTTTGAAAATTCACCTGAGATGATTCATGATAATAATCATAAAGCATATAATTAATTATATTTTATAAATTGCATTTGATTGGAAAATATAATTTAATATCTTAACTTTAACTAAATAATGTTAAGCACTTTTCTTTGTTAGGTATTTTTGAATTTTAAATAGCATCAAGAAGTTAGCATTCGTTTTGAAGTAGCGTGCGTAGCGTAGTTGGTAAAGCGTTAGACTCATAGTCCGTAGGTCGTAGGTTCGATTCCCCCCATGCGTTAGATTTATTTATTTCTCAGGTTTGCGTTTAATCATTAATTCTATGTATGAATTAATTGAAAAATGAAAATATCCGTTAATAGTATGCATAAATTAAATATTTTTTAATTTTTTAATTAATTAATTTATTATTACTTTTAATTATATCCGACAGTTAATTAATTAGAACGTTAATTAATAAATTCAATTTGAGTAAGAATTTAATTTAAAATTGAATAATTATTAAATAAATATGTTATTTATTCATAACTTAAGCTTATTTATTATTAATTAACTTTTATTATTAATATTATTGATTAAAAAACATTATGGCAAACTTGAGGGCAAGATGAGGGCAAACGTGAGGGCCCATAAGGGCGCCCGTAGGGGCACCCTCATGGATCGCCCATGCGGGCGCCCTCATCGATGAGCATGTCGTTTCCATGAGGGCCCCCTATGGATCATCCATATGCGGCCCTCATGGCATGAGGGCGATCCATAAGGGCCCCCGCTGGGGGCCCACATCTCTTTTCCACACGGGGAAGATAAATTTTATTATATTTTAAGCCTTAGATTGTTAAGGAGGATGATGACCTGATAACATAACCACAAATTAAAAAATGATTTTTAACTATGTTTTTAACGTAAGCTTATTTATTTTAAAATATAAAAAAATTAAATTTCATTTTATTTTAAATTAAATTAAATTAAATTAAATTTTAATTTAATTAACTTTTATCCACTTTTATTTTATTTTTATAAATAGATTATTTTACTCTTTTAAATATTCTCCACAAACGTAATTTTTTCAATTTAAAAAATATTTCCTTAAAAAATTAAAAAATTGAAAAAATTACGATTATAAAGAATTATGTAAGTAAAATAAGTTATTATTTTAAGGGTATGCGCCGCCATCTTTGTTTTCATTTTCGTTTAACAATTCCACTTTTTAAACTTCATTTTTTAATAATTTAACGCAAAATTATGTATTTTTCGGAAAACAGTGAGATTCCTTGTACCCTAATCTATCATCCCTAAAAATTTGAGACCAAAATCTTTTCTCATTTTAGAGTGAAATGTATTGGCGATTCAAACAGCTACACTAGCGCCACAGTTGAACTAACTTAGGCGTGACTCGCTCTAAAGCAGTCTCTGTTGTGACAGTTTATTTCAAATTATTTAATTATTCTGATATTTTTATTGCGTTTGTAAAATAATTTTTAAGCGTTAAATAAAAAAAAATAATTTAAAACACATGGAGTGCTACAGAGCGAGTCACGCCTAAATTAGTTCAACTGTGGCGCTAGTGTAGCTGTTTGAATCGCCAATACTATCAAAACACTTTTTCCCATACTTGGTCACGTGGGAGGTTCCCACATACCCTTAATAAAAATTTGATGAAAATTGCAATTTTTGTCTCAGCTAAATGTGTATAATTAGATCGACAAAAATTGATTGAAATAAAATTTTCTCATATTTTTGTTTGCGTTAAAAACTATTTACCTTAAGGTCAACATCTTTTTTAAAATAGCTTTGTACCACGGAGTAAATACATATTTTTAAAAAATATTTTTAAACACCATTTTTTATATAAATGAAAAAAATAATGAATTAAAAAAACAAAACAATTTTTTGTTGGACATCCTTAAAAATTGTCGATTTCTTGTAATTCAATTTGCTTTGGTTAATTGTGATAACGCTATATACTTGTTTTTAACATGGCCTTAAATAAGAATCTGAAAAACAGTCAAAACAATTAAGGTCATGTGATTGTTGTGATTTCACGTATGTAAATATATATTCTCCGCAGGTTTTCTTGTAAAATACTTGATAGATTGAGCTAAAATTTTGTGAATAACTCAAAAATAATATAAAAAATCGCTGTTATGTACCAGAAAATATTAATATTAATATTTTTACAAAATAGTTTTGTATTTTTTTTTTTACTCTGGCACACAAAATTTCAGCTAAATCTATCGAGTATTTCTCGTTAAATCTTGGATTTGCTTTTGTTCCGATTATGTTTGTCCAATTCTTTGGGATGTGTAAAAGTTACAAAAAATAATTTTTGTATCCCTTTTTTTATTACAATTTTATTTTTTGACAGTAGTAAAGAAAATTTTGTTCTTTTTAAATCGACGCAAGAAATTTTGCAAATAACTGACTTATCGTTACTCAAGTTTTTGTAATTACTAAAAAGCAAGAAATGCATAATATTATAACTGCGATAATTTTCATTTTCATAACTCTCATGTCTAAAGTTAGAAAAATTTTATTACAATTTTTCATAAAATAATTTCTCCCATTTATTATTAAATAAACAAATAAAAATAATGTGAAATTTAAATTTCCGTTGGAATCCTGTTAAATCATATTTTTAAAAAAAAATACATATACAAAATGTAATAAAAAAAAAGAAAGTAAAATAAAATTCCTATGTTATATGCAACTTTCTTCTTTTCATTTATAAAAAAAAAATTAAATAATTAATTTTTTAAATATTTTTTGTAATTTTTGTTAATTTTTTAAGTTAATGAATTTTATATGACTGCAATATGTAATTATAAAGTTTAATTTTATTTCTCTAGAATATATAATTAAAATTAATATATATACTAATTTGTAGAATTTTTCAGATTCCAGATGTGAAGAGTACTGGTGTTCAAAGTGTAATGTTCAATATCCAGGGAAACGAAATTTAAAAGAACATTTGGCACTTTATTGCAATCGCCCTCCACGTTTTCAGTGTCCTTATTGTCCCGTTTGTATGAGACAAAGATCAAATGTTTACAAACATATTCGAAGTCAACATAAAGGAAATAGTATTTATGTAATTGATTTAAATATTAAAAATACATAATATTTTGTTTAGAAAAAAAAGAAACAAAAAATTGATAAATTATTGTATTATTATTATTATTATTATTATGCTTATTTAATTTTAAAATGTGAATTTCTTTTTGTATCTTGTATTTTAGTATTATTAGCTCTCAAACAAATTGGCTAAAATTAAAAAAAAAAATTATTTTTTCTAATATATACGCACCGAAAGTACACCATTTCTTACCTGTGTAGCGGGAGGGAAAGTTACTTTCCCTCCCGGTGACGTCATTAAGCGGGAGGGAAAGTCATTTTTCCTCCCGGTGTTGTTACTGGTAGATAGAAATGAAGAATATAATTTTGTTTTATAATATAAATTATTAATACTGACAGGTTATCGATTTACGAAAATTTATTTTGCAAACTTTCGACAAAATATTATTAAAGTTTCATTAAAAAAAATTAATAATTGTGTCCCGATCAAAAAAACCGATTATAATTTTCTGACGTTCGAATTAGTTGGCCCCTGAGTAGAAAAAATTCTTTTTTTCAATTTTAATTTTTTTGTGAGCACATTCCGATATTAGAGAATTTTATTGCTCATTTATTTTCTCTTTGACAAAAAACTCCCATATATTATAGTTTTTGAAATATTGATAGTGTAAATAAAAATTAATTTTAATAATAAACAAAAAAGTTAACAATTTTTTTTTTGAACCAATGCAAAATTATAGTGCGTTTCAATCTTCCGCAGCGCTTCGTTTATTTGAAAAATTTTCACCAACAGTAAACTTCTAGTGAGAAAATTGTTCATTAGGGCATAAAAAAGTTTTCTAAAAATTATTAATACATCACAATAATTATTATTCAAGATATATTAATTATTTTAAATCGCTAGCCGCTAGCGGAAGACCGTTTCGCGCGCGTGACGTATGAGTGAGGTTAAGTCAATCGTAACTAGTTTTATTGACTTTACAATAATAACAATAAATAATTTTTTTTCTTAATTACTTTTTTTCTTAAAACACTTATTTTACATTAAAATTGTTTCAAATACACTAAAAACGACGATTTATTTTGTCAAATTCACTGCGAATTATTTTGTTTTTATACAAATCTCAAACTCACACACAGTAAAGACGGTAAAAACCAAAGCAAAGAGGCGCACCATTCATAACAAAAGCAAATGTATGCAAGTATTTTGAACAAAAATCAATATAGCTACAAATAATTGATTTTGAAGTATAATTTGATTTTGTTTTAAAATTATATGCTTAAAAATAAAATTATTCTTGTACTAAAAAATTGAAGTTTTATTGAACGATTGACTTAACCTCACTCTTTACGTTACGCGCGCAAAATGATCGTCCGCTAGTGACTTAAAATAATTAATATATCTTGAATAATAATTATTGTGATGTATTCATACTTTTCAGAAAATTTTTTTATGTCCTAATATACATTTTTCTCACTGGAAGTTTATACTGTTGGTGAAAATTTTTCAAATAAACGAAGCGCTGAAAGATTGAAACGTACTAATTTTGCATTGATTCTGAAAAAAATTGTTAACTTTTTTGTTTATTATTAAAATTAATTTTTGTTTACACTATCAATGGAACAATAAAATAAGTCGTTTTTTCATTTTTATTTGATTAAAAAATATCAAAAATTGTCTTATTTATCGAGAGTTGAAGTCAAAAAAATTATTAAATTTTTAGTTTTCAAAAAAACAGTTTTTTAAGAATATTTCAAAAACTATAATATATATGGGAATTTTTGTCAAAGAGACAATAAATGAGCAATAAAATTCTCTAACGGAATATGCTTACAAAAAATTAAAATTGAAAAAAAGAATTTTTTCTACTCAGGGGCCAACTAATTTGAGCGTCAGAAAATTATAACCCGTTCTGTAAGACCAGGTCCAAGTGAGGCAGCGCCATCTACATTGATACTAAAATTTTGGAAAATTTTCAACAGCCTTTTCTTGAAAACAAGATGGTAAAATGCTTTTTCCTTTATGGATAATTGATTATTGGCAAGATATATACCAGCTAAAACTTTTTTTGATTTAAAATAATAAAAAAAATTTCATGTCGATAAATTAAATATGAGCACTTTTTTCACAAAAACTGTAACAGTACTTTCTCAGAAATTACAATCAAAAATGCAATTTCCATTTGGAAAATTAATAAACGCTAATAAATACACCACCTAAGATTTACCAATCACGAAAATAACAAAAAAAAAATTTTATTAAATATTTAACATATTGATACTGCTTTACTGATTGTGACAGCCCTTTGGTAGATTATGTATTTCAGGTGGTTAGCAACAGCGCCAATCTCCTCCTTTCGGCAAAACCGCGAAACGTCTGGTGACATATATAACCTGCTAAACGGCAGTCATAATGAGTAAAATATTTTATGTTAAAAAACTTTTTTTTTTGTTATTTTCGTGATTTGTAAATCTTAGGTCGTGTATTTATTAGCGTTTATTAATTTTCCAAATGGAAATTGCATTTTTGATTGTAATTTCTGAGAAATTACTGTTACAGTTTTTGTGAAAAAAGTGCTCATATTTAATTTATTGACATGAAATTTTTTTTATTATTTTAACTCAAAAAAAGTTTTAGCTGGTGTATATCTTGCCAATAATCAATTATCCATAAAGGAAAAAGCATTTTACCTTCTTGTTTTCAAGAAAAGGCTGTTGAAAATTTTCCAAAATTTTAGTTTCAATGTAGATGGCGCTGCCTCACTTGGACCTGACCTTAATTGGGACTTTCAATTTTGAGAACTATTCTAAAATATAGTCAAAAATTAATATTTTCTTTTTTTTGACAAACTTGGATGTTTTTAGAAACCAAATGAAGCAAGAATTTATTTTAGAAAATTTTTTAAAATTTATATAAAGAGTGAAAAAAATAATTTTTGGTTAAAAAAAATAATTTTTTTTAATATTTTAGAGGTGATTCGTTTGAGAGATTTTGACTCACACGTATTATTGTTATTATTATGCATGCATATTATCACTTTATTTATTTAAGTGTACGCTATTAGAACGTGTGTATTAATTAAGCTTTTTTTTCCGATTACGTATAAATTAAATTATTTTATAATTATGTATATTGTATATAGCACATAACCTATAATATAGTGCCCTTTAAATGCGGCCTCTGGCTATAGCAGGCTATGGGCTTTATATTATTGACAAATAAAAAAAAATAATAATTTTTATTTGTTCTTATTATTAAATAACGATTTTATCCCTTTTGGTAGATGTATTAGATAATAAAATTATAATTATTCAATCCTCCAATTTAGGTTAAATCGCAAGTTTAAATAAAAACTTTTTTTTCACTTTTTATAACTCAATATAAATTTCAGAGAAGATTGATTATATTATATTATCCGTTATTATTATTATTATTATTATTATTATTATTATTTATAAAAGACGATAATTTAGTATTTTTACTTATAAATTATATTTTAATTATTATACAATTATTAAATAAATCAAACAAAATTGCCTAACTAAAGAAAATATAAATTTTATATTTCAGATTATTTCATCACAAGAAGCAATCGTCAAAAAAAATACGTTTGCGCTGAATGCAACAAGGCTTATGTGAACGATAGGGATTTACGAAGACATCAAAAATATGTTTGTGGTGGGAAATTACCACAATTTCAATGTCCATTTTGTCCACAAAAAGCAATTTTTAGATGGTTACTTTCTGTTCACGTAAGAACTGTACATCCAGAAAATGTTGTTAATTTAGAACAATAATTTTTAAAAAATAATTTATTTATTACATTCTGTGTGTGTGTGTGTGCGAGCTAAATGTAAAATTTCAATAAATTACAATTTTTAATATAATCTTGTATTTGAAAATATTGTATCCTTTGTATATTTTTTTTATATAAAAAAGTTTACAGAAAAATTTAATTTGCGTAGACGCATTTTTTTGTGATTTTACATATAAAATAATTGTGTTATTGTATACATATTTATTTGCATTATAATATTCAATAATAATAATAATTAACTTTTTTAGATTACAAGTTTTTTATTAAAACCAAAAAAAAAAAAACACTTTATGGAATAATTTTTTTCTATTATTAAAAAATTGTTACTTTTTTGTTTTAGAATGGACAAGTTCACATCAGAGAAACGAATTGCTGATGTCAAAGAAACAAATAATTACTTCTATAAAACGTGATCGTCAATTTTTTTATACTTGCAATCAATGTAAAAAAAGTTATCAACATCAACGTACACTTTCTCGACATTTAAAACATGAATGTGGAAAAACTGCTCGATTTCGATGTCCATATTGCGCACACTGTACAAAGCAAAGGGGAAATTTATATCAACATATTCGTTCAAGTCATGCTGGACAAAATATTTATTGTATTGATGCATTTTCTGGTTCTTAGACAATAATAACAATAATAATAATAATAAAAAATTATTATTATTTTAACCTTTAAACTGCTAGGTGCTAAAATATTACGCTTAGTGCGCTTTTCTCGGTTTTTGCAGGTTATGTTGACTGACAGAACTAGTTACATATACAAACATTTGCTGCCTACAACCTACAACAAATTGTCACCTACCTAACAGTTTTTCATAAAATATGAAACTACTCAAAAGTTGAAGCTAATTTCTATTGTACTTTAAAAAAAACAATAAACGAAAAATAACGGTCTCAGAGATCGCTATAGTAGTTTAAAGGTTAACAATACCGGAATTTGCAATTAAAACCAGACGAGTTCATGTTTACATAAAATGACCAAGCAGCACACGTAATATTACTCTAATATCTAATATCATAGTAATATTATAATATGAAAGATTTGTAATATTATATGTAATATATTGAGAGACATTTTCCTTCCTCGTTTCCTTCTCTAACTCATTCTTCCGGTTGCGTTTACGATTACGATTCCGGTTACAGCGGTTCCACATGGGAGCAAAATAGCCGCGACGAGACGACTGCCTTACCCCCACTGCGCCATCTAACTAATGCTTTCCCCTTCTGACGTCACGGAGGGGAAAGCATTAGTTAGATGGCGCAGTGGGGGTAAGGCAGTCGTCTCGTCGCGGCGATTTTGCTCCCATGTGGAACCGCTGTTACGTTTCTATTCTCGGTCTCTGAAATTCTTTGGCATTTAATAATTGCCCTTTAAAAACGGCGAACGGTCTCTGAAATTCTTTGGCATTTAATAATCGTCCTTTAAAAACGGCACTGAACGTGAAAATGATAAATATTGATTTTAAAATACTTTTTTCTCAAAACGCGGACACTTTTTTCAAAATCGGAAAAAATACCAAGGATCCTTATCTTATAAATTTCTTAAATCCGAAAGATTATGCAAATCTATACAAAAACGCGATTGTAAAATGAAAAGTACGAAAGTAATATATGACAGCTGCGACATTGTGCTCCCTGCATGCTTCTGACACCTAACGGCTGCAGGAAGTAATAAAATATAAAATTATATTACTTTCGTACTTTTCATTTTATAATCGCTTTTTTGCATAGATTTGCACAATCTTTCGAATTTAAGAAATTTATAAGATAAGGATCCTTGGTATTTTTTCCGATTTTGAAAAAAGTATTTTAAAATCAATGTTTATCATTTTCACGTTCAGTGCCATTTTTAAAGGGCGATTATTAAATGCCAAAGAATTTCAGAGACCGTTCGACACTCTTAACCTACAAACCAATCTCATTTTTTTTATATTTATTTTATAAGCATAAAAAATTTACACCATTAACGTAATAAATATAATAACAACGTTGTTTACAATTGTATTATTTTTTTTGAATATTTTTTACTAAATATAAAAAACTGTAAACAATACGTAAACAGTTTTACATCTTAAAAATAATATAAATTTATATATCAACAAGTTAGGTTTCCACTTGGAAAGATTCCCCGGAAAGTGCCCCCTGGAGGTTCTATCAGAATTCCGCCGGAACTTGCAACGTAATTCCGTCGGAATTCCATCGGAGTTCCAAAGAATTTCCAATGGGATTCTCTAAAAAATTTTGAAAAAAATTAATCGGAATCCCATTGGAAATTCTTTGGAACTCCGATGGAATTCCGACGGAATTACGTTGGAAGTTCCGGCGGAATTCTGATAGAACCTCCAGGGGGCATTTTCCGGGGAATCTTTCCAAGTGGGTTGGTTCGTTGGACAACATTTCCGACTCGTGTTCGAGTGGTTTGAAGTTCGATTCCCACTGGCGAGATTTTTTTCTGAAAATTAAAGGGTTTATTCTCAGTATTACATTGTAATATTATGCCAATATTGAATAGTAATATTACCGTGTAATATTACATGCAATATTACCTTCAAGCGGACATTTTTAATATTACTGTAATGTTATATACCATAATATTACTAATCTTTCATGTACAATATGCTATCTTTGGCATGTTTTCATAAAATGATGAACAATTTTTATAACTTTAATTATATATAGATTTATTACTTTGTCATATATTATATAAATATACTCTTTGTTGTATTAATTTATTATAAATGTAAATAAATATTTTTCTAATTAAAAATTGAATATTCTTCAAGAAAAAAAATGAAAGCAGTGGCGTAGGAACTGGTGGGTAAAGGGGGGGGCAGTTGCTACCCCAGTTTTTAAGGAGAGTGGCGGGTCAACATAACCTCAAAAACCTGTCAAAATTAAAAAATTGTTTTTAACGCAAACAAAAATATAATAAATATTAATTTCAAACAATTTTAGAAGATCAAAATTTACTCCTTTCGAAAAAAATTATTTTTTTCCAAAATATTTTGTCAATAATTATTTTTTTAACATTTAGTTTTATTTTATTTTAAATCAGACAAAAAGTGCAATTTTTAACCAATTTTTATAAACAAAAGCTCATTTTATTAAGTGAAACATTCTCTACAATTGTTACCTTTTTTATATTGTAATAAGTATGTTCTTAAAAAGTTATTTAATAAATAAAATTTTAATTGTTTATAACTTTTTAAGAACATACTTATTATAATATAAAAAAGGTAACAGTTGTAGAGAATGTTTCACTGAGTAAAATGAGCTTTTGTTTATAAAAATTGGTTAAAAATTGCAATTTTTGTTAAATATTTAAAAGAAAAAAAAACTAAATGTTAAAAAAATAATTATTGACAAAATATTTTGGAAAAAAAATAATTTTTTTCGAAAGGAGTAAATTTAGATCTTCTAAAATTGTTTGAAATTAATACATTTATTATATTTTTGTTTGCGTTAAAAAGAATTTTTTAGTTTTTACAGGTTTTTGAGGTTATGTTGACCCGCCACCCTCCTTAAGGCCAGGTCCAAGTCGTGTCAGCTGTTCCATTATTGAAACTTCAAAGGAACAGCTGACTCGACTTGGACCTGGTCTTAAGAAAATACGAACGAATTGTATATAAATAATATAGTTTTGCCCCCCCCCCTAGAAAAAAATCTATTCCTACGCTTCTGAACAAAAGATACAAATAATATGTTACACATTTGAGTTTATATTATTTTATTTTATTATACCTCTATGCCATATTTGGAAAAAAAATGTTATGTTTTTAATTTCAAAGAATAATATAAAAGCTTATGTTCAATTTATAATTCTTTAATTTATGTTTAAAATAAATATTTTTTTATTATACTGGTTCAAAATAAAATTCAGAAGAATATTCTATGTCAATTTTTATATTATACCTATACACGCGACTTATATTGACATGTTATAAATAATTTTATTTTAAATACTGCTTCATTAAATTATTATTATTATCAGCATTTTTTTTTAAATCCCCACCATTTTCTAATTGCAATTTTTGTAATAAAAAAAATAATTATTTCAGATTGGAGACAAAGTTACAACTACCATCAACAGAAAATGTATTCATGTCCTCGATGTGGAAGAAGTTATAAAATAAAACAATCATTACGCAGACATTTAAAAGTTGAATGTGGTCGTGAACCATCACAAAAATGTCCCTTCTGTCCTCATTATTCAAAATATAAAGCAAGCATTTTGAAACATGTTAAATTAATTCATCCTGATATGCCTTCAATTAAATAAATATTCATCTCTATTTATATTTGAAAATATTCCCAGCTGTGTATTATAAAATTATAATTATATTTGTCTTGAAAAAAAAATGTAAATAAAAACATGTTTTCTAAATAGTCGATTAATTTTACTCCTTGTTAAAAATTATTAAATTTTAAGAATCAAAAATCTACGATTGTAATAAATTTTAATTTTTTTGCTTCTTTTTCAAGTTGCATCTCTTATATATTATATACACAAATTATATATTTCACATTTATATTTTATTAAAATTTATTAATTATGTGATATAAAGGAAAAAAAAAAATTAAAAAAAAAAAATATCTTATGTTTCTAGGATACAAACCGAGAAGATCTCGTGGTCTGGGTCGACATTTTTGTGAAAATTGTGGTAGACGTTATTATGATGCCAAAAATTTGAGACGACATTTATCGCATGAATGCGGTAAAAAGCCATATCTCCAGTGCATTTATTGTCCATATAAATCGACATATAAATTTTATTTAGATAAACATATTGAAAAACATCGATCTGGAATATCTCTTGGCTATGGAAATAATTAAATTTTTTTTTTTTCATTGAAAACGTTTTTATAAATAAATATAATATATGTTATTACAATATACTTTTTTTATATATATCTAAATTTGATGTTTTACCTGTTTTAAAAAAAAAATTGTTTAATACGACAAAAAAAAAATGTATTTGATAAAATATGTACTAATTTATAGGTTATATAAGAAAAGGAAAAAATAAATCCATATTTCTTATTTTTCATTATCCTTTATTTAATAAAAATTTTATTATAAATATTTATATGAAAATTTTCCTTTTGATAATTATTCTACACGTGTTTAAACTAAAATTTATTTTTTGCCACTTTTTCTTATTTTTATTTAATAAATACTTATTTTTTACTTACAGAAAATAATCTCCATGTACAAATGGCGAAAATAAATCGATCAAGAAATACAAAGGATAAAGAAATAATAACTGAGGGGAAATTTAGCTGTGCTGCCTGTGGTAGAACGTATATTTTAGCAAATAGTTTAGTTAAACATATTCGTTATGAATGTGGTGGAAAAAAGAAATATGCTTGTAATTTTTGCAATACTGCCTTTACACAAAATGGAAGTTTACGTCGTCATTTGCAAAATAATCATAATATATTTGTAGAGCCTAGAAAAAAATTTATATTAAACGTTAATAGAGATTAAAAGAAAAAAAGAAATAAACAAAAAATTAATTTAAAATAAAAAAGACGTTTAATTATTGATCAACGATTAAAAATGAAAAATTATTTTTCTATGCGGAAAATAAAATTTTTTGCCTAAAAATTTTTCTCTTCCATTATTGACGATCAAAAAAAAAAAAAAAATTACAAAAATTTTTTTAAGCAAAAAATTATATAGAAAAATATTTTTTCTTCGTCGATGAAAGAAAAAAGGCACATAAATATAATTTTAATTATTTTTCAGGGTTTCTACACAAATATTTTCTTATTACAAAGTTTCAGGAATTTTTCATCAATATGCGGGAACGTTCACAAAATGATGTCACACACTTTTTTCAAACTTTTTTCATTTTTCACCATTTCCCCCACTAATTTTGTTTAATCTTTAATCATTTTAATATTTTTATTTTTCTTATTGACATTTCTTTTAAATTATTACACTATTATCACGATTTTTTTTTAATAATTCTATAGTCTTTTAAATTTTTTCGCAAACTGATGGAGCTTGACATCATTTTTATGAACTTCCCAATTTCAAAATTCTAAGAATTTCTCAAAAATCGACAAATAATGTAAAATAACAAAATTTAGTTTAATTTAAATTTAAATTTTCATCTTGAAAATGTATTTTTTCATTTTGATTTATAAATATAATATTCGATATAAAAAATTTTTCTTTCTTTTCTTTTAAGAAATTAAATTTTCATCAATTAAAAGTGCTACTAAATTCGGTGAAATTAAAATTATGTCCAAAGAAAAATTTGGTTAAATAAAATTTCCATCAATTAAAAATGTATCCAAAGTAAATTCGATTAAATACGCAAATTTCGACAATATTGAAAATTCTTATAAATTAAACATTTTTTTTTCAAAAGCAAATTCATTGAGATAAAAATTTGATCTCTTGAAAATTCGGCAAAATGCAAATTTAGTTAAATAATTAAATTACGTCAAATAACAATTTGGTTAAATGTAAATTTCCACTATTAAATTCGGCAAAATGCAAATTTGGTTAAATAATTAAATTACGTCAAATAACAATTTGGTTAAATGTAAATTCTACTATTAAATACAAATTTTCATCAATATATTGAAAATATTATATTAAAATTTGGTAAAATTAGAATATTAAATTAATATTCTCTCGAAAATAAATTCGGTGAAATGAAAATTCTGTTAAATTAAAAATTTATTAAATGTAAATTTTTGGGAACTAAAAATGCTATTAAATTAAAATTTGATAAAATTAAAATATTAAATTAAAATTCTATACAAAATAAATTCGGCGAAATGACAATTTTGTTAAATGAAAATTTTGTCAAAAGCAAATTAACTAAAAATTTGATCTCTTGAAAATTTTGCCGCATAATTTGATTAAATAATTATTACGTCAAATAAAAATTTGGTTAAATGAAAAAATTCCATTAAATGCAAATTTAGCAAAATTTCCAACGAAAAATTTCATGATTCCATGAAAATTCCAAAATAGAAACCCTGTTTTTCATCATTAAGAAAACTGAAACCTATTTAAATGTAATAAATTTTAATTTCTAAAAATATTACTACTATATTAATAATTAATAAAAATAATTATAAAAAATGAGAGAAATATTTGTATACCATTGTCTTAAAATTTTATTAAATATTTATATATATTCTGAAAGTTATTTAATTAATAAAATCCATTAATATTAGTGTAAATATGTTTTACTTTAACCCTTTCTTACGATTTTTTTTTCAATTAAAAAAATAATAATTTTCTTATGCATGTTAAATTATTTGAAAAAGTATAAATTAACATTTTATTTTTGAAAATATATTTATAAATTACAAAAAGGCTCTAAAAAAAGAAGCTTAAAAAAAAATAATAATAATATCTAATTTCACTATTTTGTTACTAATATTAAATATTTTTTTCAGATTCAACCTCTTACTTAACATCGTCTCAACAACAACAACAACAACAACAACACAAATCACTATATTCAAATCACATGAACGAAGAAGGTGTTCATTTAAATTGTCCACGATGTGGCAGAGCATACAAATTTAAGCACAGTTTATTAACTCATTTAAATAATGTTTGTGGTGGTCAGAGAAAATTTAATTGCGATATTTGTCACAGAGCCTTCACACAAAATGTTAGTCTTCGACGACATTTAATGAGAAATCATAATATTTATCGACCACCTGGATTGCGTGGGAGAAAAACCAAATTCTCCTGAAAATTATGAGAAAAAAGAAACAAAAGAAATTACAAACAATATTTTCTTATATTGTATTAGAGATTAATCTTAGAATAATTCTTTTTTTTTTTTACATTATCCAAGGAACAAATGCAAATTTCGAAGTAAATATTTATTTTGGTAATTTTTATAATAAATTTTTTGAATAAATGTATTGAAAAAATATTTATTTTGTATCCATAATTTTTTTGCTTTTTTTGTTCTTTTTTTTTTTATAATTGAAAAAATAGTTTTACATAATTTGCATTTTAATGCATATCTTTAGTTATTAAGAAAGTCAGTGTATCAAAAAAAAAAAAAAAAAAAAGTAAAATGTAATTAAGAAAATCAATTTTTATGTATTAAAACTAGTGTTTTTAATAAGTTGACAGAAATGGCAGTTCTTTTTTCAGTCAACTTTTTTTTTTTCTTGATTTTCTTTCCCCTTTTTTTTTATACATATGTACATACAAAACAAATACACTTTTTTTTTTTAGTGTTAAGTAAAAATAAAACAGAACAAAAAACGAATCTTATATAATATATAAAGAAAAATAGATTTATGTAATAAATTTTTTTTTTAAAACTATTTCTACATCTTAATTTTTATCAGTCAAACTTCCGATTTCATTGATTGTTTATCAATTTTCTCAACTTTGCAAATTGATTCTTTTTTTAATGGATTCATAACGTAATCAATATCATTTTTTTCATCGTCCTGACTACCGAACCAATGATATGGACTTGGAAAATATCTATAAGGTCGATCATTATTTCTTTTAAATACATAGGGTTTTAATTTTTCAATTTTTCCCGTTCTCTCTGCCTCTTTTATTTTACCACTGAGATTCTTACCAAATAAAAATTCATCAGGTTTCGTTGAGACTAAAATTTTTTGTATTGGCTTTGGCTTCCATGAAATAATATTCGATCTTCTTTTATCAGTATCGAGATGAAATGAACTTGTTAATATTTTCGCTGCATCATTTAAGCCATTTAATACTTTTAATTTATCCATTTCAACATCGGACAATAGAGATGTCATAACAGAACCCAATGCTGTTAATGCTGAACCAACTAATTCTTGTGACGAGCGAATAAATTCATCTTTTTCAATTGGTCTCTTGTGTAGTGTCTCAAGTATTTCGGGATTTATTTGCGGTGTTGATAAAAATTTTGGCGGTGGATATTTTTTTTGTAACTCCTCACGATCCTTGAATGGAATTCCAGCTCTTGTCCAAACAGTCCATGTTTCTCTTATATCGGGATGTAGAGAACATGATTGTACGGGAATGCCATTTTCTTTTATTGTTCCTTCTTTTAGAAAAACAACATCCTCATCGTCTGGTGGTTTTGGTGAATTTTCTCCATTTTCCCAAATTTTTGCAAGTTCATCATCTGAAAGATCAATTTCTTCAATGGGTTCAATTTCAGGTGGAATTTCTTCAATAATACTATCTTGGTGATAATTATCTTCATCTTCGTTGTTATTATAATTTTCGCTTTCGTCATCAAATTCCTGTTCTAAATCATTGTCCACAAATGAAATAATATCTGTAAGAAATTAATTAGAATTAAAATTATTTTATTTTATATTTGAAAATATAAAAAAATTCGCCGTGTCTATTTGGCCAATTATTATAATTTTATACTAATTTTTTACTAGACATGAACTTTATCTGAGAAATTTTTGCTCAAAATTTTATTTTGAAATCCGTTTCAAATAATATAAAAAAAAATTATTAAATATGTTTAATAAATTTAAAAAGTGAATTATTTAAACGAAAAAGTATCTAAAGTTTCAACTATCATTAAATCTACATGTTAAGAAAAAGTTCAGTAAATTTTGAAAAAAAAAATTCAAGGCCTTTTCAAAATTTACAAAATTAGGAATAATTTTTTTTTCAAGATTTACCTTTAGTAACTCAGAATATTTTTAAATCAAAATTTTTTTTATATCAAAAAATTATGATTTTTTTTTTTAATAGGTGTACAATCCAATAATTTATTTCGAAAATTGAATTACTTTTGAAATTTTTAATTTAAAATCATTTAAAAACTAATGTCAAAATTTTCAACTGCAAATATTTTAAAATTGAATTATTTATATTAAATCCAAATAATTATATTATTTATAAACGATTTTAACTAAAATTCTTTGTAAATTTTTTAATTTTTCAAAACTTTTTATAAATTTTTGTTGGTTGATAATTTACTGATTTTAACAATTTATATATTAGAAATACTGTTTTTTAAAGATTAATTTTAATTCCAATTTCTTTTTTTTAATTGTATCATACATTTTTTTAAATTCTCTAACTGATATTAAAAACTAATTAAATCTTTTCGAAATATCAAATCATTTTTAAAAGTATAAATTAAATTTTATTTTAGAAATTTGTATAAATTTTTTCATGGATTCAAAAAATGAAATTTTCAAGTGATAATCATCCGAAAGTTTATTAATGTAAAAAAATTAATTGCTACTCTTCTAAAATTTAATAATTTAAAAAAATTGTAATTAAAATTAAGCATCAATTTATTTATTTTTAATATTGTTTAATGTTAAATTAATTAATTAATTAAATTAAATTAACAAATAATTGACAAAAATAAATATAAATTAAATTAAAAAATACGAAGCTGAAGTACGCAACGTTTATGATGAACAATTTTTAAAGAAATAATTTTTTAAAATGAAAAATTCTATAATTTTTTGCATTAAAAATATTTTTTTTGTAGTTTTTATTAATCAACAAATTATAACAAAATATTTTTTAGGCAAAAAATTATAGAATTTTTCATTTTTAAAAATTATTTCTTTAAAAATCGTTTATCATAAACGTTGCGTACTTCAGCTTCGTTTAAAAAATAACAAATTACAAAATAACAAATTTGACAAAAATGCGAAAAAACAAAAATTAAAAATAAATTAAAAATAACAAAATTTGAAAAAAATAGGAAAAATTAAATAAAAATGAAAAAAATGAAACACACAATATAAAAAAAATTAAATAAACTAAAATAAAAATACCACAAAATAAAGATTGAACATAAAAATTCAATAACAATTTTTATATCCTGACGATTGTGAGAAGAATTTATTGAATTTTTATGTTAATAATTTTTTAGTAATTTTGTATTTTTATTTTTGTTCATTTAGGTATTTATTTTTTTTGTATATTCTGTGCTTTAATTTTGTCACTTTTATTTAATTTTTTCTTTTTGCGTATTTTTAAAATTATTTTATGTTAACTTTTGTCAATTATTTGAAAATTTTTGTTATCTTTCGTCTATTTATTATTTTAATTTTTTTTTTAAATATTTGTTTAGATTGACTTAAAGAAATAGTAAACAAATTCTTCGTTCATTTGATCGTTCAAAACTTGCAGAAAATACGAAGAAAATGTTGACAAGAAAATATTTAAAAACTAGATTTTTTAAAAAATATAATCTCAACATTTTATCAATTTCTAAAAGTCGAAAAGTTAGTTAGCATTCTTTTTCTTCCAAAATAATTATTAAAAAAAGTCAAATAAATTAAAAACAAAAAAAATATTTACATAGTTTTATTTAACAACAAATAATAATTTTTATTATTTTATATAATTACGTAAATTTCTCTTCATTTGCCAAATAATTAAACCACCTCTTCCTGTCAATTAATTAACCAAATAGACATAGCGCAAAAAAAAAAAAAAATTTGTAGAAAAAAAGCTGTAAATTCTTATATCCTTTGTTTAGTTTCAATTCTCCAAGGAAACAATGAAATTTCCTTCAAGAGAATTATTTTTAATCTTATGTATTTTGAAAAAAATAATCATCATTTATTATATTCTAACTAACAATCACATAAATAAAACTATTATTTAAAAATTACAATTTTTATCATTTAATTTACTATGTAAACAAACGAATTATCTAATAAGAAATATTTTTTTTTTTTTTTTACAACCTGAAGCAGCATTTACAGATCCTGTAGACTCAATGTTAGAATCCGTCTCCCATAACTGCAACAATTTTTCTTCAACATATTGAAATTTTTTTAATAATCTCTCCTCGGGAATTTCATTATTCCGTTTTCTTTTAAAATTTTGATTATCCATTTTTTTGTTTGCAACACAATTGCGTAGAAAAACAAACTTTATGCGTCCGTCAAAAATTCTACATAACAAATTTCTAACAATTACACATGCAATCTAACCTAACCCCAACTAAACCTGACTCCATCTTTGAATTTATGTCACGTGATCACATTGATATTGCGTGGCGGTAAGTTTTGAATAAACCAATTGTGATTCAAACATCAATGAAAAAGACTAATGTTGACATATTTAGTTGACGCGCCGCGCGATCATAACCTTAAAATAAGGGAGAAAACAAACATATATAATTTACAATTGTATATATATACATGTGAAAATAATAAATAATAAAAAAATGTCGGAATGTGAGAAGTGTGAGTTTTATTCTCTAATATAAATGATTGATACTAATAAATTATTGTAAATAATATATTTAATTAATACACTGCTGTAACAATTGCTACTGTCATAATTTAATATCAAGTTGACATTTATGTGGCATTCAGTAAATAATATAAAATTTGTATTTTTTTTACAGTTTGCCCACCGGAATACTGTGTTGTTGAAGATTCCGCTTATTCTTCAAAAAGAGCTGACGACAGTTTAAGTGGGATGAGCGATACCAGGGGAAAAAATGTTTCCGTATTTTACGATTCACCAGAAGAATTGGCCGAACTTAATTGTAAGTAATAATAATATATTGTTTAGAAATTTTTTTTTTCTCGAAATTACAGTATAATAACATTGTACAATTCTCATAAACTTCTAAAAAAAATTTACAATAACTGTTCGTATATTGCAATGAATTTTTTTTTGTTTGCAAATAATTGCACAATACTTTGTAAAAATAATAATTTTTCGTCTAAACTAGAATATTAATAAATTTTACTACTTAGAGAATAAAAAGTGACAATTAACATAATTAAAATTAATTTTTTTTTGTAATTTAATTTAATGTTATTAAAAAATTTTTTTTAAATAAAGTAAAAAATACAAATACAAAAAAATTAATAATAAATAATTAGATTATTATTAATATTAGATTTAACAAATAAACATTAAGTATAATTTTTAAGTTTTTAAATATTTTTTAGAATCAGGATTGATAAAAATCATGATTTTTATTTAAATAAAAAAAAACCCGATTTTTTCGATTTAAATCTGATTTTTTAAATTTAAATCTTTCATTTTACTTACGTCACTTTTTTCAATAGATAATTTCTATTAAATTTAATATTTTTTAAATAAAAATTTTAAAATATAAAAATTTTCCTGGAATTTATGAATTATTAAATTTTCATGTTCATCGTTTTTTTGTAATTTGGTATCTTTATGTTATTATTTTTTGTTTATTTTAATTTATACTAGCAAAATTAAACGCGCGCAAGCGCGCCAAATTGAATGTTTAATTGTTTGTTATAAAGAAATTAAAGATTAATATTATCAATAATAATTTAATTTATTAGAATATTATTACATATTAAAAAATAATAAATAATGAAAAATATATGTTTACAGGCCTCGGATTAAACGACTTTTTTCAAAAATACGATTTTTATCGACCTATTTTAATAAAATTCGACATTTTTTTTTACATTTGAAAAAAAAATGTAAATAAAATACATTTTTTTAGTATAAAATGTAGATCTTCTTCAGATCTTCTTCAATTCAATTATTTAACAAATTTTAAACTGAAATGATTCTTCACTAAATTAATTATTTTTAATAATTTTAATGAAATACATCACAAATTCAATTATATCAAAATTATTTTTCAATTAAAATTTTTATGAAATTTAACCATTGTTTATAATTTAACAAAAAAAAATATCACAATAAAATTGAATTATTTTTTAAAAATTTCAATTCAAAATAAACTAAAATTTAATTATTACCCGAAATTTTAATTCAAAATCAATTAAAAATCCAATAATTATCAAAAATTTTCAATTTAAAATTTAAATATTTACCAAGTTTTCAATTTAAAATGAAATAAAATTCAATTATTTTCTAAAATTTCTATTCAAAATTAATTATCCAAATTTTCAATCAAAAATGAACTTAAATTAAATTATTATCCAAAATTTCAATTAAAATTTAATTATTTCTCAAAATTTTCAATTCAAAATGAATTGAAATTCAATTATTTTCCAAATTTAAAATCAAATAAAATTTCATTATTCTCAAAAATTTGAATTCAAAATCAATTGAATTTTCAATAATTTGAATTTAAAAGCATCTAAAATTTAATTATTTCTAAAATTTTCCATCGAAAATTATTTTTTTGAAATTTAATAATTTCAATTATAACTCTAAGGAAATTCAATTATTTTTAACTATTTTAATAATATTCTTTGAAAATTCAACAATCTGAAACCATTTTTCAATTAAAAATGATTTTCAAATTATTGTATTTTGTCCACATTTTCTAATAAATTTTTAGTGAAATCATATAAAATTTTAATAACAAAACACTTAAAGTTTCAATTAATTTCAAAAATCTCAATTTTAAATCTTTGAAAATTCAATTAAATTTAAAAAATGTTTTCCAAAAATTGTTTGATAAATTATTTTTAGTTCTGTAAAATTTAATAATCGTTTGAAAATTAACAATATCTTTTGAAATTTAATTATTTCTAAAAATTTCAACTTTAACCCTTCGAAAAGGATTATTATTAAAAAAAAAAAAATTTTATTTAAAAATCTGTAAAATAATTTTTTTAAAATAAAAAACAAATCTAATTTTTTTTTGGAATATAAATTGACTAAAACGACTTTTTGTGTCTTTAAGTTGATTCGAGGCCTGTGTTTTTATAATTAACACGTGAAATCAGAAAAGGCCAACTTCAAGTTAGGACAGAAGGACAGACCAAGCATTTTATTATTATATAATATTAGATTTAACAAATAAAAATTAAGTACAATTTTTAAGTTTTTAAAAATGTTTTAGAATCAGGACTGATAAAAATCATGATTTTTATTTAAATCGATTTCTTTTTACTTACGTCACTTTTTTAAATAGATAATTTCTATTACATTTAATAATTTTTAAATAAAAATTTTAAAATAATAAAATGAAAATACTAAATTACCAAAAAACGATGAACATAAAAAATTCAATGTCATTCTCACAATTGTTATGATATAAAAATTTTCCTGGAATTTATGAATTATTAAATTTTCATGTTCATCGTTTTTTGGTAATTTGGTATCTTTATGTTATTATTATTTTGTTTATTTTATTTTATGTTTTATGTGCTTCAGTTTTAACATTTTTATTTAACTTTTTTCGCATTTTCATCAAATTTTGTTTTTTTTTTAATTTACTTTAAGATCACTTTTATTAATTATATTTTAATTTTTGCTGTCTCGTCTTTTTATTATTTCAATATATTTTAATGTCGAAAAACTTTCTGATTCAAATGTAAATAAATTAAATTAAATATTAAATAATCCTTTGATTTGAATCGCAGTCCTGAGAGAAAATTTAAAAATTTTACAGTTTAGAGAAAAAAAAAGTGACAATTAACAAAATAAACTACAATTTTTTAATTTTTTAATATCAGAATTTTTTTTTAAACTTTTTTTTTTCTCACTTTTTCGACAGACAGAGTAAGTTTTATAAATGAAATTTTATTAATGAATTTCTTGAATTTACATTGTGATTTAAAATTAAATCGTAAATATTATTTACAATGATTTTCTATTACAGTGGATCAGAAGGACGTGTTGATGTTAAAAAAATTAAATGCTATAGGAATTCTGCTTGAGACTATATGTCATAATCAACATTCAGAAACATTTAATCTAATTGATACATCACCTTTAACTGAAGATTTATTTGGAAGTTTTCACAAGGACGAAGAATTAAGTATTTTTCCTGCAAGTGGTGAAATGGAAGTACAACTAATTGAACAAAAACTAGCGGACTCTCGATTTTTTGGAAAAGTGGTAAGAAATAACAAAATTAAAACAAAAAAAAAAAATTTAACACAATTTATCATTGATAAATTAGGAAATTAATTTATATTAAACAATGAAATGAACCTATTTAAAATTCTATCAAATAAAATGCGGAATTAAATTAAAAATTATTTTACACAAGAATAATCAATTATAAAAAAAAATTATCTATGATGTTTCAAAATTACTCCAGTAGAATTATATATTTTATATTTAAGTAAAAATAAAATCGTTATTTTTTTGATTTCACAAAAAAATTCCAAAATTTAATTGGATGAAAAAGTTTTAGGGATGCACGAGTAAAATTTTACCCCAATTGAAATTTTCTTTGTTTTAGCGGTTTAAATTGAAAATTTAATTTCTCATAATTTTTATTATTTTTCAATTGATTTTTTTTTTACACTTTTTTCATGATTCTGAATAATCAAGCTCATGGGTTTTAAAAAATTAAATATATTTTTTAAATATTAAATTTCTAAAATAATAAACAAAAATTATTTTTCTTTAATTTTTTTTATAATGGAATATGATTCCAGGATTAAAAGAAGGTCGAAAAAAATTGACAACTCTACATAACGTAAATTTTGATTAATTGAAATTTCACTGGTAATACTTTTAAAATTGAACTTCTTCTACAACTTTTTATTTAAACAATTTTTTTTGTTAAACCTATTAACAGCGAAATTATTAAATAATTTGTAAATTTTTAAAAAGTCCTTGAATATTTTTTTAAAAAATTATTCGATACCCTCAGAATAGAAAAATAATTAAAAATCAGAGAAAAATCAAGGAATTTTATGAAAAATACTGGAAAAATATCAAATTTCTATGAATGCTATTAAAATGATAATTTTTGAAATTTTCAATTCAAACTTTTGCTTTTAAAAATGATTGTCTTAATTTTTTATAATATTGAAAATCAATTGAAATATTTTCATTAGGATCAGAGAAAAATTTTAAATTCTGTCTGGAAATCAGGGAAAAACAAAATAAAATTTTTATTGTAATTCTGGTTACGTGTTTTAAAAAATTTATATTCAATAATAATAATATTTGTTTTTGAAACTCTTTAAAATTTGAGTTTGAAAATTTTCATCATTACAAATATTTTTCTATAAAAAAAAAGAAAAAAAATGAATTGATCCTAAACTATTGAATAATAATAATAATTATTTTTTAATAAAAATTTATTTTTAACATTTTTAGGTATACGCTTTAAGTAGACTTGGGAAACATACAAATCTCAGCTTGACCGTTACAAATCTATTAAATCAGCTATTAAAATTTGAAGCAGGAGAGAGATTTTCATTCTTGGGAAGATCTGGAAAGAAACCTGCTTTCAAAACTACGAATATATGCTCCGTCGTGTGTTGTAAGTACTTTTTTGTTGTCAAATAGTAAATTAATTAAATTAATAAGTTACTTTTATTTGTTTCTTCCATAAAAATTATTTTCTATAATTTAAATAAATTTAAATGAGTAAAAAATTTAAATTTCTTAAATCGAAACAAAACAATTGACATACATGAAGTATATATGTTTAAGTAAAAATTGTGGAATTAATCGCAATATTTCCTTTTTTGGAAAAAGAATTGAAATTTTCAATTTTTTACCATAATTTTGAAAATTATAATTTTTCAACAATTTTCCTTTGTAAAAAATATAGCGCTTTTTTGTTTTTGAAAAAATGGAAATTTTTTTTTACTTTTTTCTATAAATTTGCAAATTTTATATTTGACGGTTGTTCTTCTCAAAAAATTATTTTTAGAAACAAATCAAATAATCCATATGAAATATATTATATTTCATCAAGATTTTGTATAATTAATGGCGATTTTTTATTCTTTAAGAAATTGAAGAATTTTATTCTATTATTTTTATTTATTTATTTATTTTCTTTAATTTCTCAAATTTAATAATTAGAATGATAAAATCTAATTAATAAAATAAATTAAATAATTGAAATGATTTATAATGAAATGAAGAATTTTGTATTAAAAAATAATTTCTTCTCTATGAGGAAGCAAAAATGTGCCATTCTAGAAAATGAATTTCACCTCATTTTAAAACTGGACATAATTTAGGGTCGCATAATTATTCCATAAAAATTAGTTCAAATTTTCATTTGGATGAATTTTAATAGAAATAATTATTTTTAAGATGAGTTTTAATTTTTCGATTTTGCCTTTAACAAAATTTCTTTTTAAACGAATTTTTCAATTAATAACATTTTTAAGGTAGCGAACTTTTATTCGGAAAAATTTTTATTTTACAGTATTTCTTTTTAACCAACTTTTTATTTAAACGAATTCTAATATAACCGAATTTGAATAATTCTCATTTAACAGAATTTTAAGTGATACGAATTTTTAAATGCCATAATTTCTAATTCACCGAATCTTGATTTGTTCGCATTTTTATTTGCACGAATTGTTATTTGATGAAATTTTCCAAATGATGAATTTTCTTTTTTTTGTCCAAAATTGCAAATGGCCGAATATACAATTCTATTAAATTAAAATTTTGTTAAATAGAAATAATTCGATATGAAAATTAGGCTCATTAAAAAATGCATTTTATTAAATTCTTTTAGATAAAAATTCGATAATTTTTTAATTCGACACTACAAAAATTACGACAGGTCTAATATGGAGAATATTCATGTGTTATAAAAAAAAGTATTTAGAATGTTTTGCAAAGAATTTTAATTAAATTTATTAAAATACTTTTTTAATTTTATCCTTTTATTATTTAGTTAATTTTGATAATCCACTTTTGAACGATTACTATTTTTTACATAATAAAATGGCTTAAAGTTCAAAATTTTCCTTATTTTTCTTGATTTTTCATTTTCAAATAGAAAATTTGGAAGCAATTGTTTAAAGTTTTTGAAATTGTTTTTCATTTTTTGTTATTTTTTTTTTTATTTTAAGCAGCTATTATGGCTGAACGTGACATTTTGTATTTTCATTTTGATCAAGTTAACATCAAGCACATGAATTTTCATTTTGAATATGAAAAATCTAGAAAAATAAGAAAAATTTTGAACTTTAAGTCGAAAAAATATTTTTAATAATTTAAATATTAAATAAATATTTTTTTATTTTTTTTTATTTTTTTTTATTATTATTGAATCACTTATTTATAGAAATATTTTAATTTCAGGTGCTGCACAAAAACTTTATCCAACAGCAACGAGATCAACTGTAGAGGAATTCATAAAAACATGGTTAATTCAATGTAAAAATCGACGTCAAAGAAAAAAGTAATTATTTTGAAAAATATTTAAATAAAAAATTATTATTTTATTTCATTTTGAAAATTAATCAAACTAAATTATTTTTGCTTACAGTGAAAGTGCAAGAAAAGCTGCTGAAAAAGGAATAAATCGCATATTCATTAAATTAGAAGAACGTCAAATTGAATAAATTACATTATATTATTATTTCCAATCTTATACTATTTCTCTATAAAATTATAACGTGATAAATTATGATTTATCACTTTCTTTATTGTAATTTCTTAACAATTATTGTATCGTGTATTCTTTAATTATTTGTATGGTATGAACGTAAACATATATATGTAACATATATATATATATATTAAACTTGTGTCACTTCTAATAAGTTTCTTTTTCCACCTTTTTTATTGTTATTAACCTATAGGCAAATAAAATAAGAATAATAATAATTAAAAAATTTTGTTTTTTATTTTAGAAAATTATTTTATTTTTTCATGCACTTTATAAATATTAAATATATCGTAATATTAATTCTATTTATTTTTTTTTTCAGAAATTGATCAACATTTTTATGAAAAAAAATCTAAACAACGATATCCTTGCAAACAATGTGGAAGAACGTATGGACAAAAATCTACATTAGGTCGTCATCTTCAATATGAATGTGGACAAACACCGCAATTTGTGTGTAATTTATGTTACAAATGTTTTAAACGAAAAACTGCTTTTCAAAAACACTGCATCAATATTCATGGACTACAAGTTTAAAAAAAATATATATATATAAATTTTTTACATATGTAAACTTGAAGAAAAAAAAAATGTATTTAAAGTTGAAAGTTTTATTAAAAAAATAAATTATATGACAAATTTATTTTAAAAAAATACATATTTATTTCTATCTTCATATTTATTTATTTCAAAGTATTAAAACAAAAATTATTCCCCAAATAAAATAATGAAATTAATAGATACTATTGATTTCTATGAGAATTAGAATATAAATTAATTAATTTCATTAAAAGAAAATTTCAACATTATTTAATTTTATTTTAATTATGATTTTTTTTTATTTTTTTCAGAATCAAGATATTCCTACGATAATTTGCACACTATCGCAAATATTAAGAAGGAAAAGAAGAGAAATAATAGCATGATCTATTGCCACTGCGGTAAACAATTTGATAAGGACGATATCTACTACCATCAACGACTTGATTGTGACAAGAATCAAAGTTTTGCTTGTTCAACATGTGGAGAAAAATTTAAACACAAACATCAGTGGCGAAAACACGTTATCCTATTTTGTAAACCCTAATGTGTTTAATTAATTATTATTATTAATTAGTATTAATTTATTATTATTAATTAGTGTTAATTTATTATTATTAATTAGTATTAATTTTTATTATTAATTAAATGAGGAGCAAATTTTCAAAACCTGATAAATCCGCATAAATTTTCTTATTTCGAGAAATTGAAACAAATGACTTTTCTCACATAATCACTACAGTTACTTTTAAAATATAAAATTTTTAATAGTCTATTTCTACTTATAACGATGTTTTGGTAATTTTTTCTAATAAAAATCATAAGTCATCTTGATTATGTTCAAAAGCGTTTTGAAATTACAAATTCGTTGTTAATAAATTTTTTTTCTCAAAATTTAACAGTGACAGGAAGCTTTATGAGGTCCTTAAAATATTAAATTTATCTCCATTTTTTTGAAAAATGAATTTATCACCTTTTGAAAATTTCCTCCTCAAATATTAAATTAATTAATTAATAATTAAAATAACATGAATTTTTTAATATCTTCCACAATTTATCATTATTTTATAATCTAGAATTAGAGTACTAATTTCTTTAATTTTAATATTTAGAAATACTTCTGTATCACGAATATTGGTGTAAAATATAAAAATTTAAATAATTATTTCGAAATGTCTCAATTTTTATTTGTATTGCAATAAATTTACAAAATTGTAAAATAAATCATGAAATATAATAATATATAATTAATAAAGTATTTTTTTTTTTGTTTTATTACAGAACGACTTGGTAGAATTGGTGAATTTTCAATGCAAGATATGAGAACGACTAATTTAAGATATCCAGCGCAACGTGGACAAGTAACACCAATAGAGGATCAACATTATATGTGTGGCGAATGTGGAAAGGGTTATAAATGGATGCACAATTTACGGCGACATCAACGTCATGAATGTCAAAAATCACCAAAATATTTTTGTAATTTGTGCAATAAAACATTTTACAGACGTTATTTGTGGAAAAATCATGTACAAATGAAACATTCATCTTGACGGAATTCTGTTATTCTTTAATAATACAATTAAAATATTTATAACAGTAAATATTATAATTTTTTTTTTTTTAATGCACAATAAAAGATTTTAAATAAATTATTATATAATAATAAAATGCTTGGTCTGTCCTTCTGTCCTAACTTGAAGTTGTCCTTTTCTGATTTCACGTGTTTTTTTGAATAGTAATCTTATAACGTGTCAAATTTTGACAATTCTTTTTCTCATTTTTGCCAAAGTTGTATAATTGTGTTTCCAAATTTCGGAATAAGTTTCTTTAAAATTCCAAATTCGAAAATTCAATTCACGAAGCTGAAGTACACAACGTTTACCAACGAAATTTTTTTTAAACTTGTATATTGATTCAAAAATTGTATACAAATAAAAAAAAATTTATGATGAGAAAAAAGATGTGCCAAGAAATTTCGTACAAGATAGTAATATGAAAAAAATTTATTTTTAAAAATTAATTTTTAAGGTACCAGGGGCCAACGAATACCTATTAAATATTAATTATAAAAACACAGGCCTCGAATCAACTTAAAGACACAAAAAAGTCGTTTTAGTCGATTTATATTCCAAAAAAAAGTGGATTTTTTTTTTATTTTAACAAAAATATTTTACAGATTTTTAAATAAAAAATTTTTTTTAATAATAATCCTTTTCGAAGGGTTAAAGTTGAAATTTTTAGAAATAATTAAATTTCAAAAGATACTGTTAATTTTCAAACAATTATTAAATTTAACAAGAAATAAAAATAATTTATCAAATTATTTTTGGAAAACATTTTTTAAATTTAATTGAATTTTCAAAGATTTAAAATTGAGATTTTTGAAATTAATTGAAACTTTAAGTGTTTTGTAATTAAAAATTTAGATGATTTCACTAAAAATTTATTAGAAAATGCGGAAAAAAAACAATAATTTGAAAATCATTTTTAATTGAAAAATGGTTTCAGATAGCTGAATTTTCAAAGAATATTATTAAAATAGTTAAAAATAATTCGTTTTTTTTTTTTTTATATATATTATAATAATTTGTTAGCTTAGTTTTAATGTATATAGTGTGGGGAAAGCAAATATGTATAAATCCAAAAAGATGTACATTGAGAAATAAATCTAATCTAATCTAGTTAAAAATAATTGAATTTCCTTAGAGTTATAATTTAAATTATTAAATTTCAAAAAAAAAAATTTCGATGGAAAATTTTAGAAATAATTAAATTTTAGATGCTTTTAAATTCAAATTATTGAAAATTCAATTAATTTTGAATTCAAATTTTTGAGAATAATGAAATTTTTTTTGATTTTAAATTTGGAAAATAATTGAATTTCAATTCATTTTGAATTGAAAATTTTGGAAAATAATTGAATTTTAATTGAAATTTTGGATAATAATTTAATTTAAGTTCAATTTTTGATTGAAAATTTGGATAATTAATTTTGAATAGAAATTTTAGGAAATAATTGAATTTTATTTCATTTTAAATTGAAAACTTGGTAAATAATTAAATTTTAAATTGAAAATTTTTGATAATTATTGGGCTTTTAATTGATTTTGAATTAAAACTTCGGGTAATAATTGAATTTTAGTTTATTTTGAATTGAAATTTTTAAAAAATAATTCAATTTTATTGTGATATTTTTTTTTTAAATTATAAACAATTGTTAAATTTCATAAAAATTTGAATTGAAAAATAATTTTAATATAATTGAATTTGTGATGTATTTCATTAAAATTATTAAAAATAATTAATTTAGTGAAGAATCATTTTAGTTTAAAATTTGTTAAATAATTGAATTGAAGAAGATCTGAAGAAGATCTACATTTTATACTAGAAAAATGTATTTTATTTACATTTTTTTTTCAAATGTAAAAAAAAATGTCGCATTTTATTAAAATAAGTCGATAAAAGTCGTATTTTTGAAAAAAGTCGGAAAAAGTCGTATAATCCGAGGCCTGTAAGCGTATAATTTTTATTATTATTATTTAATATGTAATAATATTCTAATAAATTAAGTTATTATTGATAATAATTATTTTTAATTTCTTTATAACAAACAATTAAATTAAATTTTCCGTTACCAAAATTGCGTCTTTTTTTATTTAATTTCCGTTATCAAATTTAAATTTCAAACAAATTTCCTATGTGAATTTACTATAATTCTTATTATTTAAAATAATTAATTAAAAATATTTTTAAAAAATATTTATTTTGTTTATTTTTTATTGACTGAAATTTTAAATACAATTTTTTTTTTCGAAACTATAAGTTTCTATAATCTAAATTTTATTTCTTACAAATTTTTATTTATTTTATATTATTTAAGTGCTCTATTTTGAATTGTACAAATTGTAATTAAAACTAATTATATATTATAAATAATCGTAATTTTATCTTTACGTAAATAAAATTATTAAACTTAAAAATTATTGATTTTTTTTCTTTTCGTTATTTATTCCAATTATTGCATAAAAATTCTCGAAAATTATTAAAAAATTATAAAAAATTTGATTCTTTCTAACCTCCATTAAATCAAATTATTATCCATCATATTATTATTAAAAAATTTTTTTAACATAAAAAAATTCTTTTTTAAACAAAAAATTTGTTATTTAAAAAATATTTGATTATAAGAATACAAATAAATATTTATTTTGATAATAAATAGTCAAGTAATCGATTATTTTTGAATAAAATAAAATTTTTTTTCAGTGTTCGTGTAACTTTAAATATAATTATTTTTTTTTGGCAAAAAAATTATTTTTGAATATTTATTAATTTACATGATTTTTTTTCTGTTTTTTGTTTTTCAGGCTTTACAACATTCTTCAATGCCAATCCATCAGTGACCGACAGTTTTGCTTCTTCTTTGGATATATTTAATAAACAAATCAAAATTTTCAATAGTAAATTGAATAAACCGTTTAATTGTGGAAAATGTGGAAAGGGTTTTGCTCTTCAACGTACAAGAAATCGTCACGCCAAATATGAATGTGGATTGCCACCAATGTATCAATGTCCATATTGTGTGGATTTTCGAAAAAAACAAGCTTCATCAATTTATGAGCATATTCGAAAAAAGCATCCTGGACAGGAAATTCGAGCCTTGAGTCTTAAAACCTAATTTTTACGCAAAAAAAAAAAAAAAAACATTTTTGTAATTTTACGAATCGGACAGAAATTAAAAAAAAAAACAAAAGTTAGTCAAACTTATTTTCGTATTTTTTTTTTTTAAATAAAACAAATAATTTGGAAACAATTTTTCAGAAGTAGAAAATTTTATTTTTAATATTTAAAAATTGTATACTTATTTGTATAAAGATTAAAATTTTCTAAAAGAAATATAAAACAATGATGAAATTTTAGGTTATGTTACCAAATTTCCTTTACAAAATTTTCATTTTTATTCAAATGCAATTTTTAATGAACTTATTTTTTTCAAATTTAATTTTTTTATTTAATGAAAATTAAAATTTTATTTATGAAATTTATTTAAAATTATTAAATTACAAAAAAATGCAAATTTAAAAAATAAAAAAAAATTAATTTTGACTAACTTTTGTTGAGATTCTTTTTCAAGGAAAGTTTTGTCAATCTTTATGTGTTTACAATATAATAATTTCTTATGTAACAGTTTTTTTTTTTTAATTAAATGTTATATATAAAATATATGTAAAAGAATTTAATTATATAATACAAAAATAATTAATAAATATAAAATAAATGGAGCAGTAAAAGTTAGATTAAAATTTACTATAGTTTATAAGAATATCAATGTTTAGATTAGTAATACCTACGTTTAGTTCAGTAAAAAAAAATTAAAAACTATATTTACACTTTTTTGTACTTGCAGAAAAAAATTTGCGTATCTCCTTTTATTTATACTATATAATTTCCTATAATTGGTATTTACTAAATAATATGTTTATATCACATTTATGTATAATAAGAAAAATCGTACAATAAACATTAAATTAAGAAACAAAACCTTTTTTTTCATATATCCTGTATTTGAATTTCAAACATAAAATTTTGTTCAATATCGATTATTCAATTGTTTTGGGTTTCGACTTTCGATAGAAAATGACAGCTTCAGTGGCAATGTTCAGATCAGTTGAAATATTTATCTTTTTCTTCTTTCGTAAAACAAATAGTTTTTAATATTAATATAATATATTATAAATTAACTTTTGTTTCTTACATATTGAAATAATTTTTACATGAAATAGATAGTAAAATCATTATTTTTATAATCATGATGATTTAGTAAAAGTTAGGTTAGGATTAACTTGTTTTGCATATGTGATAATAATTTATAAATCTAAATATTAACAACAAAAAATTATCAAAATGATTTTAAGTACTTGTCGGTTAATAACAAAAAGATTTGAAACAACGATAAAAAGTAGTCTAATAAGAAATTTTTCTAAAATACCAAATGAATCTGAGATACGAAGGAAAAAAATGTTGACCACCGCATATTATATGACATCACTTGGAGTTGTTTTTGTTGGTTTATCATATGCTGCAGTTCCATTGTATAGAATATTTTGTCAAGTAAGATTATAAATTAATATATACAATTTTATTTTATTTAAATTAATTTAATTCATCGATTTAAATCTATTATTCGAATTTCAATTTGTCAAAATTTCAATTTATTTAAGTTTCAAATTTCAATTTGTCCAAATTTTAATTGAATTATGTTTTAAATTATTCAAATTTTAATTTATCTAAATTTTAATTGATGTACGAATTTCAAATTATGCGAATTTTTATTTATTTAAGCTTCAATTAATACAAAATTCAATTTATATCCAAATTTTAAACTATTAATGTTTTAATCATAGCTAAAATTAAAAAAATCCCTTCAATTCATTTGAAAAATTGTTTTATAATAATTAGAGTTATTTTAAAGTGTTTTTAAAAAATAACACGTATCTTACTTTCAGGCCTCGGATTATACTTTTTCGACTTTTTCCGACTTTTTTTTCTAAAATACGACTTTTTTCCACTTTTTTACATTTTTTTACAAATTTTTTAAACGAAATACGTTTTTTTTAGTATAAAATGCAGATCTTTTTTAGATCTTCTTTATTACAATAATTTAACAAATTTTTAACTAAAATTCTTTACTAAATTAATTATTTTTAATAATTTTAATGAAATTCTTCACAAATTCAATTATATCAAAATTATTTTTCAATTAAAATTTTTATGAAATTTAACAATTGTTTATAATTTAAAAAAAAATATCACAATAAAATTGAATTATTTTTTAAAAATTTCAATTCAAAATAAACTAAAATTCTATTATTACCCGAAATTTTAATTCAAAACCAATTAAAAATCCAATAATTATCAAAAATTTTCAATTTAAAATTTAATTACTTACCAAGTTTTCAATTTAAAATGAAATAAAATTCAATTATTTTCTAAAATTTCTATTCAAAATTAATTATCCAAATTTTCAATCAAAAATGAACTTCAATTAAATTATTATCCAAAATTTCAATTAAAATTCAATTATTTCTCAAAATTTTCAATTCAAAATGAATTGAAATTCAATTATTATCCAAATTTAAAATCAAATAAAATTTAATTATTCTCCAAAATTTGAATTCATAATTAATTGAATTTTCAATAATTTGAATTTAAAAGCATCTAAAATTTAATAATTTCAATTATAACTCTAAGGAAATTCAATTATTTTTAACTATTTAAAAATTAAAAAAAATTTAAAAAAAAAAAAAAATATTAAAAATTATTTATAATAATATTCTTTGAAAATTCAACTATATGAAACCATTTTTCAATTAAAAATGATTTTCAAATTATTTTATTTTGTCAGCATTTTCTAATAAATTTTTAGTGAAATCATCTAAAATTTTAATTACAAAACACTTAAAGTTTCAATTAATTTCAAAAATCTCAATTTTAAATCTTTGAAAATTCAATTAAATTTAAAAAATGTTTTCCAAAAATTGTTTGATAAATTATTTTTATTTCTTGTAAAATTTAATAATTGTTTGAAAATTAACAGTATCTTTTGAAATTTAATTATTTCTAAAAATTTCAACTTTAACCCTTCGAAAAGGATTATTATTAAAAAAAAATTTTTTATTTAAAAATCTGTAAAATATTTTTGTTAAAATAAAAAACAAATCCAATTTTTTTTGGAATATAAATCGACTAAAACGACATTTTGTGTCTTTAAGTTGATTCGAGGCCTGTGTTTTTATAATTAATATTTAATATGTAATCGTTGGCCCCTGGTACCTTAAAAATTAATTTTTAAAAATAAATTTTTTTCAAATTACTATCTTGTACGAAATTTCTTGGCGCATCTAATTTCTCATCATAAATTTTTTGTATTTGTATACAATTTTTGAATCAATATACAACTTTAAAAAAAATGGTAAACGTTATGTACTTCAGCTTCGTGAATTGAATTTTCGAATTTACAATAATTTACAATAATTTAACAAATTTTTAACTAAAATTCTTTACTAAATTAATTATTTTTAATAATTTTAATGAAATTCTTCACAAATTCAATTATCTTAAACTATTTTTACAATTAAAATTTGTATGAAATTTAATAATTGTTATAATTTTCATAAAATAAGCAAATAAAATTACCAAAAATGTTTTAATTCAAAATCACTTGAAATTTAATTATTTGCAAAAATTTCAATTATTTTTAATGATTTTTATAATATTCTTTGAAAATTCAATTATCTGAAAGCATTTTTTCAATTAAAAACTTTTGTAATTCAGTTTTTTTATGTGATTTCTAATAAATTTTTCACCAACAGAAATCACTAAAAATTTCTCTTATTATAATTATTGTTTGAAATTTAACACAATCTTTTAAAATTCAATTATTTTCAAATATTTCAATTTCAATTTAAAAAACTTCTAAAAAAATAATTTCAATTATAATTCTTCTGAAATTCAATTATTTTTAATGATTTTTATAATATTCTTCAAAAATTCAACTATCTGAAACCATTATTCGCTTAAAAAGTTTTTAAATTATTGTATTTTTGTCTACAATTTCTAATAAATTTGTTATTAACAGAAATTATCAAAAATTTTAAATTAAAAATCACTTGAAGTTTCAATTAATTTCAAAAATTAAAATTGTAAATCTTTGAAAATTCAATTACTTTTAAAAAATGTTATTTAAAATTATTTGATAAATTATTTTTAGTTAACTGTAAAATATAATTATTGTCGGAAAATTAACAAAATCTTTTGAAATTCAATTATTTCTAAAAATTTCAACTTTAACTCTTCTAAAATTATTATTTAAAAAAAAAAAAAAATTTATTTAATAATCAGTAAAACTTGATTAAGTATTGCCTGAAATTTTTTTAACCATCAAAACTAAAAACTGTGACAAAATTTTAAATTCACATAAATTGCTTAAATCAGACTTGAAAAAATTATAAAAATGAAACTTTAAGAATTTTTTTTTAGAAATTTGTCCTACTTAAATAAAATTTTGAAACAATTTGTCTTACAATTAGTTCGATTCTGAAATATTGGAAATAAATTTTCTTGATAATATTCATTATAGAATTATTTTCATTACAGAATTAATAAAATGAATTTAATATATCTAATATTAAATATTTATAATATCTAAGATTTTTGCACTACTTGTATCATAATTGAATTATAAATATCATAGGCTTATAGTTATGGTGGAACTGTTGGAATTGTTGGACATGATTCTACAAAAATAGAGAATTTAAAGCCATTGAAAGATAGAATAATAAATATTCGTTTTAATGCCGACACTGGAGCTACAATGCGTTGGAATTTTAAACCCCAACAATCTGATATCAATGTTATTCCAGGAGAGACAGTTTTAGCATTTTACACAGCCACAAATCCAACTGATCTTCCAGTTACAGGTGTTTCGACATATAATGTTATACCATTTGAGGCTGGTCAGTATTTTAATAAAATTCAATGTTTCTGCTTTGAAGAACAACAGTTAAATCCACATGAACAAGTGAGTTGGTTTTTTTTTAAATTTGGAAAATTTAAGACTATTTTTAAAATGCAAGATATACAATAATAATCGGAATGTCTAACGATCAGCTGAGCTGATAAAAATCATGATTTTAAAAAAAGGAAAAAAATTCCATTTTTTTTGTTTAAATAATTAGATTTCTTTTTATTCGCTGAAAATCTAAGCATTTTTTTCAAATAATATTTAAGAGATAAATTTTATAATACAAGGATCAACGAAATTTTTTTATTAAAGGAAATAACATTTTTGAATTAAATACTTGTTTCTTTAGAATTTGTTTTCCTTAAAACTGTTAGACGCCCTAAATATTGATAAGAGAAAAAAAAACAAAAATTATCTAAAATAATGTATAACAATTTTTTTGTTTCTTATTTATTTCCAATTAGATTGATTTTGTAATTTATTATTCATATTTTACATTATTTTCTCTACAATAGGTTGATATGCCAGTATTTTTCTACGTGGATCCAGAATTTGCATACGATCCAAGAATGGAACATGTTGATCAAATTGTTCTATCGTACACATTCTTTGAAGCTAAAGAAGGACTTAAACTTCCAATTCCAAGTTACATAAAGAAACATTTTGATAAACAAAATGTAACTACTGGAACGAAATTGTTAGAATCGTAGAAATTGTAAATACATTTAAATAATTGTTATTCATCTATATATTTAATTTTAAATAGAACTATGCAAAAAAAGAATTTATCAAATTTTAATTTAAATTTCAAAACGTTGGAGTAAACTTTTATTAAAACAAACAATGGTCCGAATGTTATTGTTTTATTCATACGAAATCTTCTAATTAATATACTTAAACATTTTTTAATAATTTTAATTTTCTTTCTCGTATATATATATTTAAAAACAAATTTAACAACAATTAAATTGAAAAAAAACAAATTCAACAATAATTAAATTGAAAAAATGAATTAAATTACATTCACGTAATTTAAAATCTAAAAAGTGCATTTACTGGATACGCTCGTCTTAAGCCAGTTACTTTTTCCTTGTCAATATACATTGCATCTATCTTTAGTGCAAGATCATGTTCCAATCCACTTCGAGTACGTAGTAATCTTTGATGTTGATTTTCTATTTCTTTCAATGCCTTGTACATTCGTTCCACTTGTCTATTAATGTCTTCTATTTCTTTTTGCAAACTATAAAAACCGAAAATGTGTTTTTGAAAATACATTAATTTCTGGCTTATCACTTTATTAATCTAATGTGAAAAATTGAGACACATAATAATAATAAGTTCTAAAATTAATTTGTTAGAATTTTTAATGGGCGAAATTTCATATAGAATTTATTTTTCGTCGATTTTGAATTTCTTCAATTTATTATTTAACAAATATTTCAGAATTTCTGTATCACAGAATTTTTATTTCATCGATTAAAAATTTTAGAGAATTATTATTTGCTCTAATTTTCATTAGTCAGAATAGTCATTGAAAAGAATTTTTTATTTTACAAAAAGAATAATAGAAAGAATTCTTTTCTAATTGAATTTTCATTTGTTTAAATTTACATTTGATAAAATTCTTAAAACACCGAATTTTTATGTTACAGAAATTTTATGTCTTCAAATGGTAGAAAAATTTGGGTGCAAATTTTAAAATTAACCAATCATTATTTCGTTGATTTTCGATCTATCAATTTTCCAAATTTTTCTAACAGAAAAGTTGAAAATAAAATGGAGCGCATATTTTTCCCATAAAAATCATTAGTTAGAATTTTTATTTTAAAGAATTTTTTTTAGATTTAACAGAATTCACAAAATTTCTCTTTATCCAACTTTTTATTAAAAATAAATTTAATCGTTTTTTAATTTTAACTGATTAAAAAATTTTAAATGTTATCATTTCAAATTTTGTTGAATTTTCATTTTTTCGAATTTTTTTTTTCTTCACGAATTGTTATTTGATAGAATTCTTAAAACGGTTAAATTTTCATTTGTCCGAAATTGCAAAATAACCAAATAAAAAATTGACAGAAAAACTTGGTCGCGATTTTTAAAATTTGATAAATCAGAAATTATCAAGAAAATTGTGATGGGTCAATTTTAAAAATCGCGACGAAATCTTTCTGTCGATTTTATTTTTCGGTTATTTGAAATTTCGAACAAATTAAAATTCGATTAAATTAGAATTCTTTTAAATAAATAGTTGGAGAAAGAGAAATTCTGTGAAATAAAAATTGTGTTACGTAAAAATTCGTTAAAAAAGAAATTCTGTTGATGAAAAATATTGGAAAAATATCACATTTCTAAAAATGCTACTGAAAAATATAATTTTTGAAATTTTCAATTCAAACTTTTAATTTTAAAAATTATTGTCTTAATTTTTTATAATTGAAAACCTCTTGAAATAAATTTTTATTAGGGTCTGGGAAAAAATTTTTTAATTCTTGCTGGAAATCAGGGAAAAACAAAATAAAATTTTTTGTGGCAACCTTGATAATGAAAATTCGAGCAAACAATAATTTTGTCAAATTCAAATTCGATGAAATAAAAATTCTGTAAAATTAAAATTGCCTTAAATAACATTTTTGTAATACAGAAATTTTTGAATTTCGGTTAAATAATAATTCAAGGAAATAAAAATTCGGCTAAAAGTAAATTTTAGGTATTGAAATTTGTCCATTGAAAATTCTGACAAATTAATTTTAGAGCTTATTCATGCATCTTGAAAAAATTAGATAAAAATATTTACCTAACGTGAGCAAAATCTCGACACAATTCAATCTCAGGTCGATGTCGTCTTGCTTCTAATCTCGTATGGGCAACTTTAACCGCATAACTTTTATCAGCAATTGCTTTGCGCATTAATTCTAAATTTTTCTCCACATCGAATATTTCTTGTTGAACCTAAACAGAAAATTGTCAATTATTATTATTTTTTTTTTGAGCAATTAATGTTTTTAATAGGAAAAGAAAAAAAATTCCTTAAACTTTCCTTATTAAGATGTTGATGTAATTTGCTTTTTGCTTCGAGCATTTCAGAACTTCTATTTGCAAGAGCACTATTTGTCGTTGACCAAGAGTCCCACATTTCTTGAGCCACACGATTAACAAGAGTTTCTGCGTCAGTTCGCAATTGACATGATTTAGTTCTTTCCGATTGGGATTTTTGAATAATCCTATTGGCTGCCTCTGCCCATGTTTCTTGCTCAGAAACACTGTAAAATTGTATAAAAAAAAATTGTTTTTATACAAAATGAAAAATTGTCCAAATATATCTTACCAAGGATCACATTTTTCAATTCCTGAATAATATTGCAAACCGTGACTGCGGTTATTTAATTGATGACAAAGTACATCAATACCGAGTGCACTTTGTTTATTTTTTAAGTCAAGCTCCAATTGATTTTGTGATGCCCTACAATTTCGGAGCTGCAAAAAAAAAAACAAAAATGATTAGCAAATATTTTCTTTATATACGAATTAATAATTAACGTGCAAGAATTTAGTAACGCCATTTTATTGTAAACAAATAATTTTTTTTTTGTTAATTTGAGCTGCAAAAATTTTTTAAAAAATAATAATTAGGACTCGAATTTGAGAAAAAAATATTTTTAAACTAAAAAATGCCACATGTAATTAAAAATAAACAATTGTGCAAGATTAGGTATAAAATAAATTCTTACAATTTTTAAAATCTTTAATAAGAAATTATTCACAATTATTCAAATTAAAATTGAAAAAACGATTTTTTTACTTACAAATATTCAAAAATTATTATTTTTCAAAAACAAATTTTGTACTGACATTTGCCAGTTTAGCACAAAAAGAAATAATCATAATATTTACGAAAAATTAAAAATTCGATTAAAAAATTCAGAAAACATTTTTTTTTATTTAGAAATATTAAAAAATTATTATTTTTCAAAAACAAATTTTGTGTGGAATTGTGTTTGTTCAGCATAAAAAAATTGTAACTGTTTTTGAAGAATTATAATATTTTTAAATTTCTGGATATAAAAAAATGTTTTTTTGAATTTAAAAATTGAGCTTTTTAAAAAAATGCCATTTTTTGTAAATTTTATAGTTATTTCTTTTGCGCTGGACTAGTACAATTTCGCACAAAACTTGTTTATGAAAAATAATAATTTTTTAATATTTCTGAGTAAAAGAAACCTAATTTTTAATTTTCTAATTGAATTCTTTTAGAAATTTTAAAAATTTATTTAAAATTAAAAAAATTTAAATTTACTTTAATTTAGGACTAGCACAAGTACAAAATTTGTTTTTGAAAAATATTAATTTTTGAATATTTATGAGTAGAAAAACCTATTTTCGAATTTTTAAATTGAATTATTTTGAAAATTGAATAATTTATTATTAAAAATTTTGAAAATTGTTCTTAGAATTTCTTTCTGTTCTGGTCTTGAATAATTGTTTATTTTTAATTACATATAAGTGATTTTTTTGAAAAAATTTCCAGCACAAATTAGCAGGAAAAAAAATTTTTGTTAAAAAAATAAAATTGCTTTACAAACTTCTTGGACGTAATTAAATTACCGTCAATCGGGGCTAATTTGGAATCCGCTATTTGTTAATTTGTTAAATAAAAATTTCGAAATTTTTAAATTTGACATTTTTAGCAACAATGTAATTATAATATTATTAGTAAATTCGCATTTAGAAATAAAAAAAAATTTTAGATGAAAAAATTTTGTTTGTCAATTTGATCCTGATTGACGGTGTTTCATTTTAGTAATAAATTTTGAATTAATAATATTACTTGATCTTTGCATTTATCAAGGCACATTTCAAGTTTCTTTTGGCCAATTTGCAAATTGTGAACCTCATGTAAAAGAGATTTTTCGGTATTATCATGAACGAGTTCTGTTCCTGTTAAAAGAAAATTGATTTTTTTTAACAAATTTTATTTATTTATTCTTATTGTACTGAACGAGGACAAATATGAATTCTAATAAATTTTTTTTCAAAATTTTTCAAAATTTTAATTTTTTATTTGAAACAAATTTTCATCTTTCAATTTTTCCAATCAGAATTTTGAAAAAAGCAAAAAAAAATATAAATTGTAATATCAAAGAATAATAAAATTATTTTTTAATGTATTATTTCTTTCTTTTTTTTTGCAGTAAAGTTTTAATATTTATCAAAATCTTGAAAAAAATTTTTTTTTTCCTTCAAATTTTAATGAATTAAAATATACCTTTTCTTGCTTCCCGATGATACAAACATTCTTCTGCAATATGTAATGGATTTTCAATATCTTGAATTGCCTTTTCTAAAACAATTCGACAATCTTGTAGTCTTTCAATTTCTTGAATCATTCTTTCTAATTCCGATGAAACTTCATTTCGCCAAAATGTCACGTCTGTTATTCTTTCCCCAAGTCTTCTACCAGTGTCATATTGATTATTTTGTATTTTTTCTTCTGCTTCTCTGCAAAAAAAAAAAAAAATTGATAATTGATATATAAAAAGAAGATTACATTATTTCGTCTATAGTTATTTAATTTTTTTCCACATTGATTTCAACAACGATTCAAAAAAAAAAAAAAAATGAAGATCTTTTATAATAATACCTCATAATTTTAACAGCATCGTTTCTGATTCTCTCAGAATAATGTCGATTTGAATCAGCTTCATTGTAGAACATAATTTGCTTTTGAAACCATTCCTGAGGAGTGTATCGCGTATAAAGTGCTGCTTGTGATGCATGAACGGGATTCCTTTGAAAACCCGTTACTAAATTTGGAAATTTTAAAGGCTTTGTTGACATATTGCTGAGTGGATCGACAGCGTAATTACTAATTGCTTTTGTTGATCTATTTAAAGAAAAACAAAAAATTTTCAAAATTTAAGAAAAATACAAAAAATAAAAATATGTTTTTAAGTTGCACTTCAGTTTACTACAAAAGCCTCAATTACTGCGGATTTTAAAAAATTATTATTTACTATTTCACAACTGTTTATAAAGCTTTATATTTACATTATTGTTTAAATTGACATTATTTTTCAAATTAAACAAATATATTTTCAGGCCTCGGATTATACGATTTTTTCGACTATTTCCGACTTTTTTTTCAAAAATACGACTTTTTTCGACTTTTTTTTACATTTAAAAAAAAATTTTTGAATAAATTACGATTTTTTTAGTATAAAATGCAGATCTTCTTCAGATCTTCTTTATTTCAATTATTTAAAAAAATTTTAACTAAAACTCTTCACTAAATTAATAATTTTTAATAATTTTAATGGAATGTATCACAAATTCAATTATTTTAAACTATTTCTCAATTAAAAGTTTTATGAAATTTAATCATTGTATATAATTTAAAAAAAATTAACAAAATAAAATTACCAAAAAATTCTAATAAATTCTTCATCAACAGAAATTATTAGAAATTTCTCTTATTGTAATAATTATTGCCTGAAAATTAACATAATCTTTTGAAATTAAATTATTTTCCAAAATTTTCAATTAAAAATCTTTTAAAATTCAATTATTTTCAAAAATTTCAATTTAAAAGCTTTTAAAATTTACCATCTAAAATTGTTTGAAATTTAATAATTTCAATTATAACTCTCTCATGAAATTCAATTATCTTTAACTATTTTCATAATATTATTCGAAAATTCAATTATCTGAAAACATTTTTTAATTAAAAATCACTTGAAGTTCAATTAATTTCAAAAATCTCAATTATAAATCGTTGAAAATTCAATTACTTTTAAAAAATGTTATCTGAAATTATGTATTTAATAAATTATTTTTAATTCTGTAAAATTTAATTATTGTCTGAAAATTAACAAAATCTTTTGAAATTCAATTATTTCTAAAAATTTCAACTTTATAACTCTTCTAAAATTATTATTATTATTATTATTTTAAAAAAAAATTTTATTTGAAAATCTGTAAAACTTTTTTTGTTAAAATAAAAAAAATCGACTTTTTCGACTTTTTTTGGAACATAAATCGACTAAAACGACTTTTTTTGTGCCTTTAAGTCGATCCGAGGCCTGTATTTTAAAAAATGTTTAACGTCCGAGAAGTATATTAATTAGAAGGTTTCGTATGAATAAAACGATAACATTAGAACCATTGTTTTTTAATAAAATTATCCGAATTTCAGATTGTCCAAATTTAGTTTAATTTAAGAATTTAAGTTTCAAATTACCCAAATTTAAAATTTTCTAAATTTTAATTGATATATGTTTCAAATCATCCAAATTTTGATTAATTTAATTAAGTGAATTTAAATTTTTCAAAATTTTAATTCATTAAATTTAAAAAATATCCCAATTTTACTTTTATACAAATTTTAATTAATTTAAGTTTAAAAATTCAGTTTGTTCAAATTTCAATTAATTTATATTTCAAATTACCCAAAATTTAAACTTTTCTAAATTTTAAATGATTTATGTTTCAAATTATTCTAATTTTGATTAATTTAATTTTCAAATTAAGCGAATTTAAATTTTTCAAAACTATTAATTGAATAAATTTGAAAATTATCCCACTTTTAATTAATCAAAATTTTTAATTGATTTAAGTTTAAAATTATTCGAATTTCAATTTTGGTCCAAATTTCGATTAATTTAAGTTTTCAATTATCCGAATTTAAACTTTTCTAAATATTTCAATTGATTTAAGTTTAAAAATTCTCCAAAAGAATTAGATTTCTATTACAATTTTTCAAATTTAAAGAAATTTATTCTGTAAGGGAAATTTTTTTATAAAATTAGGAAAAAATGTATTCTTTTGGTAAATCTGCGCTATTAGTAATTTGTCTTTTTCATAAATTTGCTTCTTTTAAGATAAATAATTCTTTTTAATATTACTTAAATTTGGTTTCTATTTCGTAGCAATATAATGCTTTTAAAATCAGTTGCATATCATTTTTTCACTTTAAAATTTTTTGAACTTCAAAATTTGTCTTGTAATTCAATCCACAATAATTGGTATACATATATACATTTATCTTATTTTTGCTAAAAAGTAATCTCTAATTAAAATTTTAAAAAAATACGTAAAATATTTACAAATGTAAATACTCATCATCGTTAAATTTTGACGAATTTAATAAAAAAATAAGTATATAGTAAAAAATAAAATACATACTTGATTTTTTTTTTAAGCGCGATTTTGTTCAATTGAAAAAGTACTAATATTAAAATAGTATAAAATTATATTTACTAATAAACAACGCATGTTTGCGTTAAGACTAGTGGAATTCAAATGGCAATTGAATTTCTCGTTTGTTAAATCGATAATAGTTGTTTCCGCAGTAAAATACTTACAATGGAAGTACTTCAATATTTTCATATCCTACATTTGGACGCCATGGCACGAGATGATGAACACGTGAAAATTCGTTTGCACGAAATGGAATTGAAGGCTCAACGTAGGTCATTGATCCAGTTGTTGTGCTCCATGGTTCAATTTGCTGAATAAAAATCATTTTATTTGGTAGTAATTAATTTCTTTTTTCAAAAACGTCATTAATATTTACATAAAAAATTAATATTTAAAATTTCTTTTTTCAAATATTTTTATTTTTTTTTAATAATATTAAAAATCTGATTTTTAATTTTTTAAAAGTTTTCTCTACTTTTGAAATTAAAACTAGTTTAAAAATTTTATTTAAATATAGTTATTTCTATTTATATTTTGTAATATTAGAAAACTTGATTTGAAAATATTATTTTGGTTGAAAATTCAATTATAGGTATTACGTAAGTACAAATTAAAATAAATAAAAATTAAAAAAGAATAAAATTAATAAAAAATAAAAAAATACTTTTCGAAATAAATAGAAAAATAATAAATTAATTAAATAAATAGAAAAAAATAAATAAAGAGAAATAATTCATAAACCAAGAAAAAGTAAATAAAGTAAACTAAAAATATTTCTGTTTAAAAAAAATTAAGAATACAATTTTCTATAAGTATATATTTTTAAACACAATTGTCAAATTTTTTTGAATTGCGCGCAATTCCGATCAGCTGTTTGACACTTTATTCAACATGTCTGACGTGCCTGCAGAAGCTCCGGAACGTAAGTAATTACTTTAATTTCACAATTATTATAAGATTAATAAACGCAGATGAAAATTGTTTAGTTTATTATTAAATATCCGCTATTTTTTTAAACTGTAAAATGACATGACATCTTTTCTTTAGTTACGTATAAGATAAAGAATCATTTTCTTTGAGGTTATGTACAAAAAAAATACAAATTTTAATAATAAAAATTATTTTCAAAACTCTATTTTTTTATGAAATTCTAATCTTACAAAAGGATATAATTTTATTTTTATTTTTCTAGTTTTTAATCTTCAATGCAAATAGAATAAGAATTATTTTTCCTTAACAATCATTTTTGTTTTTACTTTAAATTACCCAATGTTGTGAAATTTTTTATTTTTTATAAAAATTTTGTTTTTGAATTTTTCAAATAATAACAAAGGCAATATCGAACAAAAATATATATTTTAGCTTTTTTTTTATTCGAATTAATTAAATTTTTCTTCATATGTAAAATAATTTAATCTAATTTATTTTTTTGATCGTTTCAAGTTTTAAAATAATACTCTTATTTTGATCTTATATATAAACAAATTAATTGTTAAAAATAAGAGTTAATTATCGGGAAATAATATTGTAAAAACTTAAAAAGTGTAAAATGAAAAAATAAATTTTATCTTTTTTTTTATAAAATCGATATTTAATTGATATAAAATAATAAATTTTACAATAAATACATAAATTTTAATTTACATGTTTATTTTAATATTATTGTAAAATCTTATATAAAGAAATAATTTATTTAAGTTTTTTTTTTGTTCGAAAAACTCTAGAATTAAAATATTTTACAGACTGTCCCGGAACAAAAAGCGAAAGTGCTGGTAAAGTTTCGGCGTGTGCTGGATGTCCAAATCAAAGTGCATGTGCATCGGGTGCAACAAAACAAGAGGATCCTGGAAAAGCGCTTGTCAAAGAAAGACTTTCTTCAGTGAAAAATAAAATTCTCGTTCTTTCTGGTAAAGGTGGAGTTGGAAAAAGTACAATTACCTCACTTATATCACGAGCTTTAGCTGATGACAATATCAACAGAAATGTAAGAATATTTTTCTATATATAGTAAATTTTTGCACAAGAAACAAAAAAAAAAAAAAAAAAATTTGTAGACTCTACTAGATAAAAAAAAATCGAAAATTAATTTTAGTACTTAAATATTTTTAGGGCTGATAAAAATAATTTTTTTGAAATCATTTTTTTTTTTAAATCATATTTTTTATTTAAATTCGATTTTTTTTTATTTTTTAATTTAAATCGGATTTGTCTTTATTAACGTAATATTTTTAAAAAATTAATTTCTAAATTAATTTTTTTCAGTAAATACTTCAACTATAAATTTAATACAAGCCTAATTTAAGCATCAAGAAATATTTTTATTTTCATCAAAGAAAATAACATTTTTGAATTAAAAACTAAAATTTTAATGTTTCTTTTTTTTTCATAACCGTGTGCTATTTTTGTGTATCAAAACTTATATAAAAATATTAAACTAAATTTATCCAAAAAAAGAAATCTTTTTTAAAATTGGTTTTAATTTTTTTGAAACATCAATAATTTTATAATAATTTACAGTGAAATTTCACAAATCAATCGATACGTTTTTTAATATTCTATTAATTGGTTATGATAGTTATGATAAAGATTTTTAAATATTTTTAAAAAGTAAAAATATATTTTAAAAAATAATAAAATAGAAAAAATAAATACTATAATAAATACTATAATATAGTAAATATAAAAAATTTGAAATAAAAAATCTTTTTCTTTTCTACGTTTTTAAAAGTCATGTTTCAAATTTTTTTTTTATTAAAAATGTAAACAACTTTGAATAAAAAAAATTTTAGTAGAATATTTGCCAATATATTAAAAGATGAATATTTTGAATCTTAGATTATAAAATATTGAATATAAAAAATACATTAAAAATAATTTTAAAAAAGAAATTTATAAAAATTTTTAATATAAACGATTTAATTTAAATAATAATTTAATTCCAATTGATTAAAAATCAATGCAGCCCTGATTATTTGACATGAATAATTTTTTTTGAAACTATTTTTACTCACTCTCTTACCCTGACCAACAACATCCAAATGATTTTCAATGTACATTTTATATTATATAAAGAACAAAACGTCCTATCAGAGATAACAGAAGACAGGTTTTAGCAATTCTTGTGCAAAGATTGGCTATTATATTGTATATAGATTATATATCTATATAGGTCGTGGCAACTTGTACCAGGTTATTGATTTACAAGTTGCCATATAAACTTGCAATGATTAGAAGATGGTGAATGTAAAAATGAAATTGTCTTAGTTTTACAAGAATTTGTCATTGTTTTTAGTCCTTTTTATTGATTTATTCAACTATATATATGAATAAAAAAAAATTTAGGTTGCAGTATTGGATATAGATATTTGTGGACCTTCGCAACCAAGAGTTTTAGGAGTCATTGGAGAACAAGTACATCATAGTGGATCAGGATGGTCGCCTGTTGTTAGTAACTAATAATAATTCAGTAAAATTTAATTAATATTAAACGCAGGCTTCGCACTTATCTACTAAAAGCGACTATTTGCTCCTTTTTTTTATAGTTTGCTATTATTTCGCTATTTTATTTATATATTTATTTTAATTTTTATCCTATACTAAAGTCCACTTTTTTACATTTTTTTTGAAATTTTTCAAATTCAAAATAAATTTGAATTTGAATATAAATTTTAATTTATTTTAATTTAATTTTTAATTTAAATTTAATATAAATTGAATTAATTATATTAATTTTATTTAATAATTTTTATTAGATAATTATTAAAATTTAACAATTTAATTTTACATTGTCTCAAACGATCAGAGAAGTCAGGAAATTTATTTAATTTTCTGGAATTATTAAAATTTCTTTTTTAAAAACAACTAAAATTTATTTATTTTTACAAACGTAACAAAATTCTTGATATTTTACCATAAATTTTTCATTTTTTTTTTTAGAATTTTATATTTTATCGATTATTCTTTTAATTTCTTCTTTTCTAAAAGTTTCTATTTTCTTAAATTTTCTTCTCTTTATTTTAAATTTTCATTTTTTAAAACGATTTATTCCTGAAATTCTCATATATATATTTTTTTAATTCATTAAATTTTTTTTTTTTACTTTTACAAATCGTTAAAATATTATCAATTTTTCCGCAAATTCACTTTGTAATTAGAGGATTTCTAAAATTTTTTATTTCTCCCTCAAAATTGCTTTCTATTTCGAGAATTTCTATTTTTTTTTTGGAAACTTCTAAAATTCTTTATTTTTCTTTCAATTTCTTCGACTTTTTGTTTTCTAAAATTTTTGTTTCCTTTCGTTTTTTTGAAAAAAAAAAATTCGTTTTTTAAACCATTATTTTCTCACATTCACAATTTTTTTAATTTTCAAATAAATTTATTACTTATTTTTTTATAACTTTTTATTGTTATTGTTATTATTATTATTATTATTATTTTTATTATTATTATATTATAATATTATAATAATTGTAATAATTTATTACTAGTCCAAAATTATAATTTTTCTTGTAAAATATTTTCTTTTTGGAAATTTTTAAAAATTCTTGATTTTTCTTATAAATTTTTTGTTCAACATTGTATTTCCTTGAATTTTCTAAAATTTCTCATGTTATTAATTTTTTTTTTTCAATTTCTCCTAAAATTCTCATGTTTTTTTTCTCTCGATTTTTCGCCTTAAACTCTTCCATTTATTTTAAAAAATTTTCCATCAAATTTTTCTTTTCTTTTAGAAATTCGTAAAATTTATTTATTTATCAGTTAATTATTTAATTGTTAAACTTTTTCAAAACTAATTTTCTATTTTATATAATTACGAAATAATTGTTTTGGTAAATACAAAAATATATTTTTTCACAGTTACATTTTTCCTACTCTGTTTTACCCTGAAACCTACTTTTTGCTACTTTTTATTTACTAACTAAAAAGTGCGAAGTCAGTGAACTAAAATTTAATAATTTTCGGTGGGTTATATAAAAAAAAAATTTTTTCATTAAAAATTACAGTTTTTTTGAAGGACTTTTTTTAAAATTTTAATTAAAGTTTATTTTTAAAATATTAACAATGATTATGAAAAATGAAATAAGCGACAAAAGTTAAGAAAATTAATAAGAATATAATTAATATTTCAAATTTCAAAAAAAAAAAATTTTCCTATAATAAATATTTTTACGAGATAGATTTAAAAAAATATTTAAAGATGAACAAAAATCAATCAATTTTTTTTTTATCCGTTTTCAAGTATTTTTCTATTTTTGCTGTCAGAAATAATAAGTTTTCATTTAGAATTCATCGATTATTATTAATAAAAATTTATAAATAATTAAAAATAAATTTAAAACCACGTAAAATTTATTTAGTTCGTAGAAGACAATTTATCTGTGATGTCCATTGGATTTATACTTCAAAATACATCCGATGCTGTTATTTGGCGGGGACCAAAGAAAAATGGTAAAATAATAAAGGGATTAGAATTTCTCAAATGGAGCATTTAAAATTTTCAAATTTTATTAATTTTTAATGTTAAATCGTTTTGTTTTCCTCTACTGGTAATAAAAAGTTTCTAAAAATTTTCGAACAAAAAAAATTGTTTTTTAAAGTCTTAAATAATAAAAAAAAAAACCATTTTACATTGAAAATTAAATTTGTTAATTTTAGGTTTTTCGTTTAAAAAATTCAGAAAAATTCAGAAATCAATAGAAAAAGTAAATTTTTAATTTTTAAATAAAAATCTCAATTTGATAATTTTTATTTTCGTCACTAGGCATGATAAGACAATTTCTTTCCGAAGTCGATTGGGGTAATTTAGATTATTTAATTTTGGACACACCACCTGGTACATCTGATGAGCATTTATCTGTTTCGACATATTTAAAAGAAGTGGGAATAACTGGAGCCATTATTGTCACAACACCACAGGAAGTTGCATTATTGGATGTTAGAAAAGAAATTAATTTTTGTCAAAAAGTTAATATTCCAATTTTAGGAATTGTGGAAAATATGAGTATCTTCGTTTGTCCTAAATGTGAGGTAAAATTATTTTTTATAATTATTATCTTATTTATTATTTGGTTAATTAATTATATATTTCATCTAAAGTTGGTCTATTTTTTTTAGAAAAATCTTATAATTTGCAATAATCATTTTTTATATTCGTACAATTCCGTTTTGATAATATTATTTAATAAAATTTTATAACCTTTTTCTGCAATTTAATTATTTGAAAAAAAAAATTAATTTAAAAATCTGTAAAGCTTAATTATTGTTCGACATTTTTTTTAAACCATATTAAAACTAAAAACTATGCCAAAATTTTTTATTCGAATAAATTGCTTTAATCACACTTGGAAAAATTAAGAAAAACGGAACTAAGAATTTAAAAAAAAAATTTGTCCTACTTAATTAGAAATTTCAAAATTTATCTTATTTTAATTTTGAAATATTCGAAATAAATTATCTTAATAATATTCTTATGGAATTATTTTTATTGAGAAATTAAAATTAATTTAATATTTAATAACATTAGTTATTTAAAGTAACAAACTTGTTAACTTATTAAATTTAATTAAAATAAAAAAATCGACTTCTTCGACCTTTTTTGGAATGTAAAACGACTTTTCTTTGCTCCTTAAAGTCGATACGAGGCCTATATTTTTCTTTGTAATTTAATTTCATAATTTTTTTCATAAATTATTACAATTATTTAAAAAATCTTGAGAAAAGACAAAACAAAAAATTTCGAGAGAATCACGCTTTATAAAATTTTATTTTGAAGACAAAAAAAAAAAGGGAAACAAATGTATTTTAAAAAAATCTATTTAATCTAATTTATAGACACCTTCAGAAATATTTCCTGCACTAACTGGCGGTGGAAGAAAATTGTCAGAAGAATCAAATATCGAATTTTTAGGTTCACTACCTTTAGATCCACTTTTAGCAAGATGTTGCGATGAGGGAAAAAATGTTTTAACCGAAGTTCCAAATTCTCCAGTGATACCTGTCTTAAAATCAATAGTACAAAGTAAGTTGTCATTAATTTAAATAATTATATAATAACAATAATAATATGTAGAGACAATGAATATTACTTTTTCACTAAATTTAAAATACATAATACCCGTTTTTTTTTTAGAAATTGTAAAAAAATGTGAAGCTGCAGAAGAAGAAAGTAAATGATATAGAGAATAGAAGGTTTTACAATAATATGGAATTTTTATAATTTTGTATACATGGTATGTGATTTTTGTGAAAAATGTTAATAATATATGAAAATTTGCCATTTCAATAGATTACAAAATATTTTTTTAAATATTAAAACTCATTGATTGCAATTAATTGTTGTTATTATAAAATAAAACTTTCTCTAAATATATTTCTTATTGTTTATCGATATATTTATTAATCAATAATGTAATGATAATAAGTATAAAACATTAATATTTTAGCATATCTCTAGAACTTTTAACTTTTTAGCAAGAAATAAATTTTTTTTTTCCGAATAATTACATAATAGTAAAAAAAAAAAATATATCAATTTTTTTAAACAAATAAAAAAAAAATCTTTATTTATCCATTGAATTTTAATTTTTTTGTCGTGCATATTACTCGTCACTCAGTCTAAAATTATTTTCAAAAAATTTATAAAATTTTTTTACTAGAAATCTCGAAATTATGGAATATTAAAAAAAATTTCAACTTCTTTTATATAATTTCTATTATTTTTCATTGCGGCGAATTTTTGTTTTTTTTTTTAGATTTTTTTGATGACATCCTTTTTTAATCAAAAATTTTTTTAAATAATATATTTTTTATTTCAAATATTTCAAACGACAAATAAAAATTTGAACAATTATAATTTCTATATTATTTTTTAATGTCATTTTTTTAAAAAAACTTTTTTCGTCATTCTAATTATTTTCTATTATTAAATTATATAAAAATAATTGATCGATTTTTCCGAATAAAAATTGGTAGAATTAAGGTTTAAAAAAAACACCTTTATTAAGGATATTTTTTATTTTATTCAATACTGATTCTAAACAATGGCAATGGTATAAATTTTGAAAAATTTCAATTTAAAAAATAAAAAAAAAAATTAAAACGATCAAAAATTAATGTTTCTTCAATTTTTAAAAAATTATATAGTTTTAGGTTCTATAAAGTACAAAAGAAAAAAAAATTGACATTTCTAAATAACGAAAGTTTTGATTATTGTTAAAATTTCACTGGTGATCATTTTGAAATTCAACTTCTACAATATTTATTTTTCATTATCAATTTTTTTTTTCATGATTTCGATCAATTTTATAAGAATTTTTAAAAAATTCAAACGTGGTCTAAAATAATTGTTTTTTAATTTTAATAACATAATTTTAAAATAAAAAAAAATAAAATATTTATTCAAAATAATTTTAAAAACACAGAAAAAGAATTAACCTTAGTCCAACAATGTTAAAGTAATTTATTTACTTATTAATATCTTTTGTTTACAACAAGAATTACTATATAGTGTAAAAATTTAAATTTTGTGGTTCTTTTTGTGTCGACAAATTAAAGGTTATAACTGACTTCAATAGCCAATTATCGCTGGTTCCAAGAGAAAACCATACTAAAGTACAGTACATTACAAAAGTTTTTTTGTTTTTACAATTTTTGAGCTTTCCATTTTTATTTTGGGATTTCTCGCACTTTCTAGATGTTTCTCTCATAGTTTCACGTTTCTTTCATTGCTTTCATTATAGCAAAGCATGCAAAGTGATGATTTGTTAATTTTACAAAACTATAAAAGTTAATTGTTTACAAACAAAATTGTGTTATGCGCGAATAGTTTGTTTTGTTAAAAAAAAAATTTGATTTCAAGTTATATATTTACAAATTGAAAAATATGTTATAAAGAAAAAATTCTACATTGTCACAAAATAAGAGAAGGTATTTATTATGAATTTTGTTATTTATTTTTGAAGTATTGTACTATTTTCTTAAACATTTATTTTTGGTATAAGTTAAAAACAAATAAACACAATCACAAATTTATCATAATGAAAATAAATATCAAATTGAGGTTACCGGTATAATTTATAATTAATAGCAACAAGTTAATATCAAAATAAAGATAACGTCAAAAGAAAATTTATTACGCAATATGTATTTTGTTTAAAAATTATATTCTCAAAGCTTGGAATAATAATGTATTTTAATTTAAGTTGCAAAAAACATAAAAATTTAAATATTTGATAAATGATGCAACAGTATATATGGGCGATTACACGTAACCCACATAGCACGACTTCTTGCTGTGAGGTTACTGTAAGGATATCTGTAGGGTTTGTAAGGTTACCGTGTAAGCCTGCAGTAAACTTGAGGTCATCTTAAAACTTCCGCCTTACAGTAAGCTTACACAGTAAAGCTAAGATAAGCTTACACAGTAAGGTCGTGGTAAGTTTACATGGTAAGGATGTGGTAAGCTTACACGGTAAGGTTGTTGTAAGCTTCCCGTAAGGTTACTGTAAGGTTACTGTAAGGTTGCTGTAAGGTTACTGTTAATATAAAGTAATATGAAAATATATTAAAAATAATTATATTATAATATATATTATATTATAAATTTTTTTGCATAAAAAATTATATATTTGGTAAAGTACTTTATGAACCCCAATAGGGTTTGTCAAATAAAAGTTACTGCGCAGCCGTATGTGCCATAGAAAACTACTGCGCATAAATATTAATAAATTTTATTTATTAACAACATTCTATGTTTACAGTAACCTTACATCAACCTTATAGTAACCTTACAGTAACCTTACGGCAAGCTTACAACAACCTTACCGTGTAAGCTTACCACATCCTTACCATGTAAACTTACCACGACCTTACTGTGTAAGCTTACCTTAGCTTTACTGTGTAAGCTTACTGTAAGGCGGAAGTTTTAAGATGACCTCAAGTTTACTGCAGGCTTACACGGTAACCTTACAAACCCTATAGATATCGTTACATTAACCTCCCAGCAAGAAGTCGTGCTATGTGGGAAGATTTACATATATGTATAACATTTTAAATTCGGTAAATATATTTTTTTTCGATCTTTATAGAAAAAAAGGTTTACATATTTTTTTATAAGTGCTCTCAAATTTTTGAGTTATGAATTTTTAAAAATCTGATTTTTTCAAGTTTTTTTTTAAAATACACCTAATTTCAATGACATCAAACTCTAAAAGCATTGAATTTACGATTTATGACCAAGATACAAAAAAGTTTCAGTTTTTTATCGACTTTAAAAATATGTTAACGAAAAAAAAATTTTTGAATTTGTTTATAAAAAACAGTGATTTTTTATTAATAAATTAAATTTTTTTAAATTTAGGCGCAATTTAAAAAAAATTTTTTTTTATTTTTACACACATGAAAATAAGAGGAAAATTTTGTAATAAATTTTAGAGTGGGTCTGATGATCCTTTTGTTTATATAATTTGTTTAAAAAACATACACCTATATATATTAAATAATTATATATAATAATAAAATGCTTGGTCTGTCCTTCTGTCCTAACTTGAAGTTGGCCTTTTCTGATTTCACGTGTTTTTTTGAATAGTAATCTTATGACGTGTCAAATTTTGACAATTCTTTTTCTCATTTTTTCCAAAGTTGTATAATAATTGTGTTTCCAAATTTCGGAATAAGTTTCTTTAAAATTCCAAATTCGAAAATTCAATTCACGAAGCTGAAGTACACAACGTTTACCAACGAAATTTTTTTTAAAGTTGTACATTGATTCAAAAATTGTATACAAATACAAAAAATTTATGATGAGAAAAAAGATGCGCCAGGAAATTTCGTACAAGATAGTAATTTGAAAAAAATTTATTTTTAAAAATTAATTTTTAAGGTACCAGGGGCCAACGAATACATATTAAATATTAATTATAAAAACACAGGCCTCGAATCAACTTAAAGACACAAAAAGTCGTTTTAGTCGATTTATATTCCAAAAAAAAGTGGATTTGTTTTTTATTTTAACAAAAATATTTTACAGATTTTTAAATAAAAATTTTTTTTTAATAATAATCCTTTTCGAAGGGTTGAAGTTGAAATTTTTAGAAATAATTAAATTTCAAAAGATATTGTTAATTTTCAAACAATTATTAAATTTTACAGAACTAAAAATAATTTATCAAACAATTTTTGGAAAACATTTTTTAAATTTAATTGAATTTTCAAAGATTTAAAATTGAGATTTTTGAAATTAATTGAAACTTTAAGTGTTTTGTAATTAAAATTTTAGATGATTTCACTAAAAATTTATTAGAAAATACGGACAAAATACAATAATTTGAAAATCATTTTTAATTGAAAAATGGTTTCAGATAGTTGAATTTTCAAAGAATATTATTAAAATAGTTAAAAATAATTGAATTTCCTTAGAGTTATAATTGAAATTATTAAATTTCAAAAAAAAAAAAAATTTTCGATGGAAAATTTTAGAATTAATTAAATTTTAGATGCTTTTAAATTCAAATTATTGAAAATTCAATTAATTTTGAATTCAAATTTTTGAGAAAAATGAAATTTTATTTGATTTTAAATTTGGAAAATAATTGAATTTCAGTTCATTTTGAATTGAAAATTTTGGGAAATAATTGAATTTTAATTGAATTTTTGGATAATAATTTAATTTAAGTTCATTTTTGATTGAAAATTTGGATAATTAATTTTGAATAGAAATTTTAGAAAATAATTGAATTTTATTTCATTTTAAATTGAAAACTTGGTAAATAATTAAATTTTAAATTGAAAATTTTGGATAATAATTGGATTTTTAATTGATTTTGAATTAAAATTTCGGGTAATAATTGAATTTTAGTTTATTTTGAATTGAAATTTTTAAAAAATAATTCAATTTTATTGTGATATTTTTTTTTGTTAAATTATAAACAATGGTTAAATTTCATAAAAATTTTAATTGAAAAATAATTTTGATATAATTGAATTTGTGATATGTATTTCATTAAAATTATTAAAAATAATTAATTTAGCGAAGAATCATTTTAGTTCAAAATTTGTTAAATAATTGAATTGAAGAAGATCTACATTTTATACTAGAAAAATGTATTTTATTTACATTTTTTTTCAAATGTAAAAAAAAATGTTGCATTTCATTAAAAGAAGTCGATAAAAGTCGTATTTTTGAAAAAAGTCGGAAAAAGTCGTATAATGCGAGGCCTGTAAAAATATAATTTTCATTATTATCATTTAATATGTAATAATATTCTAATAAATTAAATTATTCTGGATAATATTAATCTTTAATTTCTTTATAACAAACAATTAAATACTCAATTTGGGGCACTTGCGCGCGTTTAATTTTGCTAGTAATAAATAAAATCTTATATAAATAATTTCTGTACTATTGTTAAAAAATATTTATTAAAAAAACATTTTTAACCAAAGAAACATTTTTTTTTTCAATATATTTTTTATTTTAGAGATATTTAAAACTTTTCAAAATACTTACAAAACACCAAAAATAGAAATTTATTATATTTAATAATATTTAATATTTATTTTATTTAATATTTTATTTATTGCAGATATTTAAAACATTATAGAATACTACGAAAATATTCTAAAAATAGAAATGAGTGCTGACGACATGGAAAAAATGATTTGTGATGACGAAATTAAGAAAAAGAAAAAAAAATACTTGATGAAATTTGATAATCTTTGTTTATCAAAAGGAAAATTGGATCTTTGTTTTATGTTTCTTTTAATATTATCGGTTATTATCATTATTATGTATCTTTTCATCATTCCTTTTCTATCATTTAAAGCGACTGAAAAAAAATTGCCAATTATTGAAAATTCCCTCAATAATCATAGTGAATTATTTTTTAACTCCGCAAATGATGTTGATAATTATTTCAATTTAATTTATAAAAAAATAACTCACGAAACTGATGAGAAAATAAATATTCTTGAAAAAGAATTTCACAAAATAAATGATAAATTAAATGACAATGATTTGAAATTAAAAGAAACACATAGAAAATTAAATGATGCAACTTGTTCATTAATACCTGAGGATAAAAGATTTGATTGTCATCCAGAAGCTGGGGCAACAGAAATTTCATGTACACAACGAAATTGTTGTTGGAAACCAGTGCATAAAACAAAACAAAATTTCATTGATATACCCTATTGTTTTTACGGTATTAATTGGCAAATATATAAATATGAAAATATAACAATACACAAGAATGAAAACGATATTTCCGGTTTTTTAAAATCAACATCAAAATCATCGTATAAAAATGATTTATCATTGATAAAAATTGAATCGACAAGTGTTGATGAGTCAATTTTACGTGTTAAACTTTATGATCCTTTGAAAAAAAGATACGAACCACCATGGCCAATAAGAAATGAAACAAATTCATTTTTGGGAACAACAATGTATAATATAAAAATTGATAAAACAAGTCCAGGTTTTTCTGTTCATCGAAATTTAAATGGTGAGACTTTATTTAATTCAAATGGAATTGGTGGTTTTATATTTGCAAATCAATTTTTACAAATGAGCTCATTATTGCCGTCATCGAATATTTATGGACTTGGTGAACATAGAAGAAATTTAAAATTATCGACAAATTGGGAATTATTAACGCTATTTAATTCAGATCGACCGCCAACAGAAAATGCAAATCTCTATGGATCGCATCCATTTTATATGATTATTGAAAAATCAGGTGATTGTCATGGTGTTTTATTTTTAAATAGTAATGCAATGGATATTATTTTACAACCAGCGCCAGCAATAACATTTCGTACAATTGGTGGTATTTTTGATATTTATTTTTTTATGGGACCAACGCCTAACGATGTTTTACAACAATATGCAATGATTGTGGGAAAACCTTTTTTTCCACCCTATTGGTCATTGGGTTTTCATTTATGCCGTTTTGGCTATGGTTCATTGGAAAAAACAAAAGAAACATGGAATAGAACAAGAGTGGCGGGAATTCCATTTGATACACAGTGGAATGATTTGGATTATATGGATAGACATAATGATTTTACATATGATAAAATAAAATTTAAAGAACTTCCTGAATTTATTAAAAATCTTCATAATGAAGGAATGCATTATATTCCATTGATTGATGCTGGAATTTCAGGAACGGAAATTAATGGTTCCTATATACCTTACGATGAAGGTGTACGTGAAGGAATATTTGTCAAAGACAATAATGGTTCACCATTTCAGGGAAAAGTTTGGAATTTCAATTCTACTGTTTGGCCAGATTTTACAAATCCTAAAACACAAGATTATTATTTGAAAATGATGAAGGAAACTCATGATAATTTTCAATTTGACGGCGCATGGATTGTAAGTATTTTGTTTACGATTCATAATTTAAATTAATTTACAACAATTAATTATCTAAAAAAAAATATATAAATAAAGTTCTGAAAGTTCATAATGAACGAAATAATTTTTTTGGTCTATAAATTTTTTAAATTTATTACAGCAATAAAAAATATTAAAGTACATTAAACATTTTAATTAATTATAAATTTATTTTTGAAAAAATAATTTTTAAAAAAAGTTGGAATCCCAATTTAAAAAACTCATTTTTTAAACATTTTTCATTAAAAATTTGTTATTTTGCATTTTTTTTTTACTTTTTTTATTTAATTAAGTTATAATTAATTAAATATTATGTTTTTAAAAAATATATTATTTTCATTCATTAAAAGATTTAGAAGAAAAAAGTATAAAAAATATTTAATTAATTGTATAAAAATTAAATTTTTGCCTTTCTTGATTATAGAAAAATTAAAAGATTACATTTTTAAAAAAAAATTATTTTCTAATTTTTCTTTTCTATAATAATATTTAATTTCTAAAATTTTTTGCTTTTTTTATGCATTACCATTTATATAATTTTCTTTTCTTTTTTTTAATAAAATTCAAATTTGTAATTGTTTTTGTTTCTAATAATTGAAAATAATTAGAAAAATATTCTAATTACTTAAATGAATAAAATCATTTTTTTGTGTTGTCATTCATAAGATACTTCGCAGAAATTTTATCACTTGTGAATTAAAATTATTTTATCAATACCAAAAGTTTATTTTCGATATCAAGTTCTGAGAAAATTTTTAAAAAGAAATTTCATAAGAAAAAGCTTTTTTTAAAAATAAAATTTGGATTAGAAAATATTATTTTATATGACATAAAATATAAAAAAAAAAATTGGAATTTTATTATTTAAAAATAAAACTTTCATAACAGTTTTCGATAACTTATAGTTTTATTTAGCTTTTATATTTCAATTATTTACATTTTAACTTTAAAGTTATTTTCCAAAGATTTAATTAAATAAAAATTTAATTTTTATACAATTAATTAAATATTTTTTATACTTTTTTCTCTTCTAAATCTTTTAATGAATGAAAATAATATATTTTTTAAAAACATAATATTAATTAATTATAACTTAATTAAATAAAAAAAAAAAAAAATAATGCAAAATAACAAATTTTTAATTTGAAAAATGTTTAAAAAATGAGTTTTTTAAATTGGGATTTCAAAATTTTTTTAAAATTATTTTTTCAAAAATAAATTTATAATTAATAAAAATGTTTAATGTACTTTAATATTTTTTATTGTTGTAATAAATTTAAAAAATTTATAGACCAAAAAAATTATTTCGTTCATTATGAACTTTGAGAACTTTATTTATATTTTTTTTTTAGATGATTAATTTGCATTGTTTTGGTGAGTTCCAACATTTAATTTCTTAATAGTTTTTTAATAATAGCGTTTTTAAAAAAATTTGGAAAATTTAAGGTTACAAAATCACATTGTAAACCACCGACTTTTGATATTTAATATTTTTAAAGGTAATAAAATTTTTACCATAATATTATGGTTAATGAACTCAGGGAATCATCGAGTTTCACATATATATTAAAACTAGATTTTTTAAAAATTTGGTCGCAACCACTATTAGACGAAAGTTAGTGGACTGTGACCCTAAATGAATCAAAATTTATAAAGTGTGTTAACATTTTTTTAATTGAGATATTTTTCAATGCAATACATGTTTTTCTATTTAAAACAATAATAAAATATACGCAAGTTTAATTTTAAATATTTAAATGAGTTATTGTTAAAAAATTCGATTAAATAAATATTATGCAACAGAAATTTTTTTTTTTTAATCAAAGGAGAAGTAAAGATTTTTTTTTTTATTTCTACAAATAAATTGTTGATATTTTTGAAAAAATTACGTAATTTTTCAAAAAATGTTTATAACAATAAATTTTGTATAAATATTCAAGATATGCAAAACTGTTGAAGTTGTATTTTTAATTTATTATTTTGAACAGAAAAACGTGTATTGCATTGAAAAATATCGACAATTAAAAAAATGTTGATACACTTCACAAACGTTGACTCGTATATTATATATAATAATAATAATAATTCTAAATAATTAATTTTAATTAAATAATTACTTTATATTTTATTAAATTTATTAAAAATTACTTTTGTTTATTATTAAAATTTAATTATAGGACATGAACGAACCATCTAATTTTTACAATGGTCTTTCAAATGGTTGTCCTATCAACAATTTAGACAATCCTGAATATGTACCTCAGGTGAATGGAGGTATTCTTGCTACAAAAACGTTGTGTATGAATTCACAACATTATTTAGGATCTCATTATGATCTACACAATACATATGGTATCAGTCAAGCTATTTCAACAAATAAGTAAGTTAATTTTTAATTTTCTCATTAACAGCCTAAAATTTTATTTCAATAATTAAAAAAAAAATTTTACTGAAAAAAAAACCAAATAATTTTGGTAAATTTTATAATTATTATTCTTACTAAAGGAAATAATTTTATTATTATTTCATAATTTGAAATTTTATAATAATTAATTTATTTCAATTTTAATATTTTCGAATAACTACTTGATAAATTTTTTTAAAAATTGCCACATTCAATTATATTTTGAAGAAATTATGGAATAAAATTTTATTTTGAACATAATTAATAAAATAAATTATAGATTGAACATAAGAAATATTTTTTTTATTATTTATTTTAAATTACAAACAATATTTTTAATGGTATGCAGAAATAAATTCACGAAATTGTTGTGAAAATACTGAAAATTTAAAAAAGAATAACAACTTTTTTTAAAAAATAAATTACATTGAAAATAATTGGAATTGGAAAATATTTTAATTTTATAAACTAAAAATTCAAATAGATAAAATTATATATAAACTCTTATTAAATAAAACGAATTTCAATAAAATAGGTAGTGGATTTAAAAAAAAATGATATTTGTTATTTTTTTCATAGCTCTTACATTTTTTTTACTGTCCATTCATTTTTCTCGAATATTATATTTTATGTGAAATTATTAAAAAATTGACATGAACATTTTTATAATTAAAGTGCGTTGAAACAAATAAGGAATAAGAGACCTTTTATTATTTCTCGTTCAACATGGGTTGGTCATGGATTTTACGCTGGTCATTGGACCGGAGATATTTATTCATCCTGGTAAGTAAATGAATCAAAGATAAAAGTTTCAAGTTATTTTAATTTTTTTTTTTTCCTTTCTGTAAGATAATGCAATTTTATTACAAAAGGGCATTTTTATTTTTCTTAGTCCGTTTATTATTGTAAATAAAAAGGAAAGAAAAAAGAAATGGAAAACCTGCACTATTAAGAAAGAGGTAAAAAAAAAATTAAAATATTTTTTTTTTAATAATCTTTGTATAGGTACGACTTGAAAATGAGTATTCCAGAAATTCTACAATTCAGTTTCTTTCAAATTCCAATGGTTGGCGCAGATATTTGTGGTTTCAATGGAAATACAACAGTTTCTCTTTGCAATCGTTGGATGCAAGTTGGTGCTTTTTATCCTTTCTCACGAAATCACAATTCTGATGACACTATCGTAAGTGAAATTACATGGAAAATAATTGAAATTTATCAATTTATTTTTTAATCATTAAGACTCAAAATCCTGCTAGTTTTTGCGATTTAAAAAAAAATGCAATTTATTTCGATTTTTATATTTTGACGCTTATAATCAATGTTTAAAAATAAAAAAAATAATTTCCATGCAGAAAATAAATTTTTTTTTTTAATTTGTTGATCGGGAAACGTTACCAAAAATTTTCACTGACAAAAAATTATAATATAAAAAAATATTTTTTCTTCTCAATCGTTGATGATAAACGTTGTGAAATTCATTTTTTATTTTAAATTGAATTGAAGTTGCAAATTAATTAATTATTATAAACTATAAAATTAAATTATAAACATAGTTCTAATCGTTCAAATGAACGAAAATTTTGTTTACTATACTTCTTTAAATTCCAATTTTATTAAAAAACATTACTTTCTTTTATCAAAAAAAAAAAAAATGAAATAACTATTTAATAAATATTAAATGTACTTTTTTATTTTTTATTGCAGTAGCAATTTGTAAAAATTTTTATAGAACAAAAAAACGTTTTTATTTATTTGAAAATTCAGAACTTTAGGCACATTATTTTTTGTTCAATAGTTAAAAATGTTTTTAATGAAAATAATCTTTATTTATTTTTTTTTTTTTCATTTAAAAACAAAGAATATATAATATTCTAATTTCTAATTTGTGTATTAATTTAGGAGCAAGATCCTGCTGTGATGGGAGAATTGGTAATCAGATCATCAAAAAAAGCTCTCACAATTCGATATGAACTTTTGCCATATTTATATACTCTCTTTTCGGCTGCTCATCGTTTTGGCGTAACTGTTGCGCGTCCTTTGTTCTTCGAGTGAGTTTCAATTTCATTTTTTAATCTATAACTATTATACAAAACAGAAAAAATTATGATTAATATATTATCCGAAGATATTTCCTACTCTTTCGAATAGTGCAAAAAATTTTACAAAAAATTTCAAATTTAACCCTTGTTTTCAAAATCAAAAGTAGTTTTGTTTTTTTTTTAAATTTCAATTTGTTCAAATATTAATACTTCAATCATTGATGAAAAATTTCAATGAATCTACATTTGAATAAATACAAATTAGTTATTTTTCACCTTTTTTTTGGAAAAAAGGAAAACTCGTTTTTCTAACTTCAAATTATTAGATTTCTATTACGTCATTAAATTTACAAAATTTTTGTTTTGGAAAATTTTTTTTAATGATTTTCTAATTACGAATGTAAAAACAGGTTCACCAATGATCCCGCTACATACAATATCGATACACAATTTCTTTGGGGAAGCTCTTTAATGATTGTTCCTGTACTAGACGAGGTAATCTCATAAATCATTATCAAAATTATAAAATATAAATTTGAAAACTAAAAAACTGAACATCTTTTTTTTACCTGCGTTTTTTTTTGCTTTCTTTTTTTCTATTTAGATTTCTGATAAAAATGAAAAGGTCGATGCTTACATTCCTGCAGGAAAATGGTATAATTTCTATACAAATGAATCGATATTATCAACTGGTGAAAACGTAACTCTAAACGCTCCGTTGGATACAATTCCTTTATTAGTACGTGGTGGATCAATTTTGCCTATGCAACAAAGTTCTCGTACAACTACGGAAAGTCGAAAAAATAAATTTGCCTTATTAATTGCACTGGATAATCAACAATATGCCACTGGAGAATTATATTGGGATGATGGAGAAAGTTTAGGTTAGTGATGATTTTCATGATTTTTTGTTCAAATTGCAGCGAACCTCGAAATTTTTGAATTTTTTTTAGACCTTGAAAAATCTTGAAAAGTCCTTGATTTTTTTTCAAAAATCGCAGGATACCCTAAATTTAATTATATTATTAAAAAAATAATTGAAAAAAATTTAATATTTGAAATTAAATTTAAAAATTTAATAACTGAAATTAAATTACATAAAAATATCAACGAAGTAGTATTTTATTTTAAATATCATAATTTTCAAAATTATTTAATTTCCACATTGAACTTACTATGATTTTCACCGTTTTACATTTTTCTGTTTTACTGATTTTTTTTTTTAATTTTTGAATAATTCTTGTGCCTAAAGTTCTAAACGTTTAAATGAACGAAATAAATTTTTTAGTATGTAATTTTTTTTAAAAAATTACTACAGCAATGAAAAATAATAAAGTGCATTAATCATTTAATAAATTATGAACTTATTTTTTGTATACCGTAAGAGAAATTATAATAATTATATTAATTCATAAAGAGAAATTTGAAATTAAAATAGTAGTAAAAAATTTTTCGTTCATTTTTACGTTTAGAACTAGAGACACAAATAAATTATATAAATTTATAAAATAAACATAAGAGGCATTCTATTTCAAACCGTACTACCTACAAATGACTATCAGGGGTAGAGCACTTTTCATACCTAGTTTATTTTATTTAAAAGTCTTTAAATATAAAATGTAAATAATGCTTTTAATAGAGAATTTTTCAAGCTTTAAGATGGTATAAGTCTTTATTTTAAAAAAATTTAATTCTTGGTTTAATTTGCATTTAAAAACTTTCAGAGTTAATTTCTCAAAATATGTCATTTTCAATTTTGATGAAATTTGTCTCAAAAGAAAAATTAAATTCTCTAGTTTCTACCATCCAAAGATTATAATGGGCTTTTCAGTGGATCCAGGGAAAAAAAATAAAATGTAAATTCACTTTTTACTGAATTTTGCGTAGAAAACGTAACCCTCTTGAATTTCACGTCATAGTCAAAATCATTTGTTTTTTTTTTAAATAATATTGTTAAAAAGGTAAATTTATTTTAACCTCGAAGAAATCTTAAATTAAAAAATTGTTACTTTCATTTTACAATAAAATTCAAAATGGTAATTAATTTGATATTATTTATATTACTAACATAATTATATATAATAAAAGATACATAACAATTTAACTAATAAAGATATATTATTAAATTATATTTTTGCTTTACAATTTTGACAAAGTGATCTTTTTAACAGAATTAAAAAAAAACAAATGATTTTGACTCTGACGTGAAATTCAAGAGGGTTACGTTTTCTACGCAAAATTCAATAAAAAGTGAATTTACATTTTATTTTTTTCCCTGGATCCACTGAAAAGCCCATTATAATCTTTGGATGGTAGAAACTAGAGAATTTAATTTTTCTTTTGAGACAAATTTTATCAAAATTGAAAATGACATATTTTGACAAATTAACTCTGAAAGTTTTTAAATGCAAATTAAACCAAGAAGTAAATTTTTTTTAAAATAAAGCCTTACACCATCTTAAAGCTTGAAAAATTCTCTATTAAAAGCATTATTTACATTTTATATTTAAAGACTTTTAAATAAAATAAATTAGGTATGAAAAGTGCTCTACCCCCGATAGTCATTTGTAGGTGGTACGGTTTGAAATAGAATGCCTCATAAATTTCTTTATGTTAAAAGTGTCTTTTTTTAAAAAATATTTACAGATTCCATTGAAAAGGATGAATATCATTGGTTAAATTTCACAGTGTCTAATAATACATTGAGAGTTCATTCTATTATGGGTTCTTTCTCTGAAAAAATTATATTAGGAAGAATAAAAGTTATGGGATTGGATCTAGAAAAAGTAAGCCGTGTAATCGTTAACGATAAGGACATTGACACTGATCAATTCTACTACAATAAAAATCCATCTGTAAGTAATTACCATTTACAATAATATAATTAATTACTTTAATTATATTTTTAAGTTTTTAAATATTTTTTTTTTATAATTTATAAATAGTCGCATAAAACGATTGCAAATTTTATTTTATTGTTTTTTAAAGCTTGTCTCTTGACAAAGCCTCTTTGAGTCAAAATTTGTAAACTGTGACAATATTTTTTAAAAAGTTGAAATTTTTTCATTAGATTTAGGTTTTTCTTTTTTCATGCAAAACAGTAAATAAAAAATACAAGTTTAAACCATCTTTTTAAAACTTAAACTTAAAAATATTGAAATTTGAAAAATCGAAGGAACATGTTAGATTAATTTCTATTTGTTTAATTAAAATAAATTGTTTATATTTTTATCAAATTGTGATAATTTTTAAAAATTAGGAAATATTAATCGAAAACGGTGTTAATTTAATATAATAATACAAAATGTCAGAGAAATTGATTTTGTAGATAAATAAAAGAACAAAAAAATTTATAAAATTGCACACAAAAATGTTTATAACAATAATTTGCATAAATTTAAAAATTTTAAAGAATTGTTTAACTTGGTTTTTTTTTATTGACTATTTTGAATAAAAAAAAAAAAAACGTAAATTTCGTGATAAAATTTCAACCACTCGAAAAATATTGGCACACTTCACAAAATTTTCATTCTTTGTTTTCGACATATTTCCCAAAATTTTATTTGAAGATAACGGTATTTTTTTGCTTTGAACACTTTTTTTAAGAGTCATTTATTTAAAAATTTTTATATTTTATATTTATTTCATTTATTGAAAGATTTTATACTTTTATATTAGATTTTTTTAAATCTAATTTTTAATTATATAAGCTGCAAATTCAAATTTCACTATAAAATAAAGATTCGAAAAAATAAAATTTGGAGTCTATTCATGCGCCCTTAAAAATTTGTTGCAGAATTTAAAAAAATTTTAATACTATTTTTTTATTTTAAAATATAATTTTCATTTAAGTAAAAATAAATTTATATTTTTCTTAATATATAATTAAAGTAAAGAGAATTTTTTTGTTTTTCATTGAAATGTTTTTTTTTTCCAGTATCTATTTGTGCAAAATTTAAATCTAGAAATGAAAGATATGTTGACTTTATCTTGGACGGAAAAAGAGAAAGAAATAACCAAAGTTATGATAGAAAGATATCGAGGTCCAGTCGTTCATTCTGCAGCAGTTACTTTTACGAGTTACAATATATTTTTAATTTCTATTATCTCAATCTTGTTGATTAATCGTTTAATGGTAAGAATTGTACTTTAAATAATTTAAATAATAAGGATTTATATATATTTTTTTTTTCATGTAAAACAATTATGTGATAGCCGTAAGTGTAATTTTCAGTGCCAATGAATTTTAAAGACTAAAAGTGCAATTTTTATAACTTTATATTACATATATATATATATATATAAACAAACTATGTGATGTAATGAATATTTTTCTAAGCGTACATAGATTTTTAAATATTTTTAAAGAATGTTAGAATTATGTTTAAAATGTGTATGTTAAATAAACAGTGACTTTTTCATTTATAAATTTTTTTGAGAGAAATTTTACCTGCTTTTTTACTGTTATTTTTATTTTATTGATTATTATATAATTATTTATTTATAATTTTTATTATTATCATTATTAGTAATATTTTTTTTTATTTATTATAATTTTATTATTATTATCAAATGATAAGACTTGACAAATAATATATAAATTATTACAGATTTTTAACTTAGATTTTAAATAAACAATCGATTTATAAACAAAATTGTATTAATATTTTTGTTCTTCATAAATATTAAATGATTGACGTACACTTTTTCTAAAAAAAATATTTTCTAATTTTCGTTTTTCTAACAAAGTTTTAATTCTAAATTTTTTTTTCTAATAAAATTTAATTTCTACAATTTTTTTCTAATAAAATTGAATCCTACCACTGAATTTAAATTTTTAAGAAAGTTTAATTTGAAAATGAATATTTGAAGTTGTTTTTTTTTTGACATTCTCTAGCAACTTTGGAGAAGTCTTATCAATTATTTTTTTATCTAAATAAAAATCAATTAAAAGTATCTTGTGAAAATCGAACAAAAAATGTTAAATTAATTTTATTTTATATTATTATTTATTTTATTTTAGAAATCTAAATTTGTTAGAAAAATATATTTTGGAATTCCGAATATTGAACGTGTCTGACGCGTTACTAACGCTCAATTGTTAGTAAAAATTTTTTTAGAAAAATGATTTCGTTAGAAAATGCTTTTTTCCGCAAAAAAAAAATGATTAGAAAATATTTTTTTTTTATAAAAAAAATTTACTAATGGATTTTTATTAAAAACACTGAATAAATATCAAAAAGCTGAATTTGTTAAAAAAATTCCGACTTTTGGAAAAAAATGGAAAAAATATAATAAAAGTTTCCATGATTTAAAAAAAAAAAATTTTTCATGGTCAATAAAAAGAATTTTTATTAAACACTGAAAAAATATCAAAGAACTGAATTGGTTAAAAAAAAAATATCTGACTTTTAGAAAAAGTTAAGAAATTTAATAAAATCAGGAGAAAAAGTCAGAGAAAAAATAAATAAAATTTTTGTGGCAACCTGTTACAATTTTAATTCTACATTTTTAAAAATTATTTATCTTCTTAGATAACAAAAATTCGATTGCTCCTTTAGATAAAATTATAAATTTAAAAAATAATTATATTTTCGTATTTTAGATTTATTTTCTCCATTGTGATACTTATTACAAACTTTTACAATTTTGTTTTTTCCCGCAAATTTATATATATAAAAAAACTATTTTCTAAATGTGTAATTAAATATTACTAAAAATATTATCAAATAATAAATAATAAAAATTATTCAAAACTAATATCATAACGATTTTTTAAAAATATGTTTCATTTGATTATACAAATAAATTTTGAATTATAAGACAAATTTTTCTATAAAAAATTCTATTTCCTTTTTTTTTTTGCTTAGTTTCAAAAAATGATTAAACACAAATGGATAAAAATACTCGTGACACTAATATTAATAGTCGAATATAGTGAACAGACTCTAATTAAAAAAAACTATGAAATTAATGATGAAAATAAAAATATTGAAGATTCAACATGTTCTCTTATTATGGATAATGAACGATTTGATTGTCATCCCGAAGATGGTGCTTCAGAACTTGCTTGTGGATCGAGAAATTGTTGTTGGAAATTTTCTGATAATATAAAAATTCCATCTTGTTATTATAGAAAAAATTGGAAAATTTATAATTACGGTGATATAAACACTCAACGAGAGAATAAAAATAATATTTTGGCTTTTTTAAAATTACATGAACGTTCAACGTATAAAAATGATTTGCCACTAGTTGCAATTGAAAGTACCAGCATCGATGCTTATACTTTACGAGTTAAGGTATATAGATACATTAATCACTTATAATTGGCTCAATTAAAAATTAAATTAATAGTAATTTTTTTTCTTCATGAATTTAAATTAATTTAAAAAATTTTTTAAATTAATTTTTAAAAATACTCCGTCACAGTTCACAAAAATCTGCTTTTTTATATTTCCAATGATTAACAAAAAAAAAAAAAAGTAAATATTCTTCATGCAAAAAATAATACAATTTTTTTATTGAACAGAAAGCGAAAACATTTTTTTAGTCAAATAATTTATATAAAAAAAATTTTTTTTCTTTTAAATCGTCGAAATTGTATTTTTATTTATATTTCGTTACATTATATTTTAAATTAAATAACAAAATAATAATAATGATTAATTGTTTTGTAAATGGATTTGAAATAATAAATTTCTAGTTATTCGATCCTTCGCAAAAAAGATACGAGCCACCATGGCCAATTAAATCGAAATTGGAACCATTTGACGGAAGTACGTCATACAAATTAAAAATTAATGAATCTGCTCCTGGTTTTTCTGTTCATAGAAAATCAAATAACATTACATTGTAAGTTTCTTTATCGTCAACCGGAGCTATTGTGGTACGAAAATCGCAATTATTTATTATTTTTCCTTTTTATTTATTTTATTTATTTAAAAAAAAATTTTTTTTTTGTTTTCTATTAATTTTATAGATTTGATTCAAATGGAATTGGTGGCTTTATATTTGCGAATCAATTTTTACAAATGAGCTCACTATTACCTTCTCATAATATTTATGGCTTGGGACAGCACAGGACACATTTGAAATTATCAACAAATTGGCAGCTATTGACATTTTTTAGCGCTGATCAGCCAGTTACAGAAAATGTATAAATATTTCCATTTTTTGTTGTTGTTTGTATTCACAATTTTCTGATATGATTTTTATTTTTATTTCAAGGCAAATCTTTATGGATCGCAACCATTTTATTTTGTAATAGAGAAATCTGGTGATTGTCATGGTGTTCTTTTTCTTAATAGCAATGCAATGGGTAAAAAATCAATTTTTTGCAATCTAAATAAAAAATCTAAAAAAAATAATAAATAAATAATAATAATTTTTGTAATCATAAAAATTTTTTTTCCAACAATTTAGATATTATTTTACAACCAACTCCGGCAATAACATTTAGAACAATTGGTGGAATTTTTGATATTTATTTTTTTATGGGACCAACACCTGAGGATGTATTAAAGCAATATGCAAATTTTATTGGAAATCCCTTTCTTCCACCATATTGGTCATTAGGTTTTCATCTAAGTCGGTAATTTTTACAAATAGAAATAAATAATTTCAATTATTCAAAAATTAATTATTAATCCAATTAAATTGATTTAATTATTAATAATTTGAAAATCAATATAAATAAAAATATTTTTTTTCTAGACTTGGATATCATACATTAGAAGGAACAAAAAAAGTGTGGAATAGAACAAAAATGGCCAAAATTCCTTTTGTAAATAATATACATTGTGAAAAAAAAAATTACAAAAAAAATCAATTTTCACTTTTTTTGTAATTTTTTTTTTTTTCGTAATTTTTTTAGGATACACAATGGAATGATTTAGATTATATGGAGAGACGAAATGATTTTACTTACGATAGAAAAAGATTTAAAGGTCTTCCTGAATTTATAAAGGAACTTCACGATGTAATTTATCAAAATTATACAATAATTATTTTTTATTTTTAATTAATATTATTTTTATTATTTACATATATGATGTAAATTATCAATTTTAACATTTGAATTTGAAATTTTTTTCAAATTGAATTTTTTTTTTTTATTCAAATTTCTAAAAACTATTTATTTCATTGATAAATTAGAACATGCGGAAATAAAAAGAAATTATTTTAGGGAGGTATGCACTATATTCCTCTAATTGATGCTGGAATTTCTGGAACCGAAAAAAAGGGTTCCTATCCACCGTTGGATGAAGGACTTCGTCGTGGTATTTTTATCAAAGAAAATGGCACTAATTTGCCATTTTATGGAAAAGTATGGAATCCCATTACGACAGTGTGGCCCGATTTTACAAATCCTAAAACTAAAGAATATTATAAAGAAATGATGCAAAGAGCGCATAAAAATTTTCAATTTGATGGCGCATGGATTGTACGTATTTCGTTGATAAAAAAAAAAAAAAAATCAAATTTTAAAATAAAATATAAAAAAGAAAATAGAAAACAAAAAAAAATATTTTAGAAAAATTTCTTTCTTAAAAAAAAAGTATTTTATGAATTTTAATTTTTAAATTAATTAAATTAAATTTAATTAAATTTCAATTATATTGTTAAATATAGGATATGAATGAGCCTTCGAGTTTTATAAATGGACATTTCGATGGATGTCCCCAAAATGATTTAGATAATCCACAATTTGTGCCTCATGTCGCTGGTAGACAATTGTCAAGAAAAACATTGTGCATGAATGCAAATCAATTTTTGGGTTATCATTACGATCTTCATAATACTTATGGCATTGGTCAAGCTGCAGCAACAAATTAGTAAGTTGTCAAATGTTTTTTTAAACTTTTTCTTTATTATTACTTTCAATTTTTAAAGTTACATTTTTTTCTATTTTTTTTTTTTTTTTTTTTTGAAACGAAGAAGTTCTGAAATTAATTTGATAGAATTTTATTAATCTCTAAATGAGAATTCGTTAATAGAATTAAAAAAATTTTTCTTCGAATTATTATTTACAGAATTTACATTTAACTGATTTTAAATATAGAATTTTTTATAAAGCAAATTTTTTTTTAACAAAATTTTGATTTATTTGAATTTCTATGTTTGATTGAATTTTCGAAATTCGCCTTTTAAAATTTGCATTTTCTTTATCAAATTATTTCTTTCAAAGGAAATAAAAAATAAAAAAAAAATCAAATAAAAAAAATAAATAAAAATTTGAACGAATGAAAATTCTATCTTACAAAAATTTAATTAAAAATTTAAAATAAATATTAAGAAAAAAAAATATTCAAACTGATGAAAATTTTGTATAATATAAAAATTCGGATTTCGTTCGATTACATTTTGAAAACTAAAACTTGGACTAAAAGAAAATTCCGTTCAAATAAAAATTTGAACAAATTAAAATTTATGAAAATTCGATTTAATAAATAAGTTATATCGAATAAATTCTCGGTTATATAAATATTTTGCAAGTTTATGAGAATTAGTAATTAAAAATAGAAATTCTGAAAATAAAATTTCGAAAAAGTGTAAAAAAAAAATCCTTATTTATTTGAAATATTAATAGCTAAATCTATTCTTTTTTATTTTTTTATTTTTCTCTAAGTTATTGAATCAATTATTTGTGATAAAAATTAAAATATTTTTGTATAAAAAACTCGAAAAAAAATAGAATGCACTAAAAAAAATTTCAAATTTAAAGCGCACTGAGTAAAATAAGAAAAAAGAGACCTTTCATTATAACAAGATCAACTTGGATTGGTATTGGATTTTATGCTGGAGCCTGGACAGGAGATGCTTATTCATCATGGTAAGAATAATCAATTTTTTTTAAAAATCATTTCCAAATCTGTGAAATTGAATATAATTTACACAAGGAAAAATATTTTCCTCTGAAAACAAAATTGGTTGATATTTGTGCAAATAAATTTTTTTTTGTTGACCCAACAAAAATTTTGATAAGCTGAACAATGAACAAAATATTTCTTAATATTTAATTAGTTCTTTAATAATTATTTAATATTATTTATAATATTATTTTTTATTTCGAAATAATTTTTTAATAATTTTTAATAATTTTTTAATTTAAAATATTAAATTAAAAAAATTTAATATTGAACATTTACACTTTTGGATAATTTTTTTTTTTATTTTGGTGTACTCTTCGAAAAAGGGTTCAATGGTTTTTTTAAAAAAATTTTTTATCATGCCGTTTACGAGATATAAATTTTTCGAATTTTGACCCAAAAACTTTTTAAATTGATAAATTTTTTAAAAAAAAGTTGTGAGAATTGAAGAAAAAATTGTTTTAAATCTGAAATTTTAAAAAATTCATAACTTGTAAACGGCTTGATAAAAAAAAAATTCGAAAAAAAATCACGGAACCCTTTTTTGTAGTGTACAAAAAGATAGAAAAAAAATTTATCTAAATCAAAAGTGTCAAATATATATAAGAAATGAAAATTTCTGTTCAGGCACAGTCTACGAATGAGTATACCGGAAATTTTATCTTATACATTTTACCAAATTCCAATGGTGGGTGTTGATATTTGTGGTTTCGATGGTGATACCACTGAGGCTTTATGTAACCGATGGGTTCAAGTCGGTGCCTTTTATCCATTTGCTCGAAATCACAATTCTGATGATACAATAGTAATACATTTTTTTTTAAATTATAATTAATTACTAAATGACTAAAAAAAATTAATTTTTTAGAAATTAAAATTCCGTCAACCGGGGTAATTATACCATCCCAGGGGCTATTTTACCCATCAACAGTTTTTAATAAATAAAATTTTTTTTTAAAATAATTTTTTTAAAAATAATTTGTTTTTAAATTAACAATATAAATTATAATTTTACATTCTAAAATAATGATAGAAAAAAAAAATTGACACCCCCTAAACAACATTAATTTTGATAGGTTGAAATTTCATCGATCCTTTTCCTTATGGGCACTGATTAAATAATTAATTAATTAATTAAAAATTAATTTTTTTAACAAAAAGCAGAAAAAAAATTTCTAAATAATTTCAAAAATCAATTTGGACAAAACAATTAAAAAAAATTTTTTTTAGGCTATTTTATAAATAAACAAAAATTTTAATTTGAGTTAAAAAAGTAGCATTATTATATCCCGGTTAACGGTAATAAAAAAAAAAATTTTTTTAAATTTTTTAACTTGAAATTTTTAGGTTTTAAAATTAAAAATTTAATTTGTGTTCTATATTCAAAAGGAACAAGATCCTGTTTCGATGGGAGAATTAGTGGTGAATTCAACTAGAAAGTCATTAATGACACGATATGAATTATTGCCATATTTGTATACTCTATTCTTTCGCGCTCATAAATTTGGCGAAACAGTAGCACGACCTTTATTTTTTGAGTAAGTATATTTTACTCTCAATTGACATAAATAAATATTACATAATATTAGAATAATAATAATAATAATAATAATAATAATAATAATTTTTATTAATAAAATATAATAATAATAATAATTATTATTATTAATAAAATAATAATTAATAGAATAATAATTATATATTAATATTGAATAACAGATTTATCAATGATTCTCGTACTTATAATATCGACTCACAATTTTTATGGGGTAGTTCCTTAATGATTATTCCTGTTTTAGATGAGGTGAGCGACAAATTAAAAAAAAAAAATTTTTTTTAATATTTTCCTTCTAAAAATTTTTTTCTTTTTAATTTCACTTTGTTTTAAATTATAGATTTCTGATAAAAAGCAAAAAATTGAATGTTACATTCCAAATGGAAAATGGTATAATTATTATACATTTAAACAATTAGTTTCCAGTGGAGAAAATTTTACTCTAGACGCTCCATTGGATACAATTCCTTTATTAATAAGAGGAGGTTATATTTTACCAATACAAAAACCCTCTCTAACAACTACGGCTAGTCGAAAAAATAATTTTGGTTTATTAATTGCATTGAATGATAAAAATACAGCTGAAGGTGAATTATATTGGGATGATGGAGATAGTTTAGGTTTGTACATATATAATAAATATAATTTAATATACATACAGACAATAATTTTCAGTATGTAAAAATATTTAACAGTTAAATAATATTTTACAAACTTTTAAAAATTATTTAACAGTCAAAAATTATTTTTTTAATTTTTAAAAAAATTTTAACAGTTAAAAATTATTTTACTAATTTTTTTAAAAAAATATACAAGAGTTAAAAATTATTTTACAAAATTTTTTTCAAAAATCGATAAATGTATTCATTTTGAAAAATTGCTCCTCAAATATTTAACAGTTAAAAATTATTTTAGTAGGAATTTAAAAAGATTTTAATTTTGAAAACTTGAAAAATTTTTTAATTATTTTTGAATTTATAGATTCAGTTCAAAAAAAGAAATATTATTTGCTAAACTTTAGTGTGAACGATAATAAATTTCGTTCAAAAATTTCAAATAATGGCATATACAAAGAAAAAATGACATTAGGAGAAATAAAAATAATGGGAATAAACATTGAAAATATAAAGCATATTTTAGTTAATAATGAAGAAATTAATAAAGATCAATTTTATTACAATAAAACAAAATGCGTAAGTAACAAAAATTTTATTTAAAACAAAAAAAAACTATCAAATTATTATATTATCAAAATTTAATGATTTCGATTTTTTTGTTTCAGTATTTATTTATCAAAAATTTGAATCTAAATCTCAAAAAAGAATTTACTTTATCCTGGATAGATTCATGAATTAATTATTTATATATATATATATATAATATTTAAATATGTTAAAAATTTACATCAACCACAAAAACAATAAAAAAAAAATCATGTTTACATGTCTTTTAGTTATTTTATTATTTTGATTTTAATTTTTAATTTCATTTCCTTTTTCTAGATTTCTTTGAAAGATAATTATAAAATTAAAAGGTATGCAAATAATGTAAAATCAAATTTTCTTTATTTGAATAATCTTTTGATTTTACAGAAAAAAAAAAAAATTTTCCTGTTGTATAATTAAAATTATGGCACTAACGATAAATAACGAACGTAATTTTTTTCTTTTAAATTTTCTAAATTTAAATCTCAGGTAAGATTAAAATGCATAATATAAAAATTCTTTGTCTTTACAAAATAACAAAATTTACGTTTCTTTCCTGAAGAAAAAAAAATTAATAATAATAATAATAATAACAATAACGACAATAAGAACTCCATTGGAATTTTTGTTTCCGTGAAAACAAAAATATTTGCTTTGGTATTGCATACATGTAACTTAAAATAAATCGAAAAGTCGGATTTGTCGAAAAATATGCTTCCTTCGTTTCAAGTTTAAGTGCGTGTATTGAAAATCACTTCAATCTATATGCAATGATCTTTCGACCCTATTTTACATTCGATTGTGACTTTGAAACGTAGATTTCGATCATTCGAATAAATTTTGAAAACGACAAGCAACTTGCACACACACACACATTCTCACATATATATATATATATAAGTTTTACCTCAAAGTTACAATAATAATTCCACTCGAACTTTTAACAAAAATTATATATAATATTGTATAAGCCTCAAGAAAAAAAAAAAAAAAAATTATAACCATTTTTTATCTCCTTCAAAATATTAATTTAGAATAAAATTAGAATAAATTTTTTTTTTTGTAAAAAAATGTTTGTGTGACAAATAATAAAAAATGCACAAAAAAAAATTATTATAATTTATATAATAATTAACGTATAATAACGGAAGTTATCGAAACAAGTTATACTCCAATTCACGATATGCTTTTTCCATTTACATCTAAGCAATATACATAATATATATTTATAATATGTGAATATTAATTCTGTTACTCTTTTTATTATTGTCGATTCACATTTACTTAAACCTATCTATTTAACGCAAAAGTATTTTGCATTTTTTAATTACGCACAAGATAATACGATTATTCTTTTTTTTAATATATATATGTATATTTTTTTAATGACCTAGTTAAAAAAAACAAGTCATTGTCTATGAATTTAAGAGACGCGTGAATAAGCTTTAAAATTAATTAATTTTAATTTAACAGAATTTTATTATCAATTATTTATTATTAGCTGAATTTTTATTTCTTCGAATTATTGTTTAACGGAAATTCTATTTAGCCGAATTTTTATTTCTTCGAATTTTTATTTAACAGAAATTCCATTTAACCGAATTTTTATTTCTTCGAATTATTATTTTAACATAAAATCCATTTAATCGAATTTTTATTTAACAGAAATTCCATTTAGCCGAATTTTAATTTCTTCGAATTATTATTTAACAGAAATTCCATTTAGCCGAATTTTTATTTCGCCGAATTTTTATTTAACAGAAATTACATTTAACCGAATTTTAATTTCTTCGAATTATTATTTAACAAAAATTCCATTTAGCCGAATTTTTATATAACAGAAATTCCATTTTACCGAATTTTAATTTCTTCGAATTATTATTTAACAGAAATTTCATTTAATCGAATTTCTATATTATTGAATTTTTACTTTAAATGAATTTTAATTTTACAAATTTTTTATTTCATCGAATTTCAATTTCACTTATTTATTATTTGAATGAATTTTCATTATAGACAGAATAGTTATTTAAAAGAATTTTTAATTTACAGAAAGAATATTGGAAAAAATTCCTTTTCAACCGAATTTTCATTTGTTCGAATTTTTGTTTTTACAAATTGTTATTTAAGAGAATTTTTTAAAACGCCTAATTTTCATTAGTTTGAAATTGCAAATATAACTAAATAAAAATTTGACATAAAGATTTCGTTGCGATTTTTGAAATTGACCAATCACAAATTTTTTTTGAGAATTCTCAAAAATAATAAAAAATTTTACTTTCCAGAATTTTTATTAAACAAATTTATAATAATAAATAATAATAATAATGATTCTCATTTAACAGAATTTTAAGTAAATCGAATTTTTAAGTGTCAGAATTTTTAATTCTATCAAATAACAATTCATGCAAAAAAAAAAAAAAATTCGAAAAAATGTAGATTCAGTGAATTGAAAATAATATTATCATTAAAAATTTTTAATCAGTTAAAATTAATATTCGCTTAAATTATTTTAAATAAAATGTGAAAAATTTTGTGAAATAAAAATTCTTTCAATTAAAAAGTTGGATAAAGAGAAAAATTCCGTGAAATAAAAATTTTACCAAATAAAAATTCGTTTACAATGAAATACTTGTTAAATGCTAATTAGAAAAATTAAAATTCATCTAAAAAATAAAATAAAATTATAATAATAACATTATTATAATATAATAATAATAATAATAAAAAAACCATAAATAAATTTATGGTTGTATAATTATATTGCACCACATTTTATTTTCAAGTTTTCTGGCGGAAAAATTTGGAAATTTTTAAATTCTTCGATCGGAATTTATCAACAAAATTATGATTGATTTATTATTAAAAATTGCGCCTAATTTTTTCTGCTCCATATTTATTTGAAGAAAAAAAAATTCTGTAAAATAAAAATTCGGTGTTTTAAGAATTCTCTTAAATGAAGATTTGAAAAAAAATCGACTATAAAAGAATTCTATTTTTTTCTATAAAATAAAAATTCTTTTAAATGACTATTCTGTCTAATGAAAATTCGAGCAAATAATAATTCTCTCAATTTTAAATTCGATGAAATCAAAAATTCTCTCAAATTCAAATTTAATGGAATAAAAAGTTTGTAAAAAATAAAAATTCGTTTAAATATAACAATTATTCTATAATAAAGAAATTTTTGAATTTTGATTAAACAATAATTCGAAGAAATTATTCGGAAAAAAGTAAATTTTGTCCAAATAATTCTACAAAATAAAAAATTCTAAAAAATTAATTTTACAACTTATTCATGCGTTTCGAATTTGAACACATTTTTATAAATCTCATAATGCGCAATTTTCTAATTAATATATTTAAGAAATAGTTTTCATTTTTTAGGAATATAATCGCAGTGTATTACATACATAATATATATATATATATATTAGAATATGTGAAAAAAAAAAATTGAAGAAAATATTTTGGAACGAGCTTTGGTAAAGAGTTCAACTCAATATAATTTATAATATTAAGAAGCACATGATAAAAGTATACACGTGGATGAATTTTCACTCAATTGAAAAATATTATGAATTCTTTATTTTGAATTTTATGCGATTAATTATTAAAAAACTGTTTATCAAAAATTATGGCCTCGTGTCAATGAAGCAGTAAAATTTATTTTTAAAAATAATTAATTTTTTAAAAAATCTTTATCAGCATTTAAAAATATTATTATATAGTAAAATTTGATATATATATTTTTCGATTTTTCATTTTAAAAGCTAATCAGTATATTGTTATATAAAAAGACAGGAAAAATTTTTTACATTCTATGTAATTTGAAGTTGAAAAAAAAAAAATTATAGTGTTATATAAAATTTTTTTGGATTTCACTATATATTTTCTATTAGGATGGTGTATTTTTGAGTATAAAAATCTCCACGTGTTAATAAGTTTAATTTATATATGTGCAATTATTTTGTTAATTTATATCACTTTTCTAATTTAAGCTACAATGACTTATTGGTATATATAGATATTATATATTATGGCAAATATTGATGGTGCATGGCACAAAAGACTTCTCTTTGTTTATAATCACATTAATGATCATATTCGATTTTTGACTATATTTATATATATAATATATTATATATACGATTAACTGACCTCAGAAAAAAAACAAAATGAGATCATCGCTTTCAAACAAATTTTCGCTAGCAACAATTTTTTTCTATCCCTCCTCTGCTTTCTTGCTTTCAGTCGTTAGCACTGAAACAGACGAATAATTAATTATTATCATTATTATTATTATATTTTTATATTTATAATATGGAAAAAATTTATTTAATTTAAGAGTAAGAATTTCTGAATTTTTTTTTTCATTTTGAAATTTGATTGTTTTCATGGTTTTTTACTATTTGTTTATAAATAAACCATTTTTTTTTGCAATAAAAATCAATATTTTCGCATCAAAAAAAATATAAATAAAACTATGGTTCAAGACAAGAAGAATACCGTTTAGAACACTAAAATCGATCAATAAATTTTTTTGAAATTAATTTTTTTTAAAACAATAGTCAAAAATATTAAATTGTTAATAACAAAAAAATTTTTTTTTTTTGCAAAATCGATTTAGGGGGTGATTGTGCATATAAAATACTATAAGAAAAATAACATTTCAACAAAAAATAAATTTTTTCAGTTTTAGGTGGCACGTTTCAAAAATTCTTATTTTTAAATAATCGGTTACTTAACTATTATTAAATAAATATTAATTTGTATTAAATAATTATTTTGATTTAATTAATTTGTATTTATTTCAAATACAGAAATTATTGGTTCAAATGAAAATTTATTTCGAATATTTCAAAATCGAACTAATTGTAGGACAAATTTTTAAAATTTTATTTAAATAGAACAAATTTCTAAAAAAAATTCTTAATGTTCCATTTTTCTAATTTTTTCATGTCTGATTTAAGCACTTTATTCGAATTTAAAATTTTGTCACAGTTTTTAGTTTTGATGGTCAAAAAAATTTCAGGCAATACTTATAATCAAGTTTTACAGATTTTTAAATAAAATTTTTTTTTAAATAATAATTTTGGAATAGTTAAAGTTGAAATTTTTAGAAATAATTGACTTTCAAAAGATTTTGTTAATTTTCAGACAATAATTAAATTTTACAGAACTTAAAATAATAATTTAAATAATTAAATTATCAAATAATTTTAAATAACATTTTTTAAAAGTAATTGAATTTTAAAAGAGTTACAATTTTAATTTTTGAATTTAATTCTATTTCAAGTGATTTTTAATTTAAAATTTTTGATGATTTCTGTTTATAAAAAATTTATTAGAAATTGCAGACAAAAATACAATAATTTGAAAACTTTTTAAGTGAAAAATGCTTTCAGATAATTTAATTTTCGAAGAATATTATAAAAATCATTAAAAAATAATTGAAATTTTTACAAATAATTAAATTTCAAATGATTTTGAATTAATAATTTTTGGTAATTTTATTTGCTAATTTTGTTAAAATCACAAACAATTATTAAATTTCATAAAAATTTTAATTGAAAAATAGTTTAAGATAATTGAATTTGTGAAGAATTTCATTAAAATTTTTAAATTCGAATATTATTTTGAACCTAAAAATGATATTTCATTATAAAAAAATTGAAAAAAAAAATAATTTTAGACAATTTCATAATTTTTTTTGTTGTTTTTTATCCTATTTACGAAATATTTTTAAGATTTTGTAAAAATAAAATTTTTCCATACGACTGATTGTTCAGAATCATAAAAAAAAAAATGTAAAAAAAAATATGTAATGATGAAAAATAATAGAAAAATTATAAGTGAAATTAAAATTTTTTTATCTTCAAAATTTCAAGTGTTGTAAAAAAAATTTATTATAACACTCTTTATTATGATATTTCATATTGGAAAATAAATTAGCGCCCTTTAACAATGTAAATTTCAAAAAATTGATATTATTATTATTATAATAAATAGATAAAAAAAATAAAAATTTTAAATATTATTTATTATAAAATATACTGATTTTATATTCAGAAAATATTTCTCCACATCGTCAACACTTTTTTATAAAAGCTATAAATTGAAGAAAATAAAAAAAAATTTCCGAAATATTCTTGATGAAGTAATAATTCAGACTTTCTAAAATTTTTTTACCATAGTGTTATAAATTATTTAATTTTTAATTATTAAACTATTGTTAATATTACTATATAAAGAAATCAAGAATGCAAAATATTTTCATCCAACTTTGCAGTTAGTTATGCAACATGTAAATTGCAAAAAATAATGCTGGTGTAATTGACCTTATTTGATAATTACAAAAGTGTAATACAAGTACAAGTTTGATTTTCATAAATTAAAAATTATTTTCAATTTCAAAATTTTTCCAAATTTTAATTAATTTTTTTTCTTTTTTTTTTGTTCTAAATTCTACAATTAGTTTAATAAACAAAATTTCAAATAATCGAAATATTTTTCCAAAAGTAAAAATAAAAATGTATTTTTTTTTTTTGCTTTAAATTAATCAAAAATAAAATTTTAATTAAAAAAATAATAAATTCAAAAAATTTAAATAAATTTACTTACGAAGTAGTGAGAGTTTCAAGAATTTCTTCAGGTGTTTTTTTCATTTTTTTAAATTTTGCCCAATGACTTTTTGGCACTGTCCATTCCAAAAATATTTCAACATTCTTCTTTAAACAATCAAATTCCGATGTACTATTATTCCTTTTAACTGGCACTTTACCCGCCGATATTAATGAATCATGAAGAACTTCATCAATTAATCTTTTACCAAATCCAAGTTCATCTAATTTTTCCTGCTTTGAAATTCTCTTTAACAACACCGCCAATAGTAATCGCATTTTTTCAATTGGCATCACTCTATATTTAATACGATCACTAAATACTTCAACCTGATCATCATTATCACCATCATCATCATCATCATCAACATTGTTATCAATATTTTTATCATTTTTATCATCATTATCAGTTGCATTAATTTTTCCCGTTAATTTACAAAATTTCTGATGACTCTCCAATTCACTTTTAATACGAAAAAAACTCTTACATCTACGACAACAATAGGGTTCATTTCTTCCATGAATACATTTCATGTGTTTCTTCCAATGTGGTAGTTGAGTAAAACCAGCATTACATTCCTCACATTTAAATGGCCTCTCACCAGTGTGTCGTCGTGTATGTAATTTCAATGCTGTTGAATGTGCAAATGCCTGCCAACAAACAAGACATCTAAATGGCCTTTGACCCGAATGTGTTCGTTGATGTACTGTCAATTGTGATTTTTGGGCAAATCTTTGACCACAAGTTCCACAGCCATGTGGCCTATCTTGTGCATGCGTTCTCATATGCTGTGGTAAATGACCTTTTAATGTTTTATTACAAATAACACACAAAAATGATTTAACATCATGATGTAGACATTCCATGTGTTTTTTTAATGCATCCCTACGTACAAAACCACGTCCACAAATTTCACATTTATGATCTTTTTGTCCATTATGCCGTTTCATGTGCAATGTTAAATTGGCAGCGCATGTAAATGTACCCGAACACAATGAACAATGATAGGGTTTCACTTGACTATGTGTTCGACGATGTTGCACCAATTGACCACCTCTTGCAAAACTCTTATCACATTCCAAACATTTATAGGGTTTAAATCCAGTGTGTGTTCTTACATGTAATTTTAATCTTTCCTTTAATGGAAATTCTTTACCACATTCATCACATTTATAAAGTGGTCCAGTTGCATGTGCAACTTTATAATGATTTCTCAAACCACCACTACCTTTAAATTGTGAATTACAAATAACACAAACATATTTTTTTACCTCCTTATTATCCTGATTTTTAGCCTCTTGCATCACATTATTATTTTCATTTTCCTGTTCTAAAAGAATATTTGCTTGTATAATTGCATCAATTTTCTTTCTCAAATTATTTGAACCAATTTTCTTCTCCAAATTCTCAACTTCTGAATCATGTTGAAATGAATATATTTCATCTTCAATTGTTTCATTTGGAAAATTTGAATCCTCACTCAATACTATTTCCTCCTCTTCTTTATTACTCTTTTCGTCAGTCTTTTTTATATTTATCTTTTTCCCTCTTTTTGTATTTGTTTTCTCAAGTAATTCTTCTTCTTCATCATCACTATTCCATATTTTATCACCATAGTCCTCGGTTCCATTCAATGATTCCAATTCATTATATTTTTGATAAAAAAATTCCTGTTCATTTTGTGAGAAACTTCTTAATGCTTTTAAAGCATCCGTTGCACCTGAATCGTTATAATTCGATGATTCTTGTATTCGATATTGTTCAACTGGTAATAATTCAGTTAATTGCACTATTTCCTCTTGTGATTGTTCGGAAATTTGTCCCACATCATTCTGTTCATTTGTCATTATGAATGGATTTTTGGAAAATTTTAATTGATTTTAATAATGGGCATGCTCGTTAAGAACGAGCATACCCGAATACGAGTTTTAAAAGTAAATTTTTTTAACCTACTATCTTCATTATCGGGTCCACATTGTTTATATCCAACACTCGTTGTGAATTGAGGTCGTTATCGCAGTCGCTTATCACTCGGCTTGTAAATACCTACAATATTGTTACGCTTTTAGAAATATTTTTTCATTTCTAAAAATGTATTCTTCTTCTTCTTTTTTCTTTTTTTTGAATACAAATTCCGGAAAAGTGTTTCGCTCTCGTGCAGGCGTCGGAATCACCCGCCGGAAGTTGATATAATACGACGACGAGGAAGTGAACTCTCTGAAATGTACTTCGATCGACTGAGGATACCGTCGACGAAGTCTTCGTCGGGAATCATATATATATATATATATTTGTGTTTCGATATGTTGGAGGCGATTGCGCGCTTTTTCCACGCACGCGCAATTGCGGGTCGATAACAGTTGCGAGTCGATTATTATATGCTTTTCCAAATGCAACGAGAATCCCTTCTTCAAAGCCCTCGAAGCACCGGAGAGAAAGAGACAGAGAGAGAGAGGGAATTCTCTTTCCTCTTTGTCTCCCACCCTTCTTCTTCTTCTTGCTCTCTTTATTTTCCCTCAGCTTAGTATTTTGTCTGTTCGTCTATCCGTCCATTCGTCAGTGACCTATGACCTTTAGTGTCGTTAACCTTTTATACTCTATACATACGAAAAAACTAATCCACCAATATCTTTTTATGCAATCCTTGTTGGAACAAAAAAAAAATCAATGATCCGGAGAATGACTAATAAATGGTTCCTCGAGTCATCTGGCATCGATGTCGCCAGGGAATTCCAATTCTCTTTATACATATATATATATACCTCCTTTTCTAATTCACGAATATTAAGTACATTGAAATGTTCCTTGGAAAAGAATGTAAAAAACTGATTTCATATTTATATAGATTTATTAATTAAATCACTGTATTTTAATGCTTATCTTTGGTATTTTTTAAATCTCTTTTTCTCTTTATCAGAGACATTCTTCTTGAAAATATAACACTTTGATAAGTGAACTTGTAATTTTCAATTATTCAAGTTAATTTTCTTTTTTTTTTATATAAATTTTTTTATGTAGATTTTTTGTGTAAATTTTTTATCTAGATTTTGATGTAAATTTTTATGCAAATTTTTACGCAGACTTTTTTTTGGTGTCTTCCACTTTTTTTTTGATATCTTCTATTTTTTTTTATATAGAGGCAAGTGGTGTAGCTTGACTAGATACTTTACGAAAAAAAAAAAAAAGTTGAAGTAATTATCTATAACACATGTTTGGGAATTAGTGTTTAAGCGATTATATATGTATACATTTCTTTAGAGGCGATATTGTTTTGAAATAATAAAGCCTGCTTTTGGAAGATTAATTAAATTAGTAGCACTTTCTTTGTTTTTGTGTCGAGGGCCTTGATTATAGCATACAGAGAAGAGACCATCACCAAATCTGAAAGAAATTAAGAAATACCAAAGCCATTTTTTTGTGTTCAGTAATAGAGATTTATATATATAAGAAATATAGATGATTCACATTAGTCACATTTATATCGTTATAGTTATAAATTTTTTTTTTTTTATAAAATTAACTACAATTTTTGTTTATGTGTAAAATTTGTGTAACTGTGTAATTTTAAACTAATTCGACTAATTCAATACGTTAACATTTTAATAAATTACTTTTATTACTACTATACACTGTAAAAAAAAGGAGTTGAATTTCCATTCCCTATATAAAAGTCCCACCCCTTTTGGAGTTGAAGCAAAGGGAGTTAATGCTTTACGAGTTAATTTTATGCCTAGAGAGTTAATTTAATTATTAACTCCTTTTTTGAGTTAGTTTTTAACTCGAAAAATTTAACTCCCAGTACCATTAAGTCCCTAATTTTTTTTATACTAAAAAACGATATTCTACTTTTTGACTTTGAAAAATATATTTATTGTTCATAAAATACACAGTTAAGTTTACAAAAGAAACATTATAAAATATATAAGCTATCGTTTCGGGTACGCAGTTCTCTTAGGAACTTTAACCCCAGTAAATAAAAATCTCTGATTTCTTATTTATATTTTTGATTTAGATCGGTTATGATCGTTAGTTAAAATAATATTTATTTAAGTAAAAATGTTAATAAAAAACTTATTAGAAAACTTAATCAAACGATATTCTAAATTTAAGAATGCCTACTTAAATAGGAGCCAAGAATATTCTCCACTTAAAGTAAGTGACGGAGAGAAATTTCTAGAATTATTTACCGTGCTGCCACCTGAAAGTGAGTGCAAAGTACATTCTGGCAGTTTTTACTGTGCTGCCTCTACAATCTGTAATGCAAAATTGTAGGGGCAGCACCAGGGTGTCTAACGATCAGAGAAACTCAGGGAAACGTCAGGGAATTTTGTTGGTCAGGAAAATGTCAGGGAATTTTAGAAAATTTCATTCAAAGTCAGGGAAATTTCTGTAAATTTCTACAAAAATTAAAATTTTTTTTTGAATTTAAAAATTTTTTAATCCAAAAAAATTTGAATGGTTTTTATTACCATTTGTTACTACCATTAGAAATTAATTTATTGTTAAATATGTCAGTAACCATATTTTTGTCCAAAGAAAGCAAATATAAGGTTATTAAAAAATCAGGGAAAAATAAAAAAATGTCAGGGAGGAGTCATGGAAAAGTCAGGGAATTTTTTTCTCAATCTTTGTTAGACACCCCACGGTGCGTTAGAAGGAGGTTTAAATAAAAATGAGTTGGCACTTAAAAATTCTTTTTGATTATGGTTCTTAAATAAATAAAAACCATTTTTCAATAGGTTTTAAAATCAACTTATGTGCCAAATTTAAAAAAAATTGAGTTTTAAATATGTAAAAATAGTGTTTTATGAGGAACCAGAATTTATTTAATGTATAACAGTTTATATGCGTATAGATAATAAATGTTTTAGATTTGGGTTCATATAAATTTATTAACATTGAAGTTATTTTCTTGTTTTGTTTTTATATTTATGCATTAAGAGTGTCGAACGGTATATCTGAAATTCTTTAGCAAGAAGAGAGCTTTAATTATCGCTCTGAACATGAAATAGTATTGATTTTAAAATACTTTTTTCTCGAAACACGAACACTTTTAACAAAATCAGCCAAAATCCTAATCTTATAAATTTCCTAAATCCAAAAGACTGTACGAATCCATAGAAAAACATGGTTACAAAACAAAAAGTAGAAAAGTAATCTAATAACAGCTGCGACTTTGTGCGCCCTGGATGCTGCTACCATCTGACGGCGACAGGAGGTAATGTACCTGTCATTATATTACTTTTCGTTTTGCAATCATGTTTTTGTATGGATTCGCATAATCTTTCGGATTTAGGAAATTTATATAAGATAAGAATCTCTAGCTGCTTTTGTAAAAAAAAGTGTCCGTCTTTCAAGAAGAAAGTATTTTAAAATTAATGTTTATCATTTTCACGTTTAGTACCGTTTTTATAGGGCGATAATTAAAGGTCTCTTCTTTCCAAAAAATTTCAGAGACCATTCGACTCTCTTAAATAAATTTTGTCCCTCTTAAAATAGTTCTTTTAACATTATAATTTAATTTTTTAAAATCGGATACAAACACTACAGCAATATAATTATTTATATATAAAATTAAAAATAAGTAATTATTTTATCATTTATTACAGTATTTATTAGATTAAATAAATTCTGATTCCTCATAAAATTACTGTTTTTTATATAAAAACTAATTTTTTTTTTAAATCGGGCACGTAAACTGATTTTAAAAACTATTGAGAAATGTTTTTTATTCATCTAAGAATCATCATAATCAAAAAGAATTTTTAAGTGCCAATTTATTTTTATTTAAATCACCTTCTGGCGCACCGTGACCCTCACACGAAAAAAAGTAGAATTTTTACCCTAAAATCGGTATAAAAATTACCTGCAATAAATTTTATCCTAGTTGAGGTCGCCACTGTCTATGTGAATTAGCATTGGTTAAAATTACTCGCAACAAAATTTACCAAGCGTTTTTTCTGTGGCTGAGCACAGTAAAAACTGCCAGAATGTACTTTGCACTCACTTTCAGGTGGCAGCACGGTAAATATTCCTAGAAATTTCTCTCCGTGTGGGAAATATGTTTATAATAAATAATATATTCTTATTGTAAGAATATTTTCCACTTAATTTAAGTGGGGAATATTCTTGGCTCCTATTTAAGTATAGGCATTTGGAATTCTCCAAAAAGAGGTCATTTTCATATGGCTTTGAGTTATAGCATCTAAACATCTTATCATTAAATTATCTGCTTTCATATATAAAAAGAACTGAACTCGTACGCTACTCATTTTGAATTGCAACAAAAATGATCTTGGTTTCACTCATTTTGAGTGTTTAGTAAAACGTTTCAAATTGAATCTGCTCAGATTCATTTTGAGTTCGAGTAGATTAATGTTAAATTATCGTGGACTTTTTTGTCCTTTTCTAATGCATGTGTTGTCATGGCAACAAGTGCGTTAAAAAAGGATAAAACAATAACCAGTAAAAAGTGGTGAATTGAAAATTTTCAATTCTTCTAAATTCCGTTTCTGTCCAATTCTTTTCTATCCATCTTGAGCAGTTGAAAATAATGACAGTTAAATTCTTTTTAATTCCGTTTTAAAATTTTGTGTAGAAAAAAATTTGACGATCCGAAGATTTGAACTTTCGATTTTCAATACCGGAGGCAAACAACTGTTCCGCGCAGCTGTATCAACTGTACTGTAGATATTTGATTTTAAACGTACTTACTTCAGAGTATATTACAGAATTCAAAAAAGAAAAGTTTTAGCGAAATATCAAAGCGGAATAGGTAGAAATTGACTTTTAGATATAACTGAAATATTTATAGTCCAAATTACTTATTCAGTATTTTGGAATTTAAAAAAATTAAAAAATTAGAGAAATATTAAAACGGAATTGAGTTTCAAGCAATCTTAGTCCCAACAAGGAATACATATAGGAATTGGACACAAACAGAATTCAAAAAAATTGAAAAAGATTCGATACGTTGATAATACGACGTTACAAAATTTATACGTAACAAAGTACATAAATTATTTTACTAATATATATCCTACGCCAATCAAAATTTTATATATTTCTTCGTGCATAAAAAAAACGAAACTCTACACTGTTAAAAATCGAGCTTCAACTTTACACTAGAAAGATTGAATTTATTTATAGTTTCAATCTCGAAAAGTGTGAATGTTTTTATTTCATTGGCTTAAAGTTTTTTGTCTAACCAATAATATGCAAACTTTCACACTTTTCGATATTGAAAATATATTATTTCAAATTTTTAGTGTAATGTTAGAGTCCAATTTCTGACAGTGATAAATTTAATAATATATATTCTTTGCACCTATTTAAGATAATTTTCCATGCATTTTATTCTTAAAGATAGAATAAAATACTCTAAGATTAAAAAGTATAGAAAAAATTCTTAAATAGGTATACTAAGAAGATATTCTTAAATTTAGAATAACTTTTTCCGGTGTGTTCTTCAAAAACATTTTTTAATTACTTAATAAAAACTTAAGATTCTCTGATAACATTCTAAATTTTAGAGATTAGATAAAAGTAATTGTACCAATTATTATATAATGCTGATTAAAAATCAAAACGAATCTTTAAAGATTAAAAAAATATTTGTTAGACTTATTTTTCTTTGAAATACAAATATTAATATATTATATTATATATTATTATTATATAAACAAATATTATTATATATATACACTACCGTCAGAAATTATCGGTACGACTAACGTTCGAGGAGTGGACATTCGGCGCTGACTTTAAAGCAAGATATTTTAAGTTAGAAAAAAGTTAGAGACTTCTAACTTAGATGGTTGGAAAGCTGATAAAATTCTGCTTCTGAATGTATATCAAGAAATTTTTTTCTTTTTTTTTGTGTTTATAACACCGAACAGATTTCAAGCAAAAATTATGCAATTTTCGTACTGTCGTACTAATGCTTTTGACTTTCGGCATAATCTAGAATAATGTATGAAAAAATTTGACAATTTTTCAATATAATCTTTAAGATCTCAGCTTTAATTTGCTTTTTTAAAACTTAAAAAAATGTTTTGTAGTTTCTGAAATATGTTAAAAAATGTTCGAGCATATTCTTTTAGAAGCCAGCAGCGAGGCGGCAAAAAGTGATGATCGACGGCTGATTTGTAGAAAAATATGGTCGGACCTTTTTTAACATATTTCAGGAACCACAAAACATTTTTTAAGTTTCAAAAATGCAAATCAAAGCTGAGATCGAAAATTGCATAATTTTTGCTTGAAATTTTTTCGGTGTTATAAACACAAAAAAAAGACAACAATTTCTTGATATACATTCAGAAGCAGAATTTTATCAGCTTTCCAACCATCTAAGTTAGAAGTCTCTAACTTTTTTCTAACTT